TGGCTATCCTAAGGCAACGGAGAGGACGTCTCTAGCCTTGGGGAAATCAACTGAGTGCTATTCCCTCCTGATCAATCTTTTGGGGACTGACTGGAGGAGGGACCTCAGCAAAAGATGGTTGGCATCACCCATCTTGTTTAAGATCCTTCTCCCCCCCCCCCTTTTCCTGATGCAACAGCCGGCAAGGAACAGCCACATCTGAAGTCTGATGGGAATCTCTCCGGCAGCAGCACTGAAAAATCTCAAACTCTTCCTCCAAGCAGGTTCATTTTCGCTTCTAAGAATAACTGCGTTAGCTACCGGAGACCTCGCTGTCTCCACGGACTTGGCCAATTGCCTTGCCGCTTCGGTGGCTGCATCGCTGGGACATCCCTGGGACGAATTCTGGAGGTTAATCAGGCCCTGCGATTAATTATGCAGTTAATTAATGTCAGGTAATTAAGCACTATTTCATTCTGGACCGGTGGATTGGCGGCCTGTAGGGAAAGCCACCGAGGCAAAAACCAACTTCTCCGTCTTTTACTTTGTGTGACAGGGGTCAGGATGGGGGATTCTGGATTCGGGAGAGCCCCAGAATGGAAAATGGAATTGAAAAGAGGATGTGGAGAATGAAGAGGAAATAGGTTTGAGGGGAGCCAGTTTGGTCTGGCAAGGAAGGCACCAGGCTAGAAACCAAGGAGTTAGGGACTTCTAGCCCCACTTGGGCAAGAAGATCAACTGGGTGACCTTGAGTCAATCACCAGGAGACTGGGAATTCTAGTCCTGCCTTAGGCGTGAAAGACAGCTGGGTGACTTTGGGCCGGTCCCTCCCTCTCAGCCCAACCCGTCTCGCGGGGCTGTGATTGTGGGGAAAATAAGAGGAGGAAGGGGTATTTGGTATGATCGCCAGCTTGAGTTGTTGTTGTTGTTATTGTTATTATTATTGATCATCGCTGTCAGCCAGATGTTCAGACTGGATTTGGCATTTTTGTCTACCTATCGAGTCCTTACTAAGAACCTGGAATAGGCAGATGTGATATTTGGTGGTATTATTATTATTATTATTATTATTATTAATAATAAATAAAAGCAAGCTATAAACAAAAATTCTCCATGGAAATGAGTGAGCAAAGAGATTACAAAATTCTTTCTCAAATCTCAGGTTTTTCTTTACTCTTCTATTAATCTCCTTCTTTCCTTCTTTCCTTCTTTTCTACCTTCCTTTCCTCCTTCCTTCTTCCTTCCTCTTTCCTTCCTTCCTTTTCTCCTTCCTTCTTTCCTTTCCTTCCTCCCTCCCTCCCTCCCTTCATAAAGCCAAGGTATTGCCATAGTGCCCTTTTGCCAAATGCAGGGAAGCACTCTTCCAGTTTTCAGCCACCATAGTTACAGGTGGCTTCGTCCCAAAAGAAATTCAAGGGAAGCCGCCCACCAGCTGCTCGCTGCTTAGCCAGTTCCCCGAATCCCGCTGTCTGCAGCTTTGTCAACTGACCAGCGGTAAACAAACCAGGGTTTAGGGCGACGCACGAACCCCGTTGAGAAGTTCTGCTTCCGAGAGACGTGACGTGGCCTTTTTTTTTAGTTCGAGGCCAGCTGGTGGGGAGAGGGGTCAGCAAACTAAACAAGGCCAGCCCCGCCCCAGGCTTCCTAAGCAGCAACTCGGATTGTGTTCCAGCTCCTCCGACGATTCCGCTGGCGGCAAACGTCCACCAGCAATTGGACCGCGGGAGTGACCCATGCCTCGATTTGCGCTGACAATTTGCCACGGTAATAGCCGCCTGGGGCTTTTGCCTCCCGCGCTTGGCGGGCTGATAACCTTAACCGTGCCAAAGCCACACAGGCACTCAGTCGATCCATCTCTCATGAAAAGACCCAGCTGGGAAAACACGGCAGCAATCTTACCAACCAGTGGTCCCCTGCAGGCCTTAGCTCTTGAAGCTGAGAGAAAGAGAGGAAGAAAAAGAGAGAGGTGGCTGGTCCTGCAAGGACCACATCAGGTTGAAAGCTACTCAGGTGACCCAACGTAAAAGATGCCAGGGGATGGAGGGGGAAGCACCAAGCAAGTTCTAGAAGCTAAACCAGGGGTCTTCAAACTTGGCCCTTTGATGACTTGGGGACTTCAACTCCCAGCATGCCTGGCTGAGGAATTCTGGGAGTTGAAGTCCACAAGTCATCAAAGGGCCACGTTTGAAGACCCCGGGCTAAACTGTACAAAGAACAGTTAAGGGAGCTAGGTCTGCCTAGTCTATGGAAGAGAAGGATGAGAGGGGGAGAGGATAGCAGTCTTCCGATACTTGAAGGGCTGCTATAGAGAGGCTGCAGTGGTCGTAAGAGTGAGGACTGATCCTAAATCGCTTTTTTCCAGTGACTTTTTCGTAACTTTGAATGGTGGCTAAATGAATGGCTGAAGGATGAGGAGTATTTGTATTTTCATCCAAGGCGAGGGTAAGACTTGGCAATGGCCCCGTTAAACTCCCTGAATTCAGGAGTGTCTCCTAGGACTTGCAAGATGCCTAAAGAAGAAGCACAAGATCCTCTGCATTCCTTCATTTCCGCGAAGGTTCGGTAAACCTGCAATGGTCAAATATAAGTAAAGATTCTAACTCTAATCTGAGATTCCACAAATGGGTATCAGCCCCTTGGATAGATGGGTCTATCCAAGGGGTCAATACATGTCTGGGGTTCAGTAGGAACAGGCTGAACGTGGAAAAGTGCAGTGAGCAGAGAACAGGACACTCTCCACATTTCAATCAACAAATAAAAACACAGAGACAAAATCTGCCACCTGCATTGTAATTTTGACTTTATATATGCCTGCAGGATTTATTCTGTCCTAAACCCGTGCACAACACTTCCCTGTGCGTTTTGAGTCATGAACTCAGCAGAAATAAAAATTATTCACATTATTCATTCTTTTAAAACAAAATATAAGGTTGAAATATATCAGTGTAACGCCCGGCTATGTAGGCTGATGCACTGGGAGGGGTTAACCGCACATCTGGTGTCTGTAAGAGCTTTGAGGCCGTGATTGTGTTAAGATTTCTGTCATGGAGACAAGGTTAAGAGGAAATAAACACGCTGCTTGCTTGGTTAAGCTGCCCCAGACCACCCGGGTCGACGGCTCTCCTGCAAACCCTACAAATTGGATTGCCTCAAAGCAAGGAAAAACAACCAGCTGCTAGCAGTTTTTTCACAGCTAGGAATAAAATCGGATTGTCGGTAATCTTAATTTACATGCAGCAGCACATATGAATTAAGGACATATGGACTTTATGATGTATAAGGAAAGACTGATGAAGCACCAGCAAAAAAGCTCGTTAGCGAAGCCTTATAAACAACGCTAATAAAGCTGCTGATTTATTGCTATGGCGAAATTCAAACAGGAACCAAATGTTGAATTCTGAAGCTTTGGCGCCCCCCAGTGTTCACGGCAAGCAACGACGCCAGGTCCTGCTGAGTCAACTATGTATATTATATTTCGGGCAGAAATTAAAATCAGATCGTTTCTCAGTTATAAAACCCGAGACTGATAAAAACCACATGATTTTTCCTGCTTAAACAGCCATAATTGTCCTCCCTTTCCTCAAATCGTACACTGTAAGCCACAGAATGCAGGTAGTCCTTGTTTAGTGAGCCCAATTGGCAGCAATCATTAAGCAAAGTGATGGTTAAGTGCAGCCACAACTGCTTGCAATTTTTCCCTTCAGCATGCAAAGGTTGTAAACGTGAGGTCTGGTTGCAAGGTTACTTTTTCTTAATGGAATCAAGTTCTTTTCCATCTCTCTCGCTCTGTTTTTCATACAGCAATCCGTATACACAGCATCATTTTAAAGAAATGCCCCTACATGTACACACTCCCGTACTTGCTTTATTTATTTCCAAAATATTGACACCAGCAAAAGAAACACTCACTCAAACAAGGCGGTACTCCTGCAGATGGAGAAAAATTAATTTTGCCATAATCTGATTCCCCAACAAAGAGCATTTGCCAAGTTTTCCAGAGCTTCCATGTTTCACCATAATCTTACTGCAACTCGACCTTGGACGCCAATCACCCAAATTTTAAGCCATACAATGAGCACAGAAAATCTCTTTGCTAAAGAGTCTGAAGCATGAAAGTGACAGACCAATTTTTAAAATACCTTTGTTGTAAAGAAAAAAAACCCCACAAAGCAATCCACCACACTGAATTTAAAAAAAAACCTGATCACTTACCTGCTTTGGTTGATCGTCCAATTCCAAAGAACAGAAGGATTCAAGATGGGTCATTTATTTATTAATTTTGGGAAGAGACAATACACTCACAAGTATTTTTCTCCTGTTATTTATGACTGCATTTTTTTCTACTTCTTTGTCCTCTTAGACTTAGCTTCTTTTTTATAGATATTCTGTCTTCCAAAGGCTTCAAAAGTTTCTACTGTACACATATACATTTTCAAGCAGACGGACTTCAACCTCTTCGGCCGTTGTGTAATTCATAGATGCCCAACCAGAGCGATTTCCAGCTGGGTGAATTTCAACTCCCAGAATTCCCTAGCCATTGAGGAGAGAATTCTGGGAATTGAAGTCCACACATCTTGAAATGGCTAAGCCTGGGAAACAGGTCTAATTATTCAAGGCCAGCGCAAGTTATTTCTTGCGACATGCATATATGCACACCACACTCATGGATCCACTACTTTTAACATTTTTTTTTCTCCAATTCCTATGACAGTAGTTAGCTTAACAACACTGCCAGAACATTTTTAACGAGAGAACTGGACTGCAGAAATTACAAAATGCTTGCCAAGAGCAGGGGTCTCCAAACTTATCTATTTTAACCCTTGTGGACTTCAAATTCTAGCTGGGGAATTCTGGGAGTTGAAGTCCACAAGTCTCAGAGTTGCCACGTTTGCACATCCCTGGCCAAGAGCATGTCCGTTCCTTTTCTTCCATTCTTAAACCCAAACGAGGGAGGCAAAAATCACATCTGCCATGCCCAGCCCCTCCCAAAGAGAAACAGGATCAGTCCGCTGTTCACTCACCAGCATTGACGATCGCATCGACCTCCAACTTCGTAATATCTCCTCGGATGAGGGAGATTTTTCCATTCAGATTATTATCTTTGGGGTAAATGGTTTCTTCGGGCTGCTGGATCCGAGCGCCTGGCATGAGAGGGAGAAGAGATGAAGATGATGATGATGGAGGGAGGAAGATACTTCTAGATCATGGACTTCAAAACAGCTTTTTAAACAAACAAACAAAAAAAGACAACTCACTTTTGGCCATTTCTTTCCAGGTTGGGATCTGCTTTAGTTTGACAAAATCTTTGGTGAAGTAATGAGGACGGCGCTGTTTGTTGTTCAGCCCTTTCAGAAATGCTGAGTGGGAAAATAAAGCAGGAGAGAAAGAAAAGAATGGTTGGTCATACTGCATATCAATAAATTATTGCAGATCCCCCCCCCCGAATTTAGAAAGTTATCATTATCAGTTAGAAAGGAATCATTTTTTTAAGGGATTGTATTGCAACCTCAAAAGAAAATGTTTTCAGCAGCTAGAAGCTGGCGAAAAGTTTTGCTTTAGAGTAGCTAAATGAATGGAAAGCATCCAATCTGCAACCAAGCATATCCTGAGGCCAGGTAGTCCACATCTGGCAGAACCAGCATCTCGGTCATTAAGCAGTCACTAAGTGAGGCCGTAATTCTGCTTATGATCCGACTTCAGCCTTCCTTTGCTTGACAGACCTGCAAAAGTTGTCCATGCAAGGCCCCAGTCACAGTTATTTTGTCCCCCCCTTTGTGTGAACAGTTGCTAAACAAGGCAGTCACTAAATGAGGACTACCTGTATTTTTACCAATAGCAACTAGAGCCAGTTTGGTGTAATGGTTAAGGTGCCAGCCTAAAAACTGGGTGCGGTAAGTTGTAGTCCTGCCTTAGCCATGAAAGTCCAGCCCCACACATCTCGCACAGTTATTGTTATTGTGGAAAAAATAGGAGGAAAGAATATTATATATATTCACCTCGAGTTGCCTGTGAAGTAAAGTATACACTTTATAGTTTATATACTTTAAAGTTCACTTTATAGTTACCTATAAAGTTTTTTAAAAGCTAGGATTGTGTATTATCTATTTTATTATTTAGTTCTTATTGTGTATAGGTTTTGTAAAAAAAAATCTTCTTAATATTGTAAACTGCCCAGAGCTATCTTGTGGGAAGATGGACTGTTAATAAATTTAGAAAGAAAGAAAGAAAGAAAGAAAGAAAGAAAGAAAGAAAGAAAGAAAGAAAGGAAGGAAGGAAGGAAGGAAGGAAGGAAGGAAGGAAGGAAGGAAGGAAGAAAAAGAAACAGTAAGAATGTAATAATAGCAATAAATAAAAAAAGGATAAGAATGCAATAATATTAAGATAGGATAAGAATGTAATATTAATAAAGAAAGGATAAGAATGTAATAATACCAATAAATACATAAATAAATAAATACAGGATAAGAATGTAATACCAAAGAAGGAAGGAAGGAAGCAAGGAAGGAAGGAAGGAAGGAAGGGAGGGAGGGAGGGAGGGAGGGACATGATAAAAATGTAATAATAATAATACTCCTTACACAGCCAGTACAATACAACATACAAGTTGCAGGAATGAGGGGGTATTAAATAAGGGAGTTAACACATGCTAACCTAAGCAGGGGTTTTTTGCAACAAGGATGTGCAAGAACTGAGGTGTTAACTTGCTCGGTGTGCATGTCTCACTTGAGCGTGTCGCCCACCGAACCGATTGCCGTCAACTCTCTTCTCAGAAATTGGAAATTGCAATTCAGGGGTCTACTTCCAAGGAGACCCCCCCTCCTCAATGCCAACCTTGGGCACCAAAAAAGCCGGCAGACCCCACCAGGACAATTAACCAGTGGAACAACCTGCCTCCAGAAGCAGTAAATGCTCCAACACTGGAAGTTTTTAAGAAGAGACTGGACAGCCATTTGTCCGAAATGGTATAGGGTTTCCTGCCTGAGCAGGGGGCTGGACTAGATGACCTCCAAGGTCCCTTCCAACTTTACTATTATGATTATGATCCCCTGCCTTGTCCCCAGAGCTAAACACAACCAGGGGGCCATCTTTGAATCCCGAGTCAGCTCAGAGGGGTACATTTTCTTAGGCCGGCCATTTTCTTAGGCCGGCCACCATTGCTCTGAGGGAACCATTTTCCTCAGCGGGGACGCCAAAGCAGCCATCCCAAAGCCCTTCCAGAGGCTGGGGCTCCTTTTCAACTGCTGCTCCTGAAACCTCTTCAAGGTTTTTGAAAAGCCCAGCCTTTTGCAAAAGAAAAGAAAAAGTCTCTCAAGAGGACATTTTTCCCTCAAAGGATGGATGCAGGCCCAGTCGAGGAGAGGGATGGTCCCAGGCCTGGTTGCTAGGCAACCGAGGCCCTGAGCATTCCATTGCCTGCTGGCTGCAAATGGCGGCCTCTTTTATTTATTAATTAAAATTTAACCCACCGCCCATCTCTCTCTCTCTAAGCGACCCTGTCACCTCAGTGGCCTACAAACTTCACAAAGCAGAGGTGCAAACATTCAATAGAAATTAAGTACAGGCAGTCCTAGACTTACAACCGGTCCTTCAGGAACTGTTCAAAGTTACAATCTGTTTTTCACTCTTTTTTTCTTTTTTTTTACTGTTATGTTAAAAATAAACATTTTAACTATGTCTCTTTTTATCTTTAATTTTAAAAAATAAACACATAACCCTGTTTCTTTATACTAGGTTAAAAATAAACATTTAACTATGTTTCTTTTTACAGTTAGACACTTGAACTATGTCTCTTTTTACCCTTATGTCAAAAGTAAACATCTTTATTTTAACTATGTTTCTTTTAACAGTTGTTATTTGTAACCCGCCCAGAGTCACACAGATGAGGTGGGCAGGGTGGAAATTTGATAAAAAAGTCAGACAGAAACTTTCTTTTCCATAACCAAGAAGAGCAGGCAGGTACAGAAAAGGTAGAAGAAGTCCAATTCTGCAAAGTTTACAAAAGCCAATGTAGAAATACATAAATAAGGACTAAAGACATGGTTCTGGAGTCATTTTGGCTGATTTGAAGCAGCAAATCTTTGAAATAAAGTGCCTCTTAGATCAAGCACTAGTTCAACCCAACAGAATATTTTTTATTTTATTTTTTTTTGCAAAAGCTGCAATTTCTCTCCCAGACCAATGGATCGATGTTCAGAGACTACATCTCCCAGGATTCCCAGCCTGCATCTCATCCAAGCCCCTCACTTTGAGTAAAAAGGGTTGGATATACATGTTGGAAAATAAATGCACACGTGGGGAGAGCACCAGGTTGGAGAAAGCTGGCCTGGGGCTTGGGGCTTGGGAAAAGCAACCACAAAATTTCCCACAATGCTTTGCAATCTGCAAGCAAGCAACTGAGGAAAGTTCCCAGAATGCAATGCAGTTACAGTTAACTGCAGAAAAGAGTTTGCAGAAGCATCAAACTTCCAAGTGGAGATGTACTGACTTATATATCTAACAAAAAAAAAATACAATTATTAACTTCCCATTCTACAATGAACCACATAATATGCAGTTTAGGCTCCTAGTCTGCGGAATTAAGGAGAACTTTTCTGACAGAACAATTAACCAGTGGAACAACTTGCCTCCAGAAGTTGTGGTGCTCCAACATGGGAGGTTTTTAACAGATTGGACAGCCATTTGACTGGAATGGTATAGGGCAGCGGTAGGCAACCTTGGCTCTTTTATGACTCATGGACTTCAACTCCCAGAATTCCTGAGCCAGCATGGCTCAGCTTGGAAACCTCTCCTTTTCCCCTCAGCATGGCTGGCTCAGGAATTCTGGGAGTTGAAGTCCATGAGTCATAAAAGGGCCGAGGTTGCCTACCTCTGGTATAGGGTTTCCTGCTTGAGCAAGGGGTTGGACTAGATGATGATGATGATGATTATTATTATTATCATTACTATTATTATTATAGAAGACCTCCAAGGTCCCTTCCGTTATTCTGTTATCCTATAATCCCAGATCGATCAGTAAAATGGCTTGCCTCTAGAAGTTGTAGGTGTTCCATCACTGGAGATTTTCCAGAAGAGATTGGACAGCCATTTGTCTGGCCAAGCTTTCCTATCAAGCGTGGGAGCTTGGCAGAGATATTAAAGAGTCAGGAAATGAAAAGGGATGCCAGTTGCAAGCCACCAAGGGACGGAGGAACTTGCAGGAGCTCAGCAAGGGACTCCTGGAAGGAGACGCAGCCAGGGCAAGGAGTTGCAAAGACACACACACACAAAACCACACACTTTGCCCTTTTTCCTCACTTACATTTAGCCTCCTTCCAGTCAGTGGACGTGGTCAAATCCACCTTAGCAGCCATGGCCAAGGGGGCAGCTATAGCCCAGCTCCGGATGCCCTGTGCAAACACCCACCGGCTGGCACTTTTGCCCAAGGGGAGCCTGGCCCAGTCCCCTTGCCTCCCACCCGCGTGGACAGCAATGGGGCAATCGCCCCACTCCCTCCACAACCTCCCTAGACTGCCAAGCAACCTCTGCTGCTGGAGGGACAGAAAACTGCCTGGCATGGTTGCAAAGCCTGCAGCGGGCCGCTCTGGTTGGTCCCGGGAAAGGGCAAAGGGATTTTCCTCCCTTATATAAATCAAACACCTGGTATTTGGCACAACAGAGCCAAGGAGGGCGCGAGTTGCAACAACAGCTGCCGCTGCTGCTCAACGCACGAGCCCAGCCTCCGTGGCCCCGCCCCGCCTTCAGGTCCAAGGGCTTCTGGGAAATGTAGTCTTCTGAAACGTTGCTAAGGCCACGCTGAATAACAGATTACTGGTAGCAGGAGTGGGAAGGGACCTTGGGGGTCTAGTGGAATGTATTACAGCAGACCCTGCTCCAAAATAATGTTTTTAGAGAAGAGAGACAGGATTGCCTCTTCCCTATTGGGCTGAGTTGACATTGGTTGGCGGCATAACCAGCGGCTAATTTTAGAAAAGACGTTTGACAGGAGCCGAGCTTCTAATTATAGCTGAAAAACGAATCTTGCTGCTTTCTTTCTATATGCAACGCTCAGAGCAGCATCGGCCTGGCCAATTCCGGCTTGAACACCACCACCACCACCCCAACCGCATAAATAAGCTGCAATACGGCAAATTGAAATAAGATTCAAAAGATATTAGGAAATAAAAAGTTAATTTAATTTAAATCTTTCAGCTCCCTGTTGTTTTTCCAGGCTTTCAAATGAACTGATGAGCATCTGATGAGCATCTGATGCGTGATCAGAATTAGGGCACTTGGCAACCAGCAGATATTCCATATGTCATGTTCCAGCACCCCGTGGACACGCGATTGCCATTTTTGACCTTCCCAGCTGGTTTCCAACAAGCAAAATCAATGGGGAAGCTGGATTTGCTTTATAACCATACAATTCCCTTAACAACTGCAGCGATTGGCTTAATAACTATGGCAAAAAGCGCCATAAAATCAAGCAAGACTCACTTATCAACTGCTTTGCTTAGTAACAGAAATTCTGTTCCTAATTGTGGTAGTAAACTGAGGATGACTTGTACTTCTATTTGAATTTATTTCCAAATAAATCTAGATCCAATTTTGAGGTATATGCAAGTTAGACTAAAAAATCTAAGCAGGGAAAATATTTTACAAAGGGGCGAGGAAAAATTAAAAACGGGGAGAGAAATATGTCACGACTACAGTGCAATCAATCAAAACTTCCCAAACTAGAGAACCAAAAAAAGAAAGAAACTTCCGGCTTTTCCAATGGAAGGGAAAAGCGGAAATGACGTCACCCCTGCAAGCCATTTAAAGCGGCTTTCCAGGGAGAAACCCGGAAAGCCAATGAGAATCATCGAAGGAAGGAGAGAGGGGGGGGGCAAAAAAAGACAAGCCGTCTAACTATTGGTCAATAGCTCTGATGCCGTTGGGATCGCGTCCCAATAGAAACCCAGCGCGGACTTTGGCAGAACCCCGCCCCCTTTTTTCTACAAGCCTGTCAAACGGCACGGACCAATGGGCCGAGGGAGCCTCGCGGCGGCAAACCAATCCGTAGGGACGGAGACAGGTAGGCGTGGGAAGGCGGGATCCAAGCCCGCCCTCTTTTTTTCCTCCCGCCAACGAGCCCTCCGGAAGGCGCGGAGGGGGCGGGCCGGCGCGCGCGGCGGGAGCCAATCGGAGCGCGGGGGCGGGAGCATTCTAGCAGGTTCCAGAAGGCGGGGTGGGAGAAGGGAAAGGCGGGCGCAGGAAGGAGACGGGGAGCCAGACGGGAAAAAGCCGAAGGAGAGGAAGGCGGAGGCGGAACCGAGATTTCCCCGGCGCCATGGAGAAGGTGGGCGAGAGGAGGAGGAGGGGGGGGTTAACGTGGAGGGCGGGGGGGGGAGGAAGAAAGAGTCCTGTATCTCCTGCAAAGGATTCTGGGAAAAGCACGTTTTTCTGCCCCCCCCCCACCAGGGAGAAATGGGCCTGCAGCTTCATGGGATTCTGGGAAGTCGGGATGGGAGGGGCTTGTTCTCCCCAGGATCCAAGGGGGTGCTCCATGGGTATGCAGAGCATCATGGGAAGGGGGAGGGAGGAGAGTCAAAGGCTGAGTGGGGGTGCAGCCTCGTGGGGAAGGGAGGGTGAGCTTCCAGTGCATCTTGGGAAAGAGGGGAGGGACCAACAGGCCCCCCCACGTGCTGTCCTTGGAACGGTTGGGTGCCCATCATCCCCAGCTGCGTGGCCTACCCACCTCCTTCAAGCCAATGGCCATGCCCATCATCCCCAGCCTGTGTGGCCCACCTGCTTCCTCCAAAATAACGGCCATACCCATCATCCCCAGCCTATGTGGCCTACCCACCTCCTTCAAGCCAATGGCCATGCCCATCATCCCCAGCCTGTGTGGCCCACCTGCTTCCTCCAAAATAATGGCCATACCCATCATTCCCAGCTCAGGTGGCTGCCCAGCTGTGCGGGCTAATGGATATTGAGAACCTGGGGCAAAACCATCATCACTTAATGCTGACAACAATCACGTTCAAGGCTTTATCTTGCCCACAATCTTGAACTGAGGCCCTGGGGGAGCCAACCTCAGCCCCCTGCTTTTGTAGACTGAGCTACAGCTTCCATCATCCCCAGCCGCAGTACACTCGGATTGAGGCGAGCCACAAGCCCAGGGGAGCCTGCTGGAGAAGCAGGCTGATAAGAGGCTTATGGGAAAGGGTGTCTTTACAGATGACTTGGGGCTTTGACCTATGGATGCTGTGGGTTCTGAATTAAGACAAATTGTGTCTGTGTGTATGTGTAGGTGGGGGGGAAATGATTCTGCCCAGGAAATGCTTATTGCACTGATGGCATGTCTGTCAGTGGACAAGATTTATAGGGAGCTGCTCCCTATTCTGGGATCTATCTTCCTTGCAAGCACTTCCACATTTTTCTAGGTGAGTGGGATGCTTTAGGGCAGGGCTCTTCCAACTTGGCCCTTTGATGACTTGCAGACTTCAACTCCCAGAATTCCTGAGCCAGGCACGCTGGGAGTTGAAGTCCACAAGTCATAAAAGGGCCCAGTTGGAAGAGCCCTGCTTTAGGGACCTTGATCCCATCCGAAGCAGTTTTCTGCCACCTGTCACCCTTCCCACGTTGGCCCGTGGTGGCTTTAGCAGGCTGTTGGAGCCTCACTGTTCTGATCTGCAAAGGCAGCTTGCACAATCCAGTGTCGTTTGGGCAGGACGGCTGCGTTGAATGCAAATGCTGCCTCACCAGCAAAGCACCGGAGGCTGCTCGAACTGAGCTTTAGCGCAACCTCTCGGCTCTTGGAAGCTGTTTACCCAAAAAGAGGGGCCAAGCCTAAGTTGCACGTTGTAGCATGTTCAGCATCCCGAATCCCGGATAAGGTGAGACGCAAAAGCCTGCATTACATGTGCAGCCTCTCACTTCTCCGGATTCTTTTGATAGGGCTGCTTCCAGAAGGTGCAGAGGCCTTTGCCTAAGTGCCCAGCTGACAGAGGCTGGGTTCGCACATCTGGCTAAATCGAGCTCAGCTTGGGTTTAACAGTGGCGTGTAAATGAGGGCTCTTCGGCACTCTCTGAGTTGGGTGGCTTTCTTGCAGACGTTTCGTGACCCAACTAGGTAACATCATCAGGGCTAGAAGGGAATAAGGTTTGCAGAGCGGAGGAGGACTGTGGGGGGTCCCTGGTGCTCTCTGAGCTGGGTAGTTTTCTTGCAGACCTTTCGTGACCCAACTAGGTAATATGATCAAGGCTAGCAGTGCTTGATCCCAGAACAACAGCGCAAGTAAAAAAACCTTTAAGCCTGGGGTCTTCCAACTTGGCCCTTTTAGGACTTGTGGACTTCAACTCCCAGAATTCCTCAGCCAGGCACTGATGATGTCACCTAGTTGGGCCATGAAACGTCTGCAAGGAAACAGCACCAGGGACCCCAAATTTCAGCCCTACAAATATCCCCCTTTAAATGCCATTAATAACACCACTGTCACTTCGGCATCCTGGTTTTTGACGTCATCTATTGCAGGGGTCCTCGACCTTGGCAAAGCTGGCTGAGGAATTCTGGGAGTTGAAGTCCACAAGTCTTAACATTGCCAAGGTTGAGGACCCCTGATCTATTGCACAAAACCAGTTGTGGTTTATTCGGTAAACTATTATTAAACTCTGGGCTCGGCACCTTGTGTGAACCGAGGTAATTGAAAATGGGACTCCTCCATTGAAAAAAAAAGGTGTTGGCTAAACAAGAACCTGGGACCTTCGGTGTGCAAAACTGTCATCTCCTTTTGGGGTCAAGCTTGCCCCCTCCCCAGTGACCTTTCGCCACTAATTAGAACTGTCCTGCCATCATCCTAATGGCATTATTGCCCGGGTGTGAAAATGAACAGCGGAAGCAGTTGGTCTTTTAAATAAAAGGTGCCAGAAACTGAACGAGCAGAAGGGGGAAAAAAAGGAAAAACAGAACAGACCTGCAAGGCAGTTGGGTGGGTGTGATTGTGTCAAGGGTTTTTTATACCATAGCAACCTGGCTGGGGTCCAACTACATCGCTGTGCCTTTGGGCTTTTATTTTTTTCCCTGCCTTGCTCCATCCCAAATGGGCCAGGGTGATGGGTATGTTTGAAAGCGTGTATTGTCCTGCCTTTCCTCCTTTTTTTTGATTAAAAAAAAAAACTCATTTTCCCACATAGCTCAAATGCAGCGGTAAACCCGAATTCTTGCAGAGAGAGAGAGCCTCCGTGACGTTTTGTCACTGCTCAAAAGGATGGTTATTCTTGGCCATCTGTAATTTCAGCTGCTGGTCCCTAGCTAAGCAGAGCCGTGACTCAGAGGAAGCCACCTCTAGCTTGCTGGTTCCTCTGGGGAGAACCTGGGATGTGGCAGGGACCTCGTCCTGTGATTTGCATCATGGCTTGTAGGCTGCAAACACACGTGAGCTGCAGATGCTGCAGTTTCGGCGTCCTTGAGCAGGTGGTGAGCGAAAGCTCATAGCTGGGTGCAGGTCGGCCCTTCCGTCTCCCTGGCTCTCTTCCTAGGCCAGGGGTAGGCAACCTTGGCTCTTTTAGGACTGGTGGACTTCAACTCCCAGAATTCCCCATGCTGAGGGGAAAGGGAGAGGTTTCCAAGCTGAGCCAGGCTGGCTCAGGTATTCTGGGAGTTGAAGTCCACCAGTCATAAAAGAGCCAAGATTGCCTACCCCTGGCCTATACATTCTTCGCCTTTGGAAGACGGGGCCCTTAACCAGGTTTAACGTTGCTCTGCTCTCCTCTCTCCAGGTGAATGAACTGAAGGAGAAAGGAAACAAGGCCCTCAGCTCTGGCAACACCGGCGAGGCCATCAAGCACTACTCGGAGGCCATCCGGTTGGACTCTTCCAACCACGTGCTGTACAGCAACCGCTCGGCTGCCTATGCCAAAAAGGGGGAGTACCACGAGGCCCTGGAAGACGCTTGCAAGACCATCGAGCTGAAGCCGGAATGGGGCAAGGTGAGAAGAGGGTTCCAAGTTGCTTTTGAAACCTCTCCGCTTTGCTGCTGAGGCCAAGGACGAGTCCTTGACTTACGACAGTTCTTTTAGTGACCGTTCAAAGTCACAACGGCACTGGGAAATGGGACCATTTTTCACCCTGGCGGCCGTTGCAGCCTCCCCATAAGTCATGTGATCGCAGTTTGGACCTTTGGGCCACTGACTCGTATTTATGACAGGCGCCAGGACTCGCGTGGTCCCCTTTTTGCGACTTCCTGACGCACAAAAACGATGGGGAAGCCAGGTTCACTTAACAACTCAGCGTGACTAGCTCAGGGGTAGGCAACCTTGGCTCTTTTATGACTCGTGGACTTCGACTCCCAGAATTCCTGAGCCAGCCATGCCCTTTTTTTTTCCCTCCTACCTCCTATAGCAGAAAGATTGCAGAGGAAGGGATTATAAGAGAGTAAGCACATCGATGGGTATACACATCCTGATGGCTCAGGAATTCTGAGATTGCCTACCTCTGACCTAGAAATTCCTCTGTGTCCATCAGTCCCAGTGATTGACAGCTCTTCCTGTCCACAAGTCCTTCTTAATGCCTCATCCATTGAAGTCTCATCTCATTTGGTTTAGGGCAGGGGTAGGCAACCGTGGCTCTTTTATGTCTGGTGGACTTCAACTCCCAGAATTCCTAAGCCAGCCACGCTGAGGGGAAAGGGAGAGGTTTACAAGCTGAGCCAGGCTGGCTCAGGAATTCTGGGAGTTGAAGTCCATGAGTCATAAAAGAGCCAAGGTTGCCTACCCCTGTCCTAAGTCATCCTGTTCTAAGCGGTGAGCCTCCTAGACCAGGGGTAGGCAACCTTGGCTCTTTTATGACTCGTGGACTTCAGCTCCTGGGATTCCTGAGCCAGCCATGCTGAGGGGAAAGGGAGAGGTTTCTAAGCTGAGCCAGGCTGGCTCAGGAATTCTGGGAGTTGAAGTCCACCAGTCATAAAAGAGCCAAGGTTGCCTACCCCTGAGCTAGCTTAACAATTGCAGTGATTGACAGGGAAGCTCTTCAAATTCACATTCACTTCACTGTCTCACTTAACGGCAGAAAGGTGCTCCCTTGCGGTCGTAAGTCGAGGGCTACCTGTACTTCCAGAGTTCCAGCTGCCCCCACCCCTGTTGGTCAGGTGACTCCACTTAGAGCAGTCCTACCTGCAGTGTTTTTTCCCTGAAAACCGGCATTTATTTCCGACGCTGGCCAAAACGCCCCAACGCTTAAAACAACGGCGGTGTTTGAATGACAGCTGTGGATTCGCTTAACGACCCCGAGGGGAGGGCTCTGGTTTCTCTGTGGAGGCGTCCCTGGCCTTCTCTGATCCGTCTTGTGCTCTTTTGCAGGGCTATTCTCGAAAAGCAGCCGCCTTGGAATTCCTGAACCGCTTTGAGGAAGCGAAGAAGACGTACGCGGAAGGGCTGAAACACGAGCCGGGCAATGCCCAGTTGAAGGAAGGCCTGCAAAACATGGAATCCAGGCTGGCAGGTGAGGGGAACTGGAGCTGGCTCTCTCCCCGACTTGGCTAGGCTTGGCCTCCCTTGCAGCAGTCGGGAAGAGAAACGGCCCGCCACTTTGGAAAGCAGCAGGGATTAGGGCCGTGCAAACGTTCCACGAGGCATTAGGGATCCAAAAACTGGGTGGGAGGGTCTCTGTAAAGCAGTGTTTCTCAACCTTGACCATTTTAAGGCATGTGGACTTCAACTCCTCCTCCTTCCGGAACCTCTTTCAGAGCGGAACCTCATGAACCCGTTCAACATGCCCAACCTCTACCAAAAGCTGGAGAGCGACCCTCGCACCAGAAACCTGCTCAGCGACCCAAGTTACAGAGAGCTGATTGAGCAACTCCGCAACAAACCGTCGGAGCTGGGAACGTGAGTGTCGCTGGGGTTTTGTGGGACCTGAATGGTCCAGCCAAAGTTGCACTTTCCTTGGTCGAAGCCAGAGTCCCCTAGCCCATCTGCTATTAGAATAGAATAGAAGCTGGAAGGGGCCTTGGAGGTAGCAGGAGAACCTACACCATCTCAGACAGGTGAATGTAGAATAGAATAGAATAGAATAGAATAGAATAGAATAGAATAGAATAGAATAGAATAGAATAGAATAGAATAGAATAGAATAGAATAGAACAGAGAATGGATGAAAATAGAATGGAATGGAATGGAATGGAATTAGAATAGAATAGAATAGAATAGAATAGAATAGAATAGAATAGAATAGAATAGAAGCTGGAAGGGATCTTGGAGGTCCTCTAGTCCAGCCCCCGCTCAAGCAGGAGAACCTACACCATCTCAGACAGTCTTTTCTTAAAAACCTCCAGTGATGAAGTGCCCACAATTTCTGGAGGCAAGAAGTTCCACTGGTGAATTGTCCTCACTGTCAGGAAGTTTCTCCTTAATTCTGGGTTGCTTCTCTCTTTGCTCAGTTTCCAACCATTGTTTATTGTCCTGCCCTCTGGTGCTTTGGTGAACAATGTGGCCCCCTCTTCTTTGTGGCAGCCCCTCAGAAAGTGGAACATTGCTTTCATGTCACCCCTATTTCTTCTTTTCTTTAGACTAGCCAAACCCAAGTCCCACAGCCTTCTTCGTATGTTTTAGTCTCCAGGCCTTGGATCATCTTAGTTGCTCTTTTTTAATTGCTCAGGATCTTCCTTTAAAACTTCTTCTAGCATTTGTCTAGAGTTCCATCAAGGAACTTCAGGGCATTAACAAAATAAAAGAGTTGGAAGGGACCTTGGAGGTCTTCTAGTCCAACCCCCTGCTCCAGCAGGAGACCCTATGCCATTCCAGACCGATGGCTGTCCAATCTCTTCTTAAAATCTTCCAGTAACGACTTCCGGAAGCAAGTTGTTCCACTGATTGATGGATCATTTAGTTTGAAGTATTTATTTAATACTGATTAATCAATTCTCATTCATTTTCATGCCATCGGGCAGCCATTTGGGCCGTGCATCCTGCAAAGGCTTTGCAGGAGAACTTTGCTTTGAGAACTACAGTTCTCTAATTCACGTGGTTGTAAAGGAGAGCCAAGGCAGCAAAATCAGAGGGCTCATCTAAATAAAAGCCCTTGGGGGAATCCAGGCAGGTTTTGCCTGCTCTTTAAACCGGGTTAAAACTTGGCTTGGTGCGCTGGGACAGCCTGCCCAGGACGTGTTCTGAAGTACTCAGGCTGGGCTTCTCCCCCGCTTGTCTCCCTGCCGTGTGACAGAAAACTGAAGGACCCCCGGGTGATGACAACCCTCGGGGTGCTGCTCGGGGTCGACTTAGCCAGCGCTGACGATGAAGATGAAGCCATGTCTCCCCCTCCTCCTCCACCCCCCAAGAAAGAGCCCAAGGCAGAACCCATGGAGGAAGACCTGCCGGAAAACAAAAAGCAGGTACTGGTCGCTGGCAGAGTTGGTATCCTGCAGAATGAATGAATGAATGAAACGAAACTAGAGATGGAAGATGGAATAAGGAAGGAAGAAAGGAAAAGGAGGAAGATGGAATAAGGAAGGGAAGGAGAAAGGGGAGGAAATGAAAGGGAAGAAGGAAGGGAAGAGAGGGAGGGAGGAAGAGGGAATCAGGAAGGAAGGATACCAAAAGGGAGAGAGGGAGGATGAAGGTAAGATATGAGAAGGAAGGGAGGAAGGAAGGAAGGAAGGATACCAAAAGGGAGAGAGGGAGGATGAAGGTAAGATATGGGAGGGAAGGAAGGAAGGAAGGAAGGAAGAAAGGATACCAAAAGGGAGAGAGGATGAAGGTAAGATGAGAAGGAAGGAAAGAAGGATACCAAAAGAGACGGAGGAAGGAAGAATACGAAAAGGAAGGGAGGGAGGAAAGATGAAGGAAGGGAGGATATGAAAAGGAAAGAAAGGAAGGGAGGTTTTCCAAGATCTCCATCCTGATTCTCAGATAGAGTGGGTGGCCAGCGGGGAAGGCTGAAACTCCTTACTAGGACCGACCATTTGTGTTGAATGTCCTGCCAAACGAGTCTGGAGTGTCCTTGATCAAGACGTAATCTGCTGATTTTCAGGCCCTGAAGGAGAAGGAATTGGGGAACGAGGCCTACAAAAAGAAAGACTTTGAAAGAGCCTTGGAACACTATAACAAGGCAAAAGATTTGGATCCAACCAACATGACTTACATTACTAACCAAGCAGGTGAGGTGGGCAGAACGGGGGGGGGGGGAGAGAAACTTGCAGGTTTAAAAGAGAGTAAACCCTCCTAGCACTGATGATGTTACCTGGTTGGGTCATGAGACGTCTGCAAGGAAACCAACAAGCTCAAAGAGCACCAAGGACCCCACTCTCCTCCTCCCCCTCCTCCTCCTCTCTGCAAAACCCACTCCCTTCTAGCACTGATGATGTTACCTGGTTGGGTCATGAGATGTCTGCAAGGAAACCACCAAGCTTAGAGAGCACCAAGGACCCCACTCTCCTCCTCCTCCTCCTCCAGCAGCTAGTGGAGAGAAGACAGGCATCGCTTACCCACATCGTTGGGTGGGGAAGGCATCTGTACTTCTCCCAGCTTCACACCTGCCTTTGAGTGTGTGTGTGTGATTTTTTTTTTCTTCATTCTCTCTCGGCTTTCAGCGGTGTACTTTGAGAAAGGCGATTACAGCAACTGCCGAGAACTGTGCAAAGCAGCCATCGAGGTGGGGCGTGAGAACCGGGAAGATTATCGACAGATTGCCAAGTAGGTGGCCAACATTCCTGGGGTGGTTTTCTCCTGGGGATCGGAGTTGGTTGGTTGGTTTTTTTTAAGCCGCCTCTCGAATTGATCCCGCTGTCCTTGAGGGCCGCCTTAAAAGGTTAACTTTTCAAACAGGCAAAGATCAGGGCAATATTTATTAAATCTCTTTTGGGAATTTTTCCCCCTCACCACCACCCCCACCCCGAAAAACAATGAACAAGGGCAGCAGGAGCTACAATAACGCCATATATTAATACATGGCTGCTTAATGTTAATAATACTATTAACCCATGGCAAGAACTGTGGCAGGGCAGGTCGTAAAACGGGGCAAGACTCACCTCAACCAATGCCTGGCTTAGCGACAAGATTGTCGGGCTGTCCGTTCCAGCTGGCTGGAGGATGATGATGATGACGGTTGTCATTGTGATTGTCTCGTGTCTTAGAGCTTACGCCCGAATTGGGAATTCCTACTTCAAGGAAGAAAAGTATAAGGAAGCCATCCAGTTCTACAACAAGTCTCTGGCTGAGCACCGGACTCCAGAGGTGCTGAAGAAGTGTCAGCAGGCGAGTGTCCATCTCTGAGAGTCGTCTGCAACTCTGCTGGTTTCTGACTCCTTTGACCCCTGTTCTTGACCCTCTCCAGCAGCCCCGCACCTCTATTTATTTATCATTGCCTTTATTATTTTTTTATAAACTCAAGGCAGCAGAGGTGCCTAATACTCCCTCTTCCTCCTCTTTTCCCCCACAGCCACAATAAGCCCGTGAAGTGGGTTGAGCTAAGAGAGAGGGAGTGGTACAAAATCAGCAGCTTTCATGCCTAAGGCGGGACTAGAACTCACTGTCTCCTGGTGATTGGCCCTAAGTCACCCAATCATCTTTCATGCCTCAGGCGGGACTAGAACTCCCTGTCTCCTGGTGATTGGCCCTAAGTCACCCAGCCATCTTTCATGGCTATGGTGGGACTAGAACTCACCGTCTCCTGGTGATAGACCCAAACTCACCCAGCTGGCTTCCATGCCTAAAGTGGGACTGGAACTCACCGCCCAGTTGCTCCTTCGTACCGGAGCTTGTTCCTGGATGAATAATATTTAAACTTCCTTTCTCCCCAGGCTGAGAAAATCTTAAAAGAGGAAGAAAGGGAGGCATACATCAACCCTGAGCTGGCTTTGGAAGAGAAGAACAAAGGCAACGAGTGTTTCCAGAAAGGTGATGGGGTTGTGTTTGGCTTTTGTTGTCCTTTGCGTGTTGCATCTCCCCGCTGGAAGAAAAGCGCTTCCGACACTGGCCCCATTAGGCCCGAGTTTCTCTTTTGAGCTGGGCGGACTTCAACTCCCAGAATTCCCCAGCCAGCCACGTTGGCTCAGGAATTCTGGGAGCTGAAGTCCACCCAGCTTAAAAGTGGCTGAGAAAAACACTGCATTAAGGCTCCAGGCTTTCTTAAAAATGCGGCGTCTGCAGATGGGGCGAAACTTGGCGAGATTTTACTTCCCTCCACGCTGTAGGAAGATGAAGTTCCCAACGGTGGAATTAGGGGATTAATTGCTGGAGAAACTACGCCCCGAATCCAGTGCATTTCTCCACCTTGGTCAACAACCTGCTTCCTTTAGGAAGCCTGCAAGTGCAGCCAGAAAGCCCCACTGTTATTACTTTGCCTGGCAGTCATTATTCAAAGGTATACTGCCTTGGAACCTGGAGGCTCTGTACACCCAATGATGGAGGATTTCTCCCGCAGGGGATTATCCACAAGCCATGAAGCACTACACCGAAGCGATCAAGCGTAACCCCAGCGATGCCAAACTGTACAGCAACAGGGCTGCCTGCTACACCAAGTTGCTGGAGTTCCAGCTAGCGCTCAAGGTGAGCATCTGCGCCCCAGCTTGTTGGGGGAGAGGCCCTCCTGACCTCTTTGTGTTTCTTTTATCATCCCTGCATGCGGAAAGCTAGCCTGTCAGGAAGACTCTGGAGACGTTAAGAAGACCTTTTTTTTTCTTTGCGAATTTGCATAGGAGGCTTTTCGCCCCGGCCATTTCTGAAGTCCACTTTACCAGGTCGTCTGCTGTCCAGTCCATTTCAGGCAGGCCTCGGCTTAACATTCGTTTAACAGTCGTTCAAAGTTAGGACAGCGCTGAAAAAAAGTGACTTATGACCATATTTTCACCCCTAACCACCTTTCCAGCATTGCCCACAGTCACGTGATCCAAATTTTCGGATGCTTGGCAACTGACTCGTATTTATGACGGTGGCAGCATCCCGGGGTCATCTTTTGGTGACCTCACAAGACAAGTCAAGGGGGAAATCGGATAACGCTTTAACTTTAAATCTTGAATTTAAAATCCCAGAAGTCTCCATGGGACGCCCACCTCTAATTCACCCCTTCCCACAATCCCGAAAGAGTCAAAATGGCTTCTCCTCAAGAGTTGGCCAGCGAGGTCAAATTGGGAAGATTAGTGAACGGGGTCAATGCTGCGAACATCGGACGTTTTTGCTTTGACAACAGTTGGAGATGCAACCCTTTCCTTCCTAGAGTTAGATGATGCTGGGAGGAGGAATGTGCATGAGAGTTTAGCTAGACCAGGGGTATGCAACCTGGGCCCTTTTAGGACTGGTGGACTTCAACTCCCAGAATTCCCGAGCCAGCCACGCTGAGGGGAAAGGGAGAGGCTTCCAAGCTGAGCCATGCTGGCTCAGGAATTCTGGGAGTGGAAGTCCATCAGTCCTAAAAGAGCCAAGGTTGCCTACCCCTGAGCTAGAGACAACAATACTGGACCTAGCGTGGGAACCAAGGTCATTGAAATAAGAGATGATAAGGATTGGCGGGCTGGGCAAGAGGGGAGGGGGGAAAGACACGTTTTGCTGAGAAAGTGATCCAAAAAATGCCTCCTTCGTTCCGTAGGACTGCGAGGAATGCATCCGTTTAGAACCCGCGTTCAGTAAGTCAAGGGATTTGAACCTGGGGGCTCCGGGGCTCGGGGGGGGGGGCTGGCAGACTGGCTGGCTGGGGAACTCTGGGAGTTCCTTCTTCAACCAGCCAAGGTTGAGAAGCATTAACTCAATGCCTAGGGCCCCCTTCTTCCTCTTGGACAGAGGGGAGAGCCAACCCGGGAGCAAACGCCGTCCCGCCTTCTGACACGGACGGCGTTTCTCTTTGCTTGCAGTCAAAGGCTACACACGCAAAGCGGCGGCTTTGGAAGCCATGAAGGACTACACCAAGGCCATGGATGTCTATCAGAAAGCCCTGGAGCTGGACGCGAATTGCAAGGTGAGGGCTTGGCCAGACACACCGCCGTGGCTGTTTTGAACCCTTGACAACCGATGCAGCCTCCCCGTTTGGTCATATGATCAAAACTCAACTGGCTCGTATTTATGACGGTTGCGGTATCCCCGGGGGCCACTTCATTCCCCTTTTGCAGCCAAATTCACTTAACGACCGCGTTGCTAACTGAAGAGCGATTCGCTTAACATCCGTAACAAGCCAGGTCGTAAAATAGGGCAAAATTCGCTTAACGAATGTCTCACTTAGCAGCAGAAAGGTTGGGCTCCGTTGTGCTTGTGAGGACTCGCAGCATGTGGCCCAGCAGACTCGAAGCTACGGGAAGAAACAATCATTAAAGGCCGTAATTAGGGGATGTTGCTTGCTCAAATGCGTCCTGCACAACGACGGTCCTCTAAACAGGTTTTTATCCTGGGTGTGCAATGCTACAGGAAGCCGCGGAAGGTTACCAGCGCTGCCTGATGTCCCAGTACAATCGCAACGACAACCCCGAGGATGTGAAGCGCCGGGCCATGGCCGATCCTGAGGTGCAGCAGATCATGAGCGACCCAGCCATGCGGCTGATCCTGGAGCAGATGCAGAAAGATCCACAGGCGCTAAGCGAGTGAGTGAGGACTGGGGAAAACCCGTTAAGACAGTGGTTCTCAACCTTTTTAATGCCGCGACCCCCAACCGATTGTAAGTCGAGGACTACTCAACCGGTCGTAAGTTGAGGACTACTCAACCGGTCGTAAGTTGAGGACTACTCAACCGGTCGTAAGTTGAGGACTACTCAACTGGTGCAGCACCGTTTGCAGAATGAGACGTTTGGCGGGCTCAGCAGGGCAGAGACAGGCTGGACAATTCCTATTGGCTTTGGAAAGCCAATAGAATTAGAGTCTATTCAAGAGAGTCTCTTCTATTGGCTTTCAAAAGCCAATAGAATAAAAGGGAGGAGCACAGCTAAGGAAAAGGGGGGAAAAAATGGCGGACTGCGTTGTTTGGCGACCCCCGTGAAATGGTCGTTCGACCCCAAATGGGGTCCCGACCCACAGATTGAGAACCACTGGTCTAGAGTCTCCTGCCGAGCTGGGGGTTGGGCTAGAAGTCCTCCCGAGGTCCCTTCTAATTCTGTTATTCTGTTACTAAGCTTTGGGGGGCCTTCCAGATTTGCTAAATGTAGCCAAAACACGGGGAAAAAAATCTCTTTACGGATTTTCCTGACCATTTTCTCTCTCCTTTCCGCAGACACTTGAAAAACCCCGTCATTGCTCAGAAGATCCAGAAGCTCATGGATGTTGGCTTGATCGCCATCCGGTGATGTTTCTGACCATCTTTCACACTTTCCCCCCCCCCCGGTTGAAAAAGGCAGCCTGATGAACTTCTCCACGAAAATCGGTCCAGCGGGGCCAATCTCCTCGCCAAAAGGCAGAGACTCACACATTTGAGACAAGGCGTCCGCCTCTCGCACACGCGCGTGCTCGTACCATCCATCCTATCCGGCACCGGAATATCGGCCTTGTCTGTTGTCCAGGCCCGTTGCTCTGTTTCAGTTACTCCGTGTTGTGAGCTGCCATATTCTTATTTTTTTGGTCTCCCTCTCTTCCCCCTTCCCTTGCAGTTTTTAATTCAGGCCATGGGAAGCCTCGTTACTCGTTTTTCCGGTTTTTCGTTCGGCTGTGAGGCTGCGGTTTACTTTGGTCTCCTGCACATCGAATAATAAAAAAAAAAAAGCAAAATTAGAGGCCTGATTCTCTGAAGGTTTTTTTTTTCATCAATTCGACAGACGAATAAAGGTCAGCCTGTTATAGATAGTCCTTGACTAACGAGGACCCAAAATTTCCGTTGCTAAGCGAAACAGTGAAGTGAGTTTGGCTTCACTTCATAGTGATTGTTCAGGGGATCACTGCAGTTGTTAACTTAGACCAGGGGTCTTCAAACTTGGCCCTTTTAGGACTTCAACTCCCAGGATTCTTGCAGACGTTTTGTGACCCAACTAGGTAATAGGATCAAGGCTATTGGTGTTTGATCCGAGAACAACAGCGCAAGCAAAAAGCCTTTAAGCCAGGGGTCTTCCAACTTGGCCCTTTTAGGGCTTGTGGACTTCAACTCCCAGAATTCCTCAGCCAGGCAATTCCTAAAAGGGCCAAGTTGGAAGACCCCTGAGTTAGACACACGGTTGTTAAACAAATCGGGCTGCCCCATTGACTTGGCCTGGCAGAAGGTCAGCAAAAATAGTTCACATGACCCCAGGGTAGTGCAGCCGTCGTAAATATGAGTCCGTTGCTAAGTGTCCCAATTTTTGATCACGAGACGAGGGACGCCGCAACAGACTTTAAGTGAAAAACGGTCATCAGTTACTTTTTTTAAAGTGCCGTTGTAACTCCAAACGGTTGCTAACCGAATGTGTGTAAGTCAAGAACCACCTCGAGAAAGGAAAAGTTTGGAGAATGGTCTAAAGGACCGAAATCTTGCTGAGATGGGGTGAAAAATCAACGCGTTCAGACATGGGGTGGCTATTCAGAACTGGGCATTCAAGAAACTTCAGAGAGGCCCAGTTTGTTTGCCCGTCTAATGTGCTGCATCAAAAGTTTGCATTCGGCAACGCGCCCTTTTTACAGGATTCCTTAATTCGTTGTTTTTTTTTTTAATTCTTCCCTCCCTCTCTTCTTTTTGCTCATCTGCTTTCAGCGAGAAACACTGCAATTGTTCTGAAGTATTTCTGTCCCGGAAGATTTTAATCATCTTCCGCTCCCCTAGGACTTTGTCAGAGGGTGATTAAAAAGAGCGGGGGCAGAGTTGTGCAATCTGGAAATGTTGCGTCAGCTTTCCAAATTGGTGCAATCTTGACACTCCGGGGGGAACGTCTCCCATTTCTGTGGAGTTGCAGCCAGTGCGGCTTCGGTGTGGCAAGACGTCACATTTTTTTATATTCCTCTAATGGCTACGTTGCTCACCCCTTTAATAGATTAATGGTTTGCTTTTCAGGCTGCTTAAATCGGACTTTCTGTGTCCCTGTTCATTTTTTTTCCTCCCTTTTTGTTCCTCTCCTGGAAAGCAGACGGAAATCTATAAATTTGGAGGTCCGTTTGGTTCTGACAATTGCTGATAACGTGCTGGTTCCGTTTGCGCCGACCCACTTTGGGTTGGAGATTGAAATACGGTCCTTAAGGCTTAACGTCCTTTCTGTCACTAAGTGAAACCTGTGAGCGAGCTTGGCTCTTTTTTACGACTTTCCTCGCCATGCCGTTGTTAAGGGAATCGCTCCAGCTGTTAGTCACAATTAAGGGAATCTGGCTTCCCCACTGAGTCAGCTTGTCAAAAGGCGAGACCACATGACCCCGGGAGTCTGCGACCGTCATAAAGAGGAGTCGGCTTTGCCAAGCGTCTGGATTTGGATCCCGCGAGCGTGGGGACGCTGTGCAATAGAAGTGTGAAAAACGGTTGTACGTCGCTTTGTTCGGTGCCCTTGTGACTTTAGAGGTCCCTGAATGAACGGTTGTAAGTTGAGGACTATCGAATTCCCTCCAGGGCTGAGTAGGAGGAACCGTTTCAGACGAAAGGATACCCGCGTACATTTCTGGAAAGGGGGAGGTACTAGAGGACGTAAGCAGAGATACTCGCAACTGGCCAACCTCAAGTTACTTCTCTGCCCTTCTACTGTTGCTGTCTTCAAGAAAGAATGACTGTTTTAATAGAAACGTATCAGTTAACTTTGCCACGGAAATTCTGATAAAGCTTATTGGGAACCAGGCAAGTCAAGATTGCCCCAATGAGTATACATTCCTTATATCTTTGTATTTTATTTATCTATATCCTGCATTTATTGTTTTTACAAGTAAGGTGGAGAACATATGCAACCCACCTTCCTCCTATTTTTCCCCACAGCAATCCTGTGAGGTGGGCAGGGCTGAAAAAGAGGAACTGGCCTAGCCAGCTATTATGCCTAAGGCGGGACTAGAACTCGCCCTGGCAATTGGCCCAAAGTCACCCAGTGGGCTTTCAGGCCTAAGGCAGGACTAGAACTCACCGTCTCCTGGCGATTAGTCCAAAGTCACCCAGCTGGTTTTCGTGCCTAAGGCGGGACTAGAACTCACTGTCTCCTGGTGATTGCCCCAAAGTCACCCAGACAGCTTTCATGGCTGAGGCAGAACTAGAACTCACCGTCTCCTGACTATTGGCCCAAAGTCACCCAGACAGCTTTCATGGCTGAGGCAGAACTAGAACTCACCCTCTCTTGGTGATTGGCCCAAAGTCACCCAGACAGCTTTCATGGCTGAGGCAGAACTAGAACTCACCGTCTCCTGGTGATTGGCCCAAAGTCACCCAGACAGCTTTCATGCCTAAGGTGGGACTAGAATTCACCTTCGCCCAATTTCTAACCTAGTGCCTTTTAACCACTAGACCAAACTAGCTCCTTTTGCCCTCAACGTTCCCCCTTCTTAAGAATTGGTGTTCCTTGCACCAGATGAGACCAAGCTAAGGGCGAGGTGTTTGTGACAGACACAACAGAATGGGGCAATCTTGACCCACAAAAGTTCACGCGCTCCGCATCTGCGCATGCTTCCCTCGGAAGCATTTACAGATCCTTTTTTTTTTTTTTCCTTTTTGGCACCCCTTCTGCATCCACCCCTTCTGTTCGGCTAGAGCCATCCCAGTTGCGACAGTGGGCGAAGACGAGGGCCGGGTCCACCCATCCTGTGACACGGCGAGCGAGTGAGCCAGCACACAGTAAGCGTGTGACCCTTTTCCTCCAAAAAAAAAAAAAGAGGAAACGGAGACGATCCCGCTTACTCAACATTATGAACCAGCAGCTCAGCGAAAAGGGGTTAAAAGTTTTTTCAACCGCGATTTGTACAAATGTGTGGAGCCCCGGTTGAAAAGGCCCGAAGAAACAGGCCGACATGAGAAGTCTGCTCAAACAGACTTAACCTCTTGACATGTTAGTTCAGTAGGGTGAACTAACAATGCCGGCTAAGTTAAAAAGAGATTTAAGTCAAAAGGCTACAAGAAGCAGGGATAGAGCTACAGGTTTCGGTTTAATGGAATGAAAAGGCTAGGACGCTAGAGACAGAGGTAAAATTGGGATTATTTTTTTTTTCCCCTAATCCAGCGTCTGGAGGAACAAACTCAGCTGATAAACAGGCAAATCTTTTTTGTCTTTGAAAAGAAGGAAGTTGAGCAGGGGAACAGCACCCATCCGAAGAACCGTGGTGCCAGTTTTTACTTGTAGCCCTTTCCCTTGAAACACAGAAGTAGGGACCAGGTGAAAACAGATTGCAAAATTTAATAATAATAATAATAATAACAATAACAACAATAGTGGACTGGACTCAAGCAGAACTAAAAGCAATGGATAGGCAGACCAGAAAAATAATGACAATGAATCACGCCCTTCATCCACGCAGTGACATTGATAGACTTTATCTACCAAGGCAAATAGGTGGGCGTGGAATGCTACAAGTACATCAGATGTTGAAGAAGAAAAAATGGCTTTGGAAGAATATCTGAAGAACAATGATGAAGATGCACTGAAATTAGTATATCAGGAAGGCTTAACTACTGGAGAGACCAAACTGGCCTACAAGAAAGACCAAATGAAGAACAGAATAGAGGCATGGGAAGACAAAGCACTACATGGCCAATACATTAAAAAATAGCTGGGAAAGCAGATAATTGGCAATGGCTAAGAGCAGGAAAATTGAAGAAAGAGACGAGGGACTAATTCTGGCTGCACAAGACCAAGCCTTAAGGACAAATGCATTCAAAATTGAGAAGACAGCAACAGACAGTAAGTGCCGCCTATGCAAAGAAGCTGAAGAAACAGTTTTGGTAAGCTGTTGCAAGAAGATTGCTGATTACAAGCAGCGGCATGACAAAGTAGCAACAATGGTGCATTGGAAGATCTGCAAAAAATATCATTTGCCTGTAAGCAAAAACTGGTGGGATCATAAAATAGAGAAAGTCATAGAAAATGATAAAATTAAACTGCTCTGGGACTTCAGAATTCAAACAGACAAGCACCTTAACACCCCAGACTTAACAATTGTCGATAAGAAAGACAAAAAAGTCTGGATAGTCAGTGCCTGGAGACAGCAGAATAGAAGAGAAAGAACTGGAGAAGATAACCAAAGACCTACAAATAGAAATAGAAAGACTGTGGCAAAAGCAAGCAAGGGTAGTACCAATAGTCATAGGCTCCTTGGGTGCAATCCCAAAACAACTGGAGCACCACTTGAGGCATTGACAAATTCGCTATTAGTCAATTGCAAAAGGCGGCCTTATTAGGAACTGCTTCCATCCTGCGACGATATCTGTAATACCATCAAACATCCACATCTGCCTATCCCAGGTCCTGGGTAAGGACTCGATAGGTAGACAAAATGCCAAATCCAGTCTGAACATCTGGCTGACTGTGCGATGATCGATAATAATGTTGGAAGGGACCTTGGAGCTCATCTAGTCCAACCCCCTGCTCAGGCAGGAAACCCTATACCATTTGAAACAAATGGCTGTCCACTCTCTTCTTGAAAACTTCCAGCCATTTCATTCTCTGTCGTCCCCTCCTTCTCTTGCCCTCCATCTTTCCCAGAATCAGGCCCTTCTCCAGGGAGTCCTTCCTTCTCATTAGGTGGCCAAAGTCCTTGAGTTTCAACTTCAGGATCTGGCCTTCTAAAGAGCAGTCAGGGTTGATCTCCTCTAGGACTGACCGGTTTGATCGCCTCGCAGTCCAGGGGACTCACAGGAGTCTTCTCCAGCACCGTAGTTCAAAGGCCTCCATTCTTTGGCGCTCAGCCTTTCTTAGGGTCCAACTTTCACTGCCGTACATTGCAACTGGGAAAACCATGGCCTTGGCTATACGTACTTTTGTTGGCAGGGTGACATCTCTGCTTTTGAGTATGCTGTCTAGATTGGCCATAGCTTTCCTCCCCAGGAGCAAGCGTCTTTCAATTTCTTGGCTGCAGTCCCCCATCTATGGTGACTTTGGAACCCAGGAAAATAAAATCTGTCACTACCTCCATTTCTTCCCCATCTCTTTGCCAGGAATTGAGAGGGCTGGATGCCCTCTTAGTAACCTAAATTCCGAGGGCTCTTTGCAGATCGGTATTCTTTCTCCTGGCCCTTTTTCAAGCTTTGTAGCTTTGTAACCTTGTTATTATTTTTTTTTAAAAAAAAAAAACATTTGCATCCTATCGCGCTGCCAACGCTAACTCGGGTTGTGTTTCACAACTGCCACATACGAAAAAGGAAAAGGGGGGTGGAGTAAAAAGCTTCTTCCCCCGCTGTACGTGATCTAGAGATGCAAAAGCCTGGAGAAACGCTGAGGGCGACGCTCGGAACGAAAGGGCTGCCGACAATCGTCACCGGATGTGAAAAATCGTCAGCTATTTTCCCTCCCCCCCTTCTTCTCTGAAATGTGTGAACAAGTTCAGAAGTTGATCTTTTCCGAGATCTCGCATCCCGAGAGGCTGTTTTATTTTTTTAAAGCTGAATTCACGACCCCAAATTTATCTTGCTACGCAAGACAGTTGTTCAGTGTTAAGTTGGAAAGTCGCAAAAGGGGATCACGTGATCCCAGGACGTTGCAACCGTCACAAGTACCAGTCAGTTGCCAAGCGTCCGAATTTTGATCAGCTGACCACGGGGAGGCTACAAAGGTCGTCAGCGTGAAAAACGTCCCTTTTTTTTCAGTGCCGTTGTAACTTTGGACGGTCACTAAATGAACTGTTGTAAGTCGAGGACTGCCTGTAGTAAGTTCACAATCAGGTGAACGAAGGCATCGTGGGTCCTTGCTACTCAACCGCCTCCTTTATCCCACCGGGATTTTCACTCTTCGGGTAGTACTCGACTTTACAACCGCAATCAGGATCAGAATTTCCGTCGCTAAGCAAGGAGGTTATTAAATTGCGCCCGATTTTACCAGCCTTTTTTTGGCACGGTTCTTAAGCTAGTCCCTGCAGGTTGTTAAGTGAATCGTGCGGTCATTAAGCGAACCCAGCTTCTTCCATTCGACTTGGCTTGTCGGGAGCCGGCTGGGAAGGTCGCAAGTGGCGGTCAGGTGCCGCTGCCACAATCACAAGGACGCACCAGGGGCCAAACGTCTGGATTTGGATCGCTGGTGAAGGTTGTACGTGCGTGAACTACTCGTAAGTCTGTTTTTTTCAGCGTCGTTGCAACTTCAAGCCGTTGCTAAACGGTCGTTAGGTCAAGGTATCCCAGAACGATAAAACTGCCTAAAACTGGAATTTCAGGCAAGCCAGTCTCTTGTTTAAAATATTTTAAAAGGCCTTTTCTTGGCGACTCGGGCTTTTCCCCAGAAAACAGCAAGCGTTTAAGTTCTCCTTTTGGCTGTCGGGGCTGCTTGGAGAGGCGTGTAAACAGCGCTGGGCGGTGGGGGCTTTGCAAGGGCTTTACTCAAACCCTGGGGCACTGCTGTGTGTCACCCTCCACGCAGCTGGGAGGAAGTTGCAAGGGGGTGGTGTGCAAGAAGACGCCCTGACTTGGGGAAAGACCTGCAGGGAGAGGCGGGTTAGAACAAAAGGCCAGCCGGGAACCTCCAGGGAGGCGTTTTCGAATCCAGCTGGGGTCTGGGAAAAACGTCAGGGGGAGACCGAAGCGAGGAAGGTACGTTCTGCGTTCCTCTTTCCTTCCCAACGTGTCTTTCTCTTTTGAAAACAATGCAGGTTCTGTCCCGCCACCCTTTCTAGACGAGCTTTTCCTTTGTGGCGGGGCTGGTGATGCTCTTTGCAAACTCAAAAAAAGGCCTGGAGGATTGAGGACACTACATTATCTGGATTTTTAGGCCCCTTGCTGCCTTGCCCAAAGGTGGACCAGCTGCTTATTTCCAATCAGCTCCGCTGCCTTCTACAGAGCCTCCTTCTTCAGGAGCACGTTACCCTCCAGATGCCAACTCTTGGGAGGGGAAGGGCTGGCGAGATGAAGGGGAGCTGCTTTAGAAGCCCAGGGAGGTTGATGAGCAGGGAAGATGCCAAACACGGGGACGAGACATTTTGTTAAACCCTTAGCAAATATCTTCACCGGGTCAGCCATCTTGCGCGCTAAATCAGCATTTTCCCCGATGCACGGGATCCTATTTGGTAGGCAATCATCCTACTCTGCCTCAAGGAGTAGAAAGTCCTTCTCGAAGTGGACGGGGCAGGTATGCAGAAGGTACATAAAACGAAGTGGGTGTATTTTAATCCGGGACACACCTAGGCCACACTCAAGTGACTAATGCAAAGTTTACCTTCTCCAAAAGAGCCGCAGCCTCTGAGTCACTTCCTGCAGACGAAAACTCAGAGGTTTTCTTGGATTTTAACTCCTTTATGGGAGAAAAACCAACTCCATTGGTTGAAAAATCGATAGCTGGCTAATTGGCCTTAATCAACACAGACGTTCAACCACCACCAGCGGGGAAACTGCGGCAGGCAGGGGGAAAAGCTCCCACCCAGCAGGAAGAATGGAGAGGAGAAAATTTGGCATTTTTTTTAACCCCGCGGGGGAGACTCTCCAGGCAGGTTTGGCCAAGAGGGCTGGCCTCTTTTTCCTGGCAGCTAGGAGTGTAGCGGTCTGGATGTGCCAACCTGTGACGCTGGTTGGCTTTCGGATGCAACCGAATGGTTTCCTGGGACACCGACCTGCAGTGGCTGGCTTGTTGTGAGAATCCTGCTGCTTGCTGTCTGTTCGTTTGCTTTAATCTGAGAAAGGAGGCTGTCTGTAGCTCGGGGTTGAAACACTGGAGGTTTTTAAGAAGAGACTGGACCGCCATTTGTCTGAAATGGAACAGGGTCTCCTGCCTGAGCAGGGGGTTGGACTAGATGACCTCCAAGGTCCCTTCCAACTCTGTTATTCTGCTGTACTTTTTTCCTTCCTTCCTTCCTTCCTTCCTTCCTTCCTTCCACCCACCCTCCCTCCCTCCCTCCCTCATCACTGGAGGTTTTCAAGAAGAGTTAGACCACCTTTTGTCTGAAATGGAACAGGAACTCCTGCCTGAGCAGGGGGGTGGGCTAGAAGACCTCCAAGGTCCCTTCCCACTGTTATTCTGCTATCCTTCCTTCCTTCCTTCCTCTCTCTCCCTCCCTCCCTTCTTCTCTCTCTCCCTCCCATCTTCCTTCCTTTCTCCCTCCCTCCCTCCCTCCCTCCTTCTCTCTCTCCCTCCCATCTTCCTTCCTTCCTTCCTTCCTTCCTTCCTTCCTTCCTTCCTTCCTTCCTCCCTCCCTCCCTCCCTCCCTCCCTGGGGTTTTTTAAGAAGAGATTGGACCGCCATTTATCTGAAGAGGGTTGGGCTAGATGACCTCCGAGGCCCCTTCCATCTCTGTTATTCTGCTATTCTGCTATTCTGAAATGAGGGGTCCTTGATATTCTCTTGAGTGGTTCCCTTGAAGACATTTCATTACCAAACTAGGTAACACCCCCCCCCCAGGGCTTGAAGGGGGAGGAGGCTTCGCTGATGATGTTTTTACCTAGTTTGGTTCATGAAATGTCTGCAGGAAAAAAACGCCAAGCTCAGAGAGCATCAGGGACCCCTCATTTTCATCAAGTTGGCCACATCCCAGTCTGACTTGTGCAATGGGGGAATTTAGCAGAGGAGGGAGGCTATGAACTCTCTTCCTCCTTTAAGCTTCATGAACTTCAGCTCCCAGAATTCCCCACCCAGCAGGCTTTAAGGTGCATGAACCTCAGTTCCCAAAATTCCCCAGCCAGCAGGCTTTAAGGTGCATTAACCTCAACCCCCAGAATTCCCCAGCCAGCATGTTTGAAGAGGGGTAATAACTAGTAATAGTAGTAAAGTTGGAAGGGACCTTGGAGGTCATCTAGTCCAACCCCCTGCTCGGGCAGGAAACCCTACGCTATTTCGGACAAATGGCTGTCCAGTCTCTTCTTAAAAACTTCCAGTGTTGGAGCATTTACTGCTTCTGGAGGCAAGCTGTTCCACTGCTTAATTGTTCTCACTGTCAGGAAGTTTCTCCTTAGTTCTAGGTTGCTTCTCTCCTTGATGAGTTTCCACCCGTTGCTTCTTGTCCTGCCTTCAGGTGCTTTGGAAAATAGCTTAATTCCTCTTCTTTATGGCAGCCCCTGAGATATTGGAATACTGCTATCATGTCCCCCCTTGTCCTTCTCTTCGTTAAACTAGACATACCCAATTCTAGCAACCGTTCCTTATATGTTTTAGCCTCCAGTCCCCTAATCATCTTTGTTGCTATTCTCTGTACTCTTTCTAGAGTCTCAACATCTTTTTTACATCGTGGTGACCAAAACTGGATGCAGTATTCCAAGTGTGGCCTTACCAAGGCATTGAAGAGTGGTATTAATACTTCACGTGATCTTGATTCTATCCCTCTGTTAATGCAGCCTAGCACTGTGTTGGCCTTTTTGGCAGCTGCAGCACACTACTGGCTCATATTTAGGTGATTGTCTACTAGGACTCCAAGGTCCCTCTCACAGTTACTACTATTGAGCATGGTGCCACCTATGCTGTACTTGTGCATTTGGTTTTTCTTGCCTAAATGTAGAACCTTGCTTTTTTCAACATTGAATTTCATTTTGTTAGTTAGTGCCCAGTGTTCAAGTCTGTCCAGATCCTTCTGTATCTGAAGCCTGTCTTCTGGAGTGTTGGCTATTCCTGCCAGCTTGGTGTCATCTGCAAATTTGATGAGTTCCCCATCTATCCCTTCATCCAAATCGTTGATGAAGATGTTGAAGAGTACTGGGCCCAGAACAGAGCCTGGGGCACCCCACTACACACTTCCCTCCATATAGATGCAGTTCCATTGAGGACCACTCGCTGAGTACGGCCGGTCAGCCAGCTATGGATCCATCTGGTGGTGGTTCTGTCTACCCCACATTTTTCTATCTTGTCAAGTAGTAGGTTGTGATCTACTTTATCAAATGCCTTACTGAAGTCCAAGTAAATTATGTCCACAGCATTCCTCTGATCCACGAATTTTGTCACTTGGTCAAAGAATGCAATAAGATTTGTCTGGCATGATCTATTTTTGACAAACCCATGTTGGCTTTTAGTAATGACTTTGTTTGCCTCTAGGTGTTCGTTGATTCGTTGTTTGATTATCTTTTCCAGGATCTTCCCAGGTATTGAGGTCAGGCTGATAGGTCTGTAATTTCATGGATCCATTTTTTTTCCTTTTTTGAGGATGGGAACTACATCATCTCTTTTCCAGTCCTCTGGTAGTTCCCCTGTGTTCCAGGATCTTTGAAAAATATAGTTCAGTGGCTCCGATATCACATCTGCCAGTTCCTTGAGAACTCTGGGGTGTAATCCGTCTGGTCCTGGCGATTTGAACTCATCTAGGCTGGACAGGTGCTCACTAACGATTTTCTTGCCTATCTTAACTTGTGTTTCTGTTTTGTTTTTTGTGGACTTCCCAGAATTCCCCAGCCAGCCTGCTGGAATTCTGGGCGTTGAAGTCCACCTACGTACCTTCAAGTAGCCAAGATTGAGAAAGACTGCTTTAGACTGCTACAGCAGAGACTGTTTTTTTTGTTTTTACATCACCTCTTCATCCTTCTTCCTTTTCTCTCCATTAAGGACCAACCATGGCTGGCATAAAAACAGCGAGCGGAGAGTATATTGACGATTCCTGGGAACTCGGTATCTTCGTGGAGGACCTGGGACCTGAGGCGGACCCCATCAAACTCCGAGTCAGCGGGAACCTGCACATCGGAGGCATCATGTTACTGATCGCGGACAAATTAAGTAAGTACCAACCAAGGAGAATATTTGCAACTCCAGGTTGAAATGAGGGGTCCTTGGTGCTCTCTGAGTTGGTGGTTTTCTTGCAGACGTTGCTTGACCCAACTAGGTAACATCATCGGTGCAAGAAAGGTGATTTGCAGCAAAAAAAACCCCTTCCCTTCTAGCACTGATGATGTTACCTAGTTTGGTGATGAAACGTCTGCTAGAAAACAATCCAGCTCAGAGAGTACCAAGGACATCCTCAAATTAAGTCAGTGTCTCAGTGCACAGATAGTCCTCAATTTACCTATTTAATGACCGTTTGAAGTTACAATAGCATTAACCTATGACTGTTCCTCGCACTTGTAACGTTTATGTGAACAAAATTATGCATTTGGCAACTGAGTTGTAAGTTGAGGACTGCCTGTATGATGTCGTAGGGTTTTCCCATGTACTGAAATCATACCCCAATTAAAAGCCCCCTCAAGTGGGAGACCCTGAGAAATCCTCAAATTTCCATCCTATCTAAAACACCTCCCCCCAGTAGGAAGGAAAGGAAAATGGCTGACTGCAGGGGAGAAGGGCGCTGTGACTCAGCTTGAAGGTTATGGTCGTCCTTTTCCTCCGCGAAGGACCCCTGCATTAACCAGATAAGCCATGGAAAATGTTGTCCTGGAACCACAGGGGTAGAGATACTATTCGTTTACACCCTGGGAAACGATAACCAGGCCCGGAAGTAAACTGTTTCCAGCAGTTCCTTAATTTTTTTGAGTTTATTTTGACAGTCTTTGAGCACCATCCGGAAAGGGGGGGGGGGACTGGACAGTTCTTGCAGTTATTTGTTCCTCTCTTACGAAGAGGGAAAAAAAATTCTTCTACATCGTCTTCAGCTAATAACTGGGTGAACGGACAATCTTGGGAGTGATAGTTCTCGCCCACTGGGAAGGCAGAAGAGCTGGGAAAGGTGGTTAGAAATCATTTTATGTAGATAAGATGGATGGATGGATGGATGGATAGATAGATAGATAGATAGATATGATTAGAAAGATAGAGATAATAGAGATAGATATAGAGATATAGTAGAGAGAGAGATATATAGATAATATAGAGATAGATAGATAGATAGATAGATAGATAGATAGATAGATAGATAGATAGATATAGAGATGGAGATAATAGATATAGAGATAGAGATATAGCGATATTTAGTAGATAGGTAGGTAGGTGGATGGATGGATGGATGGATGGATAGATAGATAGATAGATAGATAGATAGATAGATAGATAGATGTTTTAGAAAGGAAGATAAAAATTAATTGAAAAATATATACGAATATAAAATCAGGAAAAGAAATAAAAAAAGGAATTGGAGAAAGTGCAGGAAAGGAAGAAAAAGTAAACGAAGAAGAGAAAGGAAAGAAAGAAAAGTTACAACTAGTAGCTTCTGATCTTCTTTACGGCAGTTATAAGTCCATTTATCAACTGACCTCTGACTCTACGGCTACAACAAAATTATCTCCACAGATCAGTGTATTTTAAACTGACGACGCCAATTCCTCTCTGCTAATTCCGCTATTAGATTCCTCGGCTTCCTCGGCTCTTTACTATTAAGAGCGGTTCCTTATTTTTAACACGATCAACTTCAGGAGCGTGTCTCTGAGTTGAGTTTTCCTCTTCCTTCCTCCGCTCTCTTTCCTCTTGTGACGTGTCTCGGCTCAGGAGACCACACAACGCACGGCTTTGTATTTTAGACTGAGGGTGATCCAAGGCAATTTCTCTTCGTTCCGAGCTCGCCCGTGCCCTTCCGGCTGTCTCTTGGGCCAAAGAGTAGGACCCAAATCCTTCCTTGCTCCCCGTTGCTTTTCCAGCCTGATGGGACTCTCCCTTCCTGTCGCCTTTCTCCAGAACTTCAGAGGGACTGGTCGGATCACGCCTTGTGGTGGGAGCAGAAGAAACGTTGGCTCCTGAAGACCAACTGGAGCCTGGATAAGTACGGGATCCTGGCCGATGCCAAGCTCCACTTTACACCCCAGCACAAACCGGTGGTGCTTTTCCTGCCCAACCGCTGCCAGGTCCGAGTCCGGGCCAACTTTGCCCAGCCGGTTTTCCGCACCGTATGTGATATCTGCAGGCTACTCGGTGAGTAGGGAACGTCGTTGAGTAGGGGCTGTCGTTCAAAGCTTCGGGCTTAAAGGATGGCAAGGGGTAGAGATGGGAATCCCAGCTGCACGGGAAATCATGAGCCGAGGTGGCGCAGCAGTTAGGGTGCAGTACTGCAGGCCACTTTAGCTGACTGTGTTCAGCAGGTCAGCGGTTCAAATCTCACCGGCTCAAGGTGGACTCAGCCTTCCATCCTTCCGGGGTAGGTAAAATGAGGACCCAGATTGTTGGGGGCAATGTAAATATAGATATACATTGCTTACTGGTGTACACCGCTTAGAGAGTGCTTGCACTTAAAAGCGGTATATAAGTCTCATAAATAAATAAATAAATCCTCAACCTATCCTCAGTTGCTGAGCAGTGGTTTGAAGCTACAACAGAGCGTCCCCCCAAAAGGGACTTTACTTCTGGTGGAATTAAATAAATGCTGGTGGTCCTCGACTTACAGCAGTCCATGTAGTGACCGTTCGAAGTTACAACAGCACCGAAGTTGCAGCGTGATAAAAATTCAGAACGCTCGGCAGCTGATTCACACTTACGACGGCTGCAGTCTCCTAGGCGGGTCGCTTTTGCGACCTTCCGGCAAGCAAAGTCCATGGGGAAGCCGGGTTTCACTTAACAACCGAGTTCCTGATTTAATCGCTGCAGGATTCACTTAACAGCTGTGGCCGGAAAGGGTGTCAAACAAGGCAAAGTTCACTTCATAAATATCTCTCTTAGCAGAAAAAATGTTAGGCTGAATTGCGGCCGTTAAGTGGAGGATGACCTGTATGGGGAGGGGGGGACTAGGAAGCCAGCATCCCCTTCAGATTCCAACCCTGCCTGTCTCCAACCAGGGTTAGTTTGGGTCTTGGGAACGTGTCCGGGTTTGGGGTGGGCTAACTCCTGTCCCGTTGCAGCCATCCGTCACCCGGAAGAGCTGTCCCTGCTGCGTGCGCCGGAGGAGAAGGACAAGCGGAAGCAGAAGGAGAAAGAGGAGACCGCCGCCCGGAGCTACGACCTGTCCAGCGTCCGGCTGCCAGCAAGTGAGAGCGTCACAACTTTGCATGCATACGTGTGTACAGGTAGTCCTCGACTTGCAACAGTTCATTTTGTGACGACAGCACTGGAAAAAGGGCCGTAGGTTTTCCACACTGACAGCCGTGGGCGCATCACGCTGGCCAAGGGATCAGGATTCAGATGCGGGGCCACCGGCTCGCGTTTAGGACGCTTGCTGGGGTCGCGCGATCCCCTTTTGCGACGTTCCGGCCAGCAAAGTTGGGGGGGGGGAACCAGATTGGTCTGACAACTGTGTTATTGACTTAACAACTGCAGTGCATCTGAAGCGTCCAAATGTGGATCGCGTGACCGTGAGGATGCTGCAAGGGTCGTAAGTGTGGGAAAGGGTCATCCGTCACTTTTTTTCAGTGCCATTGTAACTTTGAATGGTCACTAAATGAACTGTTGTAAATCGAGGACTTCTTGTATTGGCCTAAACCAAGGATTATTTGGGAGCCGGACACTGATCCGTGACACTCTCTCTCTCTCTCTTTCCCTCTCTCCCTCCCTCCCTTTCTCCCTCTCTCTCTCTCTTCTTCCTTCCCTCCCCCTCTTCCTCTCTTCTTCCCTCTCTCCCTCCCTTCCTCCCTCCCTCTCCCTCCCTCCCTCTCTCCCTTCCTCCCTCTCTCCCTCCCTTCCTCTTCCTCCCTGTCTCTGTTCCTCCCTCCCTCCCTCTCTCTCCCCCTCCCTCCCTCCCTCCCTCTCTCCCTCCCTCCCTCTCTCCCTTCCTCTCCTTCCCTCCTTTTCCGTCTCCCTCTCCCAGGCGCAGAGCAACAGACCTTCCGAGGGATGCCTGCTCACTTTTCGGACAGCGCTGAAACCGAGGCTTGCTATCGGATGCTGTCGGTCAGCCAGACTAACCTGACTCCCGAGCAGATCGTCCGAATGCACCGGCCGGGATCCCTTGTGGAAAAGACCAAGATCAACAGACAGTAAGCCAAGCCTTGGTGGTGGAGCATCTTGGCAACTGTCGATGCAATTTAGGAGAATCTAATTTTTGCTTTCTTGCTAAATCCCATCCCTTGCTAAACTGCAATTCTCGCTGCAACTTGAGAAGCGTGAAATTGATTTGGCTCATGCTGGATGCCATTTGCTCCCCCTTACTGATGGTAATTAAAGCGATATTGCTCTGAACGTGGAGGCTCTATTGTTTTAAAAATGTTCCTTTGGATGAACTTAAGGGGTTCTGCTTTATCCCAGGCTGGAATGCGATTAAATCCAAAAGTGTGAAATTCAATTAAATCCAAAACGGCTCGCCTCTAAACACATCCCAAAGGTAGCCAAATCTCCCTCCATCCTTTTATAATTTTCTAACAATGGTATCCAAGAACCCTTAAAATATTGCGTAGGTAGGGAAACGGAGAAAAATCCTGGTAATTATTTCGGCACTGGAACTGTCCACCAATTTACCCCTAACTATATTTTCATGATTATCTTATATACTGTCCTAGATCGTGCATGGGACTACGTACAACTTTATAAATCTAGAAATGGAATAAATACAGATGGACCTTGATTTACAGCCATTCGTTCAGTCTGAAGTTACAACGGCGCCGGAAAAAACTGACTTGGGACCGTTTTTCACACTTACATCCCCATGGTCATGTGATCCAAATCCAGATGTTGGTTGCTGGCTCCCGGGGTCACGTGACCCCCTTTTGCGACGTTCTGACAAGCCAAGTCAATGAGGCAGTCGGTTTCGCTTAACAACGGTGTTACTAACTTCACAACTGCAGGGATTCTGTGCTTCTTTTAGCCAATCCTCACTGCTGCTCCTTTGTTTAGGTGGCTGGATTCATCCCGCACTCTGCTACAACAAGAAGTAAAAGAACAGGATTGTTTATGGCTGCGCTTCAAGTATTACAGCTTTTTTGATCTGGAGCCAAAGGTGAACATCTTAAGGCGCATAACAAGTATTGTTATTATTATTATTTACTTATGTGAGGCTTAGGGAACTTCAAATGTGTATTTCTCCACTTTCTGCTTTTATCTAAGGCAGGGGTGGGCAATTCTGGCTCCTTTACGACCTGTGGACTTCAACTCCCAGAATTCCTGAGCCAGCCATGCTGGCTCAGGAATTCTGGGAGTTGAAGTCCACAAGTCGTAAAGGGGGGCCTAGTTGCCTACCTCTGATCTGAGGTAAAATTGTTGCTACAGCAATCCAGGATCAGTCGATCTTCATTCATGTCAAGGGTCAGACGACCACAGGGGGATATTTTGCAAGCCAAAGTTTCTAGTCCTCATGACCAGGCAAGAAAGGCTACGTTTACTTCTGAAGCACGGATTTGGGTTTCAGCCCTGATGATGGGGAAAGGCCCACATGCATGGCAATTTGTGTGTGTGTGTGTGTGTTTATTTTTAAAACAGGGCTTTCCAGATTTCCTGCCCCTTTCTAGATTCTTTCCCTCAAGTCAAATTAAGATTTGATTTTGCATCCTTTCTCTCTCGGTTGCCGGTGAAGGGCGTGAGGCACGTCCCAAAGAGGGGAGGGGAAAAAAAAATATATCCCCAGCGCAAAGCATCCTTTCGAAAGGGAACAGAAAGCACGTGGCTCCAGGGTGTTGAGTAATACAAAAGAATCATCCGGCTGTTTTACAGAACTGCAAATCTTTATTTCCTGCCAACGTGGCGGGCGCGTTTCCCCTCCGTTTATGTGAGAGGTTAAAAAAAAAAAGGAGAATTTCTCCCCTTCACAAGGGAACTATGTTTGGAAAAGAAGATTTTAATTCTCTTTTAGGTCTTGACTTCATGGCAGTCGTATTTTAATGTGTGGGGTCCTGGGTGCTCTCTGAGCTGGGTGGTTTCCTTGCAGACGTTTCATGACCCAACTAGGTAATATCATCAGTGCTAGAAAGGAGTGGAGTTTGCTCTCCATTTTTATACATGTGGCTTGTCCTCTCAGTGTTCGTGGGAATGGACTTTGTGATTCCTGGATTGGGCTGTTGTTTACTGTTAGTTTCTTTGTCTGAGTTGGGAGTAGCTTGATTGGGGTATTGTTTGCTTCTGGACTGTGAGAACCAATCCCACTTCCTGCTAGCACTGATGATGTTACCTAGTTGGGTCATGAGACGTCTGCAAGAATACAACCAAGCTCGGAGAGCACCAAGGACCCCACAGTCGTCGTCTTGTCCTCCTCCTCCTCCTCCTCCCTTCTAGCACTGATGATGTTACTTAGTTGGGTCATGAAATGTCTGCAAGAAAACAACCAAGCTCGGAGAGCAGTAAGGAGTCTTCCTCTTCCTCCCCCTCCTCCTTCTCCTCACAAGCCCCTCTCCCTACTGACACTGATGATGTTACCTAGTTGGGTCATGAGACGTCTGCAAGAAAACCACCCAGCTCAGAGAGCACCAAGGACCCTGCAGTTCAACTCTGGTATACAGATACAGCCCCCTCTTCTATCCCTACCTTATTTTAATTCTTTTCCCGGGTTCGGAGTGTGACCTTTCTCAATTTGGAGGAGGCCAAGCTTCCGAACCGCTGGCAGCTTTCGCAAGAAGGGTGAACCTTCAACCAGATTGCTGCTTTGTCTTACACACACACCCTCCTCCCTTCCTTGCAGTACGACGCTGTCAGGATCAATCAGCTGTACGAACAGGCCCGCTGGTCTGTGCTGTTAGAAGAGACCGACTGCACGGAGGAAGAGATGATTGTCTTTGCTGCATTGCAGGTAAGGCTGCCCTCTTCCCCCCCCCCCCACACACAGACAAATTGTGCCCTAGAACAATAATTATCCAGTGCCTTAGGGTCGGAAAACATGCAACGCCAACCTTTGCCCATCGGTGCTCTCTTCTAGTATCGCATCAACCAGCTGTCCTTGAGCGCCAGCCCTGTGGAGCAGTCCAGCGAGTCCGGCCTTGATGACTTGGACAAGGCTTTGGCTAACTTGGAGATCAAACTGGAAGGCCCGGCTCCGAGTGTTTTGGTAAGGACCCAGATTTCACAGGAAGTCCTCGACTTAATGGCCACAGTGGAGCCCAAAAGGTCTGTGGCTAAGTGAGATGGCGGTTAAGTGAATTTTTACCCCCATTTTATGACCTTTCTCGCCACGGTTGTTAAGTGAATCGCTGCAGTTCTTTACACGTTTGTTAAGTGAATCTGGTTTCCCTCATTGACTTTGCTTGTGAGAGAGAGAGAGAGAGAGAGATGATGGATGGATGGATGGATGGATGGATGGATGGATGGATGGATGGATGGATGGATACATAGACATACAGATGGGTGGATGGATAGATGGATGGATTAAGATATGGAGGAATGGATGGATAGATGGATTAAGATATAAATAGATAATTGTATTGATGGATGCATAGATAGTGATAAATAGATAACATAAGATGGATGGACAGATCAACAGGTGAGGGGTGGATTTAGACAGATGATAGAAGATAGGTAGATAGATAGATAGATAGATAGATAGATAGATAGATAGATAGATAGATGATTGATAGAGAGAGATAGAGATGATTGATAGATACAGATGAGATAGATAGATACACAAAGATAGATGATAGATTTATATTAGGATAGATAGATAGATAGATAGATAGATAGATAGATAGATAGATAGATAGATAAAGATAGAGGAGAGAGAGAGAGAGGGAGGGAGGGAAGGAGGGAGAGAGATGAGATAGTTGAAGTCCCCAGTCGTAAAAGGGGCAATAGTTGCCCCTTTCTAATCAAAGGTATAATTGTTGTTGCACCAATCAAGGATCAATCAATCAATCAATCCCCATTCAAGTCAAGGATCCTGGCTGGCTGGGGAATTCTGGGAATTGAAGTCCATGCATCTTAAAATGACTAAAGGTTGGGGAATCACTGTATAAGGTACTTAAGAAATACAATAATCCTTTTCTCTTTTTTTTTTTGTCTGTTTCCCTCTGGCCTGCTCTTTAGGACAGTCTCACAGCCATCCCAGAGCTGAGGGACCACCTCCGAATCTTCAGGTTAGTCCTTTTCAACGGACCTGGCTATTTTCTTCGTAATGCCAGGCCTGGTTTTTATGCCGCAGATCTTTAGAACTGAGCAAAAGCAGAGGCTTTCCCAAGGTTGTGTCACTGTGAGTTGTTGGATTAACATAACCTTAAGATCCGTGGACTTCAACACCCAGAATTCCCCAGCTAGCATTGAATTCTGGGAGTTGAAGTCCACCTATCTCAGAGTTGCCAAGGTTGAGAAACCCTGCGATAGCAGGTCTGGAGTCTCCATTTCCAGAGGTTTTTAAGAAAAGTCTGGATATTCGCCTCTTGAGGACGGTTTAAGCTGTTTTCCTGCACATTGAGGTGCTGGAATAGATGACCTCAGAGGTGCCTTCAACTCTGTGATTCTCCAGCCACTTTTGTCCGGCCCTCTTTATTCCTCCCAGGCCCCGGAAGCTGACTCTGAAAGGTTATAAGCAGTACTGGGTGATCTTCAAAGAAACGACCATCTCGTATTTCAAGAGCCCAGAAGATGCGTTGGGAGAACCTGTTCAACAGCTCAACCTGAAAGGTGAGTCCATCATCATATCAAGGAGAAGATGGCACAGCCCAGTGGCTACTCCACTCCTCCACCGTCTTGGTTGCAACCTCTTAGTTCTTCGGCTGAAAGGATCTGGAGAAGAACCGGCTGGTCCTCAGCCAGAGTAGACCATGTACGCAAAGTGGACCATTTCTATATGAAGGTCTCCAAATATGATTTTCACTTCCCAGCCTGGATGCCAAACAGTGGAAACCATGGAAGATGAGTCCCACTTGGAAATTTGGGGGCTAGTGAGACCACAACATGTGTTGTGTTCTTATTGAGTCTGAAGTCTTCTTCTCTTTCTCTCCCCCCCTCCCCCCAACACTCCAGGCTGCGAAGTGGTGCCGGATGTCAACATGTCTGGCCAGAAATTCTGCATCAAGTTGCTGGTCCCTTCTCCTGATGGGATGAGCGAGATACACCTGAGATGCGTGGACGTAAGTGTTACGAAGACGCGTAGAGAAGGAAGCCAAGTTGGGAATGAGAGTCGGGCAGAACTTGCTGGGCCCACCCTTGGTTCCCTCAAGCACGAGATGGAACGAAAGTATCTCAGAAGTTGGAGCTTCAGGACTCCCAATGCAGGAGAGCCCCCCGTTCTCCTGCGGGAGAGCTCGCCTTCTAAAGCCGTAGGAACGCTTGAAGCATCTTTCTCTCCCGTCTTCTTCACCACAGGAGCAGCAATACGCCAGCTGGATGGCCGGCTGCCGCTTGGCAGCGAAGGGGAAGACCATGGCGGACGCCTCCTACCAAGCAGAAAAGGAGAACATTCTCTCCTTCCTGAAGCTGCAGAAGACCAATCCGGAGATGTCCCTGGCGACTGAGACGGAGGGGGCCCAGTGGCTGGTGTCTCCTCGCTACCAGAAGAAGTTCAAACCTAAGCAGGTATCCTTCGTCCTCCAGGCGCCCGTTGCCATTTCCCACAATGCCCTGGATGGAGGTTGTGTTAGGATTGTGGGAAATGAGCAGAGTCCTGAATGCAGCTAGGAAGAGGGACTTGACTGCCTTGCCTCCGTTTCCCTCTGATCGTTGTTTGCGAATGTTTGCAGTTAACTCCCCGCATCCTTGAGGCCTACCAGAACGTCTCTCCGCTCTCCCTGGCTGACGTCAAGATGAAATTCATCCAGGCTTGGCAATCCCTCCCTGATTTTGGAATCTCCTACTTCGTGGTCAGGTAAGGGACGGCCCCGGGTGGCTGCATTCTGCTCCTGAGAAGGCGGGTGGGCTTCCTGGAGGGGTGTCAAGAGTTTGGGGAAAGGATTGGGAGACAGGCAGTCAGCAGAGGGAAGAAGGGGGGGGGTGTCTGCTGCTACGTCTTTTCGTAGAGGGCAACGAAGGTCAGGTGCTAAAAAACTGGGGAAGGAACGTTTCAAATCAATGTACGCACTGATAAAAGATTGGGAATTTTTTTCATGGTTTCCAAGATTGATGGATTGGTTCTAAGAGAATCATTCAAAGATCTTTCCTGCAATTTATATACTTCTTGGAAATTTTCCTTCCTTCCTTCCTTCCTTCCTTCCTTCCTTCCTTCTTTCCTTCCTTCCTCCTTCTTTGAACCTTCTTGCAATTTACATACTTAATTTCCTTCCTTCCTTCCCATCCTTGAACCTTCTTGCAATTTACATACTTCTTAGAAATTTCCTTCCTTCCTTCCTTCCTTCCTTCCTTCCTTCCTTCCTTCCTTCCTTCCTTCCTATTCAAGAAACCTTCCTGAAATCTACATGCTTCTTACCTATCTTGGTGAGCTGGGTGGGGACTTGATCCAGAGATCTTCCAACTTAAGGAAGGGAAAAAGAGAGTTAGACGTCCTCAAATCCTATCCTAGGCCCAGAGTAGGAATCCAGATTCAAGAACCCCCATGGAGATCCAGCCCCTGAATGCATCTTCTCTGGGGCGATGTCCATGCCACTCACAACCATACAAAGCCTTTCCTGATTTCTCTTTTTCTCATTCTGCTTCCCGGATTCTGAAATTATACAGAATAGTATCATATCCCCTTTCACACACCCCTTCCCCTCCCCTCTTCTTGGGGTTAAATAGATCCACTTCCTTCAGCAGTGTGTTCTTCTGCTTTTGTTTCATTTTTTCAAACTGCTTTGTTATCCCCCCCCCAATAGATAGCAACAGAGAAATCAACGTCATGATAATCTAGATAAATAGCACATCACCCACCTTGGGGGCAGCCATCTTTCTTGGAAAATACACATCTGGGTGCCATCTGCACACTTGACCGAGGTTCCCAACAGCTTGGTCCAAACACTGATTTTATCCTTAAAGATGACACAGTGCAGAGGTTTGGCCCCTTGTGGCTGGCTGTGGAATTCTGGGAGTTGAAGTCCACATGCCTTAAAATTGTCAAGGTTGAGAAACACTGTGCCGGATGTTTGGTGCTTTGGGGCTGAAGAATTGTCAGATTTTTGGTGTTTTGTGGCTTAAGAATTGCCAGATTTTTGGTGCTTTGTGGCTTAAGAATTGCCAGATGTTTGGTGCTTCGTGGCTTAAGAATTGTCAGATGTTTGGTGCTTTGTGACTTAAGAATTGCCAGAATTTTGGTGCTTTGTGGCTGAAGAATTGCCAGATGTTTGGTGCTTTGGGGCTGAAGAATTGCCAGATTTCTGGTGCTTTTGTGGCTGAAGAGAAACGAAAACAAAAGCAGAAGCAACACCAGATTCAGCTTCGGAACCAGGAAGCGTCTCCTGATGGGTTTACGGGGCTCCGGCGTTTCGTGTGTGCAGGTTCAAAGGCAGCAGAAAAGACGAAATCCTGGGGATCGCCAACAACCGCCTGATCCGGATTGACCTGGCCGTCGGGGACGTGGTGAAGACGTGGCGGTACAGCAACATGCGTCAGTGGAACGTCAACTGGGACATCCGGCAGGTGAGCCCACGCCGAAGGAGGGGAGGAGCGGAGCTCTTGAACAAACGGACTAGAACTCCGTTGGTTCAAGCAAAAGCCATCGTTCTCTGTCGCTTTTGCTCAGGTGGCCATCGAATTTGATGAGCACATCAACGTGGCTTTTAGCTGCATCTCCGCTGGCTGCAAGACGGTCCACGAATACATTGGGGGTTACATCTTCCTATCCACCCGGACAGCTGACCGAAGCCAAACGCTGGACGAAGAGCTCTTCCACAAGTTGACGGGGGGCCACGAAGCCCTCTGATGCTTCTCCTACCCAAAGCCTTCCCTCCTGCAAGGAGCAGCTGATCTCCAGAATATGCTGTCTACAGATCTACGGGGAGGCGAGGGGCTGAAGGCCCTTCCTGGAGTCCAGGCGTCCATAAAGACTTGGAGAGCAATTCGGAAAACGATGGAGCGAGAACGTTCCCCAGATAAGAGAAACCTTTCTCAAAGGATTTGAAGGCTGCGTTAACTATGGTTTGTTGGTGGGTTTTGTGTGTGTGGTTTTTTTTTTTAGTACTTCAAAGCAGGCAATTCGAGAGCTCGCAGCCAAGACTGAACAGCAGAGTTCGAGTAGTTGACTAATTTCAAATATTCAAATATCTTGCCAAGAAGGACAATATTTACTCCTTCTTCCTCCTCCGAGAAACTCAGGGATTTTACCCAACACCAAGCTGGGATTCAGGTACTTTCGTTGTATTTTGTACGGTTTGCGGGGGGGGGGGGGGAGGCTATGTAGATTGTGTTGAGTGCTTTTGTGTTATCGTCTTCGAGGGGCTATAAAGAGGATTTTTCATGAAAACGCTTTCTTCCCCAATGTGATTATTCTTTCTCAGAATGGCCTAGATTGGGAGGAGGCTGTTTAATGTGTCCCCCCCCCCAGCTACAGGTAGTTACGAGCAAAATTGGGATTAGAATTCCCATCCTAAGTCATTGCAGTCGGAAGCCAAGGCAGACCCAATTTTACGACCATTTTTATGATATGAGATAGATAGATAGATAGATAGATAGATAGATAGATAGATAGATAGATAGATAGATTGAAAGTATAGAGATACATAGATAGATGAGAGATAGATAGATAGATAGATAGATAGATAGATAGATAGATAGATAGATAGATAGATAGATATTCATGACAGATATACAAAGATAGAGATAGATAGATAGATGGATAGATAGATTCATATGACAGATATAGATAGATATATAGATATATAGATAGATAGATAGATAGATAGATAGATAGATAGATAGATAGATTCATATGACAGATATAGATAGATAGATAAATAGATAGATAGATAGATAGATAGATAGATAGATAGATAGGTAGGTAGATAGATAGATAGGTTCATATGACATAGAGATAGATAGATAGATAGATAGATAGATAGATAGATAGATAGATAGATAGATAGATAGATAGATAGATAGATAGATGATAGATAGATAGATAGATAGATAGATAGACCTTTATTGTCATTTTACTGTGGGCACAACGGCACACATTACAAATGAAATTACATCTGTTCTAATGGCATGGTGAGGTTTCTCATTGAGGTATGTGTTCAGACCCCCCCACGTTTTATAAATGGCTGCCTGTCAGAGGAAATGAAGGAGGGGAAGACGTCCACGGTCACTCAAGAGGCAGGAGGCCACCTGGGAAGAGAAAAACAGACAGCCCGGATAGGGGTGTTGTTCCCTGCATAATATAAGCCTACACGCCTGGCTGCAGTTTTAAAACCAAAAGGGAAGGAACTCCTGGGCGTGATGTAATGCAAGGTGAGCCTGGCCTGGGAGACTGGGCACAGAGATGCTGGCAAGGTAACCGTCAGATAAGAGGGGCTTGAGTCCCCCTTCTGCAAAAGCAACTGGAGAACGTATCTGGGGCAAGCCCCTCCCAAGCTCCCACAAAGATAAAGCGAGGGACAAGGAAGCCCGTTTAGACCAGAGGCCCCCAACCTTTGGGGCACCAGGAACCGGTTCGGTGGAGACAGGTTTTTCCGCGGAGTGGAGAGTGCATGGTTTTGTGTGTTGCCTGCATCCCACGGATGGGGCTTTGTTTGTTTGTGAAGACTGGTTGCTGGCATGCTGCAGCCCGCTACCAGTCCATGACCCGGGGGTTGGGGACCTCTGGTTTAGATTCATGAGATTCTGTTATTTATGCCAGGGGTCCCCAAACCCCGGTACCGGTCCACGGCATGCCAGCAACCGGTCCGCACAAACAAGCAAAGCCCCCTCCCCAAAGATGCAGGCAGCACGTAAAACCACGCACCCTCCAGTCCGTGGAAAAACCTCTCTCCACGGATCTGGTGATCCCTATTGCCCAAAAGGTTGGAGACCTCTGATAGAGGCTACAACTCGTGACTACGTTTTATCTGGTAGTTCTCGGCTTACAACCCGTTCGTCTTAGCGACCGCTTGAATTTACAACGCCACTGGGGAAAAGGGACTTACAATCCTAGTTCACACTCACAACCGAGGCAGCGTCACGGGATCCAAATTTTCCAGGCGTGGATTTTATATGAGGGTTGCTGGGTCCCGGGATCGCCATTTGCAACTTTCCCAAGCCGGTGGACTTAAGAAGGGCCGGGATTTCCTTAACGAGCAGCCCAAAAAGATTGTAAAACCCGGCACGTCTCATTTAACCGGCCGCCTTGCTTGGCCATGACAATGCTGGGCCCAACTGTTGTCGTAAGTCGAGGACTACCTACAGCGGTGACCTATCTGGAAAGTCCAGAGAAGACCAGCTCTTTCCATGTGGCATCTGTTGAGCCCCTCCGCATCCCACACTGAAACTCTTCCAGATTTCAAGCTGACAGCTTTCTGCACGCGTGTCTTGAGCGGTTCGGAGCCCTGAACTGGGCCTAAGACCCGGAAGTGGCTCCAGACTTACGCCGAGGCTGAAGCTGCAGTGCTCTGCAGAAGTAGCGGGGAAGCAGCACCCCGTCTGCGTTGCCCGGGGTCAGGATGACTCCGTTCGCCGAGCGGAAGAAAGAGATTCCATCTAAGGGGAAGGAGAAATTCTCTGAGTCAAGGAACGTGCATCCTTTCCTCCCCTGTCGTCTAAAAGACGGGTAGACAAGTTGGGACTTCTCTCCCAGGATTTCAGACTGGTTTCCACCCATCCTTAAATTTCACCCTCTGCTTCAGAAGGCAGAATAATAGAGTGGAAAGGGACCTTGGAGGTCTTCTAGTCCAACCCCCTGCTCAGGCAGGAGACCCTGCGCCATTTCAGACAAAAGGCTGTCCAATCTCTCCTTAAGAGCCTCCAGTGTTGCAGCACCCACTGTAGGCAAACCGTCTCTGTTAAATGAAAGGTGTATACTTCTTCAACTGTCTTCTGCTCTACAAGGCTGGTCTTCACTCACCTGCCAGTGCCTTGGGGATATCAATGATTATGGCCACTTCAGAACTGTTTCTCATTCCTGGGAAGAGAAAGAAGAGGCTACACTGAACGCAGTAAGGCTTAATCCCAAGTTAGGGTTGTAAATACCAGGTTGATTACTCAACTACTTTGGTGGAGGTTCACACGTCATGCTGGGCCCTAATTCAGTGTCAGACACTGGCTGAGGAATTCTGGGAGCTGAAGTCCACAAGTCATCAAAGGGCCAAGTTTGAAGACCCCTGACTTAGAGGTATATATCGCTCCGTAGTGCTTTATAGCCCTCTTTGAGGGAATGGGACAATTTGGCACAGCCAACTCGCCACGGGACAATTTAACAATTCTCTTTCACGGTTTGAAACAAATTTTTAAAAATATTTTAATTTTTGCCATTCCCCTTTCATTCTGTGCCTCCTTTCGCATCTTTTCTTTAAGGGTTCTATTCCACCCTTTCTTTGATGTTAGTGTAACTCTTGTCCCGCAACAGGATCTCCTGTGGCAAGTTGGCCCCAGTGAATTGTCACAGACCTCCCCTCCTCTTCTGAGTGGTTTACAAATGTTAGCCTGTTGCACCCCCCAACAATCTGGGTCCTCATTTTACCGGCCTCGGAAGGACGGAAGGCTGAGTCAACCTTGAGCTGGTCAGGATCGAACTGCTGGCAGTGAGCAGTGAGTTAGCTTGCAGTACCGCACTCCACCTACTATGCAGTCTTTTGCTTGTACCAAGCGCCTTTACAATAAATCCAGGATGGTCCCCTGAAGGAAACAGCTGCTAACTGCGATTAAAACCAAGCGGGAATGACAGGCTGTTGGAAACTCCCAACAGACAGGGATTCAAAACCTTAGCACTGATGAGGCTGGGGACAGGAACCCCACAGCCAGAGGCCACCGATCAGAAGACCACCTTCCTCCCCCTCCTCCAAATGCAGGACTCACCACTTAGGACGGCCCCCTCCCCTGGCAAGCCGGGGGCTAAATGGATGTGGGTTCTCCCCATCCGGGACAGGCCGTGCTGACGAATGGCTGGCCAGTGGCGCAGAAGTGTGCCGTGAGCCACAATCTCTGGGAAATCCTGCAGGGTCTGCAGCAGAGTTAAGTCCAGCTCAGGAACCTGGAGGGACACGAGTGACCGACAAGGACTGGCTGAGACGAAATGGCTCTCTTTTTTTCCTACCTTTCTTTCGCTTAAAAGGGTGGCTTCAGAATGCAGATCTGAGTAGAGCAGGTTTCAGATGTGCAAAGCAACCAGGTGCGGGGGTAAACAAGATCAGAAGAGAAAACCCGGCGAGCTAGTTCTATTTTATTGTAAAGCTATACGGGCAGAATTTTGCAAAGTCTGAAAAAAATAAGATGGGAGAAATGAAAGACCTAGTTTGGTGGAGGGGGAAAGATAGGCCTGGAAACCAGGAGATGGTGAGTTCTAGTCCCGAAAGCCAACTGAGTGAGTTTTAGCCAATCACCAGGGGACAGTGAGTTCTAGTTCCACCTTAGGCAGGTAAGCCAGCTGAGTGACTTAGGGCCTATCACCAGGAGATGGTGAGTTCTAGTTCCACCTTAGGCAGGTAAGCCAGCTGAGTGACTTAGGGCCTATCACCAGGAGATGGTGAGTTCTAGTTCCACCTTAGGCAGGAAAGCTAGCTGAGTGACTTTGCACCTATGAGCAGGTGACAGTGAGTTCTAGTTCCACCTTAGGCAGGAAAGCCAGCTGAGTGACTTTGGGCCTATCACCGGGAGACGGTGAGTTCTAGTTCCACCTTAGGAAGGAAAGCCAGCTAAGTGTCCTCTGGGCCTATCACCAGGAGACGGTGAGTTCTAGTTCCACCTTAGGCAGGTAAGCCAGCTGAGTGACTTTTAGCCAATCACCAGGAGACTGTGAGTTCTAGTCCCGCCTTAGACATGAAAGCCAGCTGGGTGACTTTTGGGCTAGTCCCTCTCTCAGCCCAGCCATCTCACAGGGTCATCGTTGTGGGGGAAAAAATAGGAGGAAGGCCTATTAGGTGTCTTCATGTATATACTATACACACACACACACACACACACACACACAAACATATACATAAGCAGCATAAATATATAAAAGCAGCGTAAAAAAAAATCTAATAAAAACAATACCCCTGTTGCAGATGGAAGAGCAGGGAGCAACAGAAAATACCCATTGCGGGCAGTTTTGTTCTGGATTTCTGAAAGCTAAAAACTGCCCCAGACGTCTCTGCTGCATACTTCATTTTTTTATTCATTTTTTCCTGAGGACATGGTTATAGACCTCTGGATATCTATTTTCTGCTCTTAAAAGAAAAGCTCTCCACAACAGCCACACTTGAATGATCTCTGAACCCTTTACCTGGAGCGAGTGTCCCTGATTCGCACAGATCTGGAGGTGTCCACTGGATGGGTGTCGGCCCAGGGCGAAGCGCTGTTTTGCGTTGGTCTCCACGACACGTTTCACGTCCTCCTCCGACCAGGCCTTAAATTGGGGCAAACGAAGAATCTCCACCGTGTCGACAAAACCGTCTTAAGATTCAGGAACAAAAGGACAAAGGCGAAGTTTAAGCCTAGGGCTAAGTCACATTTGGCTTAAGCCACAATTGGCTGGATTTGCCCAGTGCCCTAAGCCAGAATTCTGGACGTGCGAATTACAATGCCTAGATCTGCGCACAACACACTGTAACACTGACGATGTTCCCTAGCTGGGTAAGGAAACATCTGCAAGAAAACAACCAGACTCCAAGAGCACCAAGGACTCCACACACCACACGAGTCATTTTACAGCTTGGCATGAATTACAAAGCAAACCTTTCCTTCTTCCTTGGGGAAAAAAAAAACCCAGCTAATCCTTGATGTTCCCTGAGCTTGGTGGTTTTCTTGGAGACATTTCATGACCCAGCTAGGTAACATCATCAGTGCTAGAAGGGAGGAATGTTTGTGGAGAGGAGGAGGAGGAGGAGGAGGACTGTGGAATTCTTGGTGCTCCCTGAGCTGTGTGGTTTTCTTGGAGACATTTCATGACCCAACTAGGTAACCTCATCAATGCTAGAAATGAGTGGGATTTTCTCTCTGCAGGCAAGCTATTTGTATATAAACAGAGAGCAAACCCCACTCCCTTCTAACACTGATAGTGTTACCTAGTTAGGTGATGAAACGTCAACAAGGAAACAACCAAGCTGAAGGACCAACAAAGAGCCCACATATTGAAACAATTTCTTGGGGTCTTTCTTTCAAACATCTTGCTTTCTGCTGAGGAATATTCAATAGAAAAGCTGGGTTTGCCCAGGCTGAGAACATGGGCAACCAGCCTGATTTTATTTATAAATTTCTGCTTCTCCCAGCCAAGCGAGTTCACAGTAAAAATAGCACCACCTCAGAGCTGCCCGCTGGACCTTCTGCTAGGCTCCCATGACTGTAAGCATCTGAGGCCACTCAGGCCATATTTTAGGTGCCGGACACTAGCGAGGAAAGCGTCAGAAATTACTTACCGGAGGACATGTGGAGGCCCAGCTCATCTGCCCCGTGGCGCAACGCATACGAGAGAGCTTTGGATAGGCGAACATCTGGATCCTGGAATGAAAGTTTGGAGAGAAACTCAGAATGGAGAGAAGGAATGGAAAATAGTCAAAGAACCTGGAGAATGGGATGGAGGAGGAGGAGGAGAGGGAGAGGAGGAAGAGGAAGAGAGAAAGGGAAGGAGGAAGGAAGAGGGAGAGGAGGAAGAGGAAGAGGGAAAGGGAGAGGAGGAGGGGGGAAGGAAGAGGGAGAGGAGGGGAGGAGGAAGAGGAAGAGGGGGAGGGGAGGAGGAAGAGAAGGGAGAGGAGGAGGAATAAACTGCTCGCTCTTTGCAGATAGTCCTTGGTTTACAACCACTCCCTTAGTGACTACTCAAAACTACAACGGCACCGGAAGAAGTGGCCTATCGACGGGTCCTCACACTTACAACCGTCGGGGCATCCCCACGTTCACACAGTCAAAATACCGGCCTGTATTTATGACGGTTGCAACGTCCCAGGGTCGCGTCAGCGAAGTCAATGAGGGGGAGAAGGGGGGGGGAGAGAGAGCCAGGTTTGATGGTTGACCCCGTGATTCGCTTAACGACCGCAGCAGAAACTCATTCGCCCAGAGACACGAGTCCCAGTCCCAGTTAAGGGTTGAGGACTGCCTGTCCTGGAAGAGAGACACACACATACTTGGGAGCGCAGCATTTTGTGAAAGCTTATTTTGTGAGAGTTATTCCTCGCGGGAGGCAAGAAGGAAACCTGGGCCGAGGGTCTCTGACCTGATCCCGGGGTCTCCTCCGGCTTTTCTGCTTTCGCTCTCTCCTTGCAGGCCTTTGCAAAGCTCCCTCGCCACGGCTTGATCCCCCTGCGGCCATTTACGCCTGCAGTGATCCCCCCCTGGTAGAGACTGCAATTACTATTCTTATTCTTGTTTCCTCCTCCCCGAGGATCAGTGGGTTAATTTCTAGACCGTGTCATTGGCGGCTTCATCCTGGTCTGGCTGGCTGGGAGAGGGAGGGAGGGAGGGGAGGGGTCCTCTTTTGGTGCACACAGCCTGAAAAGTCTCCAAAGCACGGGCTGGGGAGGAAAAAGAAAGAAAGAAAGAAGCTAGCCCTTCTTGAAGTCAGCTGACCTGCCAGAGCCGCATGGGCTTCTGGGAGTTGTAGTTTCATGGTCTCCATCATCACGCTTGCCTTCTTCTGGATCCAACCTGTGGCCGGCTACGTTGGCTTACTGTTCTTGTTGTTCCAGGGAGGGGCGTTCTGATCAGAAGCCTCCGGAAACGGCGCTTGATTCTGAGTCTTCAGAAACACAGGTGGTCCTCGGCTTACGACCGTTCGTTTGGCGGCCGTTGGAAGTTGCCGTGGCACTGGAAAAAAGGTGACCTGCAGCAGCAGGTTCTCGCCCTTACGACGAGGGCAGTGGGCTCACAGGATCGTGTGATCTAACTCTGGGCCCTTGGCACAGGTAGTACGACAGGTGGGGCATGCCGGGCGGGGGGGGGGTGTCACGTGACTTCCGTTTGTGACCTTTCCAGTTGGCTTCCGACCAACGAAGTCGACGGGAGAAGCTGGGTTCGCTTCAGAGTCGTGCAGTTCACTTAACGACGGCAGTGGAAAAGGACATAAAACCAGGCACAACTCACTTAACAAGGGTCTTGCGGAAATCCTGGTCCCAACTGTGGTTGTAAGTCCGAGGACTGCCTGTAAACCCTGGAGGTCTTCAAGAAGAGACTGGACCGCCATTTGCCTGGAATGGTAGAGGGTCTCCCGCTTGAGCAGGGGGTTGGACTAGATGACCTCCAGGGTCCCTTCCCACTCTGTGGCTCTATGTTCTAAACTGGCTCTCCAAACCAACACAGGTGGTCCTCAACATACGACCACAACTGAGCCCAACATTTCGGTTGCTAAGCGAGACAGTCATTGAGTGAGTTTTGCCCCATTATACGACCTTCCAGCGAATCACTGCAGTTAAGTCAGTTACACGGTCGTTAAGCGAATTCGGCTCCCCCCTGATGGACTTTGCTTGTCAGAAGGTCGCAAAAGGGGACCAAGTGACCCCCCCCGGGGACGCTGCGACCATCGTAAAGACGAGTCAGTGGCCAAGAGTCTGAAGTCTGATCACGTGGCTATGTGGGGACGCCGCAGCGTTGGTGTGGAAAAGGGCCCTAAGCCCCTTTTTTTTCAGGGCCGTTTTAACTCTGAACGGTCACTAAATGAACTGTTGTAAGTCGAGGAATGCCTGTATTTTAAGATAATTTTTTTTTTAAAAGCAGTCTTGTGCCCAGATTACCACTGGGTGTCAGTCTTGCCTTTCTTCGCTCCTTCTTCGTATGGCTAAGCTGTTGTGTCCTGGAAAGTCATTTCAAGGACAACAGCTGAATATAAAAGGGATTGAAAAACAAAACCACAACAAAAAACCCCTACCAAAACTCTCAGACCATCACATCCCCAAGGTACAACACACACACACACACAAGCCGGCGGCTGAAATGGGAGCAATGGATGAAAACTGCCATTTCTGTCAATTTTTTTTGTTTTGTTTTGCTTCTTCCAATGTCTGCTTTTATTCCGTCTGGCCAGCTGGGATAGTTTTCCTCCTGGCAAAGCAAGTTTGTTTTTTTCCTCTCCTCCTGGGATTTCAGCTTCTTTGCATTCTGTCTTCAGTGCCTGGATTTTAAACCGGGGAAGACTTTGCAAGCCCAGACAGTTTGCTGGTATTTAGGGCAGGCTGTGATTGGATGCATTTTAAAATCATTGCTCAGCAGAAGGACGTTCGGAGAGAGAGACCGAAGTAAGATATGTAGATTTGAGGTGGCCATTTTTCAGTGGGTTTGTTTGTCCCGGTCCTTAGGTCGGTGTGGTTTGCAGGCTGCCCTAAACAGTCTAAGAAGATGCCCTCATGTATTTGCCATTCTACGCAGAAGGTGCTGTGAAGCACACACAGGACCTGTGGGAGTCACGCCGGTCAACAATGCTGTGTGGAATAAAAGGTGCCGTTCCCAAAAGAAGGAAAACACATCAGCCTCAGCTACTAACCCAGTCAAATATAATTTTTTTCCCCAGTGGGTCATGTAGCTCCTTCCTTCCTTCCTTCCTTCCTTCCTTCCTTCCTTCCTTCCTTCCTTCCTTCCTTCCTCCCTTCCTTCCTTCCTTCCTTCCTTCCTTCCTTCCTTCCTTCGTAAAATGAGGACCCAGATTGTCGGGGGCAACAGGCTGACTCTATAAACCGCTTAGAGAGGGCTGTAAAGCCCTGCGGAGCGGTATATAAGTCTAAGTGCTGTTGCTATTATAAGAGTAAATCAAACCCAGTTTGGTGTCCCCAGACCCCCCCCCCATATCCCGGTTTCCCATTGACCCAGTTAAGCATGATGTCAGCACAGTAAAAATCTTCCCTGCCTCTCTAGCCTAGTAAAGCAGAAATCATGAAACAAATACATCAGCTGAGCAACAGCTGAGCTCAGCCACTAAGCTGCTCAGGCTGGGGATAAGATGTTGATGGATAGGGAGGGTACCCAGATTGTCGTTCATCAATTGCCTCCAAGATGCCAATAATCCAGATAATCAGGACTCGGCGAGGGGATCTGCCAAATATTCTGAAATTCTGTGGTTCTCCTGGCCCAACTTCAGCTTCTCGGTTCCCTGGTTCTTATAGGTCACTCTGAAGCTGTCTGAATATTTAGAGCTCCTTAAGTCCGCCAACGGGCAGCGGAAGCATTTTGTGCCAGCTTCTTAATCGTGCATTTTTGCAATTCGCACACGCAACAGCCGCTGGACGTTTTCCTAAGACACTGTTTTGTCCATCCAGACATTGTTGCTCGTCCATCGGGGCTGGAAGTTTTGTAAACTCAGGCAAGCGTGGTTTATTCCATCAGTTGCAGCCCAAACTCGACACAGTTTAAAAAAACAAAACAAAAAAACTGAGAATGCAATCAGCTGTGTTCAGACCACACGGTGAGTCCCAAATCACGATTTACGAACCACAACAGCCAGCTCTCCTAACACATTAAACCAAAAACAAACACATTAAAGTAACTGCTGGTTCCCTATAAATACTGAAGACACTATTGGACTCAAAAATCTGTTTTGGTTCGGTTTTTCGCTTCTTACAAAAACACAAGGCACATTTTTCATTCTTTCACCTCCAATGTTCACGGTGCAAAGCTTATAAGCCGCCCATCAAACACCGTGCAAACTTCAGGACTGCAATTTAATTTGGGGACAAAACAACCCAGCCAACAATGTAGATTCCAGCTTAAGACATTTCCTAAGGGTGGGATGTAGGAATAGAAAGCGGCCAGATGAGTAGAGAGGAGGACAGGGAACGCAGGCTCAGAAACCTACCCAAACTATCCTAGCATCTGGAATTATACCTGAGATGAGAATTCTTTATTATTATTTTTAGTCTACAAAAAAACGCTCTTTATTGAAAAATGGAGCCCAACAGACACAGTTCTAGGAGCTGGAAGACCTTACCAATCTGTTTTCTTCAGAGAGGGGAGAGTCTTGGCCTAACTGCCTTCCTTCGCTGAAAAGTAGGAACCGGTGAATTTGTGGCCGGTGGATGTTTCGGTAAAGCTATTCTGAACAGTTCTTCGGTGAGAGTTTATAGGTGGACTTTTACTGACGCGCTCCCAGGACCTCTGTGTAATGTTTCACTGCCCCTTTGGCTGAGGGGCAGAGTTGATTCCACCACTCGCCCTTCTGCTCCATCGACAGGACATCCTGTAGAGAGAGAGAGAGAGAGAGAAAGAGAAAGGGGGGGAAGAGAGAAAGAGTGTGAAAGGGAGAAAAAGAGAGAAAGAGAAAGGGGGAAGAGAAAGAGAGAGAAACGGTGGGAAAGGGGGAGAGAGAGAAAGAATGAGAAAGGGGAAGAGAAAGAGAGAAAGGGAGAGAGGGAAAGGGAGACAGAGAGAAAGACAGTGAGTGAAAGAGAGAGAGAAATGGTGGGAAAGGGAGAAAGAAGAAGAGAGGGAAGAGAAAGAGAGAGAAAGGAAGAGAGAAAGGGAGTGGGAAAGGGAAAGGGAAAGGGGGAAGGGAGAAAGAGAGAAAGAGGGGAAGAGAGAGAAGTGGTGGGAAAGGGAGAAAGAGAAAGGGAGAAGAGAAAAAAAGAGAGAAAGAATGGGAAAGGGAGAATGAGAGAGAAAGAGAAGGGGAAGGGGAAGAGAAAGAGAGAAAAAAAGGATAGGAAAGGGAGAATGAGAAAGAGAAGGGGAAGAGAAAGAAAGAGAAAGAAAGAAAGAAAGAAAGAAAGAAAGAAAGAAAGAAAGAAAGAAAGAGGGAGGGAGGGAGAGAGAGAGTGAGTGTGTGTGTGAGAGAGAGAGAGATGCCAAAATGAGTTGCCAGCTGGGCAACTTTGGGCCAATCACCAGAAGACGGTGAGTTCTAGTCCCGCCTTAGGCATGGAAGCCAGCTGGATGACTTTGGACCAATCACCAGGAGACGGTGAGTTCTAGTCCTGCCTTAGGCATGGAAGCCAGCTGGATGACTTTGGGCCAATCACCAGGAGACGGTGAGTTCTAGTCCCGCCTTAGGCATGGAAGCCAGCTGGATGACTTTGGACCAATCACCAGGAGACGGTGAGTTCTAGTCCTGCCTTAGGCATGGAAGCCAGCTGGATGACTTTGGGCCAATCACCAGGAGACGGTGAGTTCTAGTCCCGCCTTAGGCATGAAAGCCAGCTGACTCTGCTTGTCAGACAGTCGGAAAAGGGGATCACGTGACCCCTGGACACTGCAACCGTCATCAATACCAGCCAGTTGCCAAGCGTCTGAATTTTGATCCTGTGACCGGGGGCGGGGGGGGGGAGGCTGCAACGTAAGCGTGAAAACTTGGTTCGGTGCCACCGTAACTTCAAACGGTCACTGAACGAATCACTGTCGGGGTCTACCACTCTTCCTCCCTGTTTTCCTGAGCTGAATGCTAGAAATTGGCGCATATTATTCTCCAGCCTCGCTCCCGGGCTCCTTTCTCTTTCTCCATCTCTGCCGCCCCTGGACCAGGGGTTCACAGACCTACCTCTCGGCTGGCGAAGAGGATGCTGACGGATTCTTGAGCTTCTGGACCCCCCAGAGCGTAACGCTGCTTCACCTGCTCCGAGGTCAGGCTGCACCTGCGGGGTAACCGGTGTGACTAACTTAACCCCTGCAGCAATTCGCTTAAGAAACGCAGCAAGCAAGGTCGTAAAATGAGAACCCAGATCATTGGGGGCAATGTAAATATATATATACATTGCTTACTGGTGTACACCGCTTAGAGAGTGCTTGCACTTAAAGCGGTATATAAGTCTTATAAATAAATAAATAAATAAATAAATAAATGGGGGTCAAACAATCAATGAGCGGAGGTCTCATTTAGCCACAAAAATCTGGGGCCCCATTGTTGGTCGTTAAGTCGGGGACGGGCTGTACCCCTCCCCCCCTAAAGCGTTACCTGACGTAGAATTCGGCGCCGCCCCGGCCTGCGGTGGTTTCGTTCCGAACGATGCCGAGCAAAAGAGGGCTGCTGAGGGTGGCTGGCTGAAGGTTCACCTGGGAGCAGGTAAAAAAGAAAAGGTGGGTCGGGAAGCAGCGGAAGGAGAGCGGTCCAACCCCAGGCCTCCTTCTGGTCCTCCAGCCTCTCACCTCATCTTGGACCTCACGAAGCACGGAAGAGAAGAGTTCCCTGACCACCAGATCTCCCGGGAGGTCCTGATGGCGGATCAAGGATCTCTCCGGAGCGTCCTTTCCTAACGCAGCCTGCAAAGAGAGGGCAGTAGCAGCAAATACGCCTACTCCGGAGTAAGGGCTGCACCCAGCATCCATCAGCAACATAAATACATGTATGCATTCACTTTAGAGCAGTGGTTCTCCACCTGTGGGTCGGGACCCCATTTGGGGTCGAACGACCATTTCATGGGGGGTCGCCAAACAACGCAGTCCGCCATTTTTTCCCCCTTTTCCTTAGCTGTGCTACTCCCTTTTATTCTATTGGCTTTTGAAAGCCAATAGAATAGACTCTCTTGAATAGAGTCTAATTCTATTGGCTTTCCAAAGCCAATAGGAATTGTCCAGGCTGTCTCTGCCCTGCTGAGCCCACCAAAAGTCCCATTCTGCAAACGGTGCTGCACCGGTTGAGTAGTCCTTGACTTACGACCGATTGAATAGTCCTCGACTTACGACCGGTTAGGGGTCACGGCATTAAAAAGGTTGAGAACCACTGCTTTAGAATGTGGGATAGATAACTTTTGTCAATGGCTAGAAAAACAAGTCAGAGAGAAAGGAATGTGACATGTAATTTTGAATATGTATTAGTAAGAAGAAGGCGACGGAGTGATTAATTAATATGGTTTACTTATTAACTATATCTGTTATTCTTTTTTTTTTAATAAAAATTTTTATTAATTTCTTTTTTCATCAACAGATGTTAATTTTTCCAAACAACAAGTTGTCTGGAGTTTGCTATGCTAATACATGTTCAATTCCTAATCCTTCATTCTTTTCTCTAACCAAGAATAAAAGAAATTCCAAATTTGATAGTAGTCTGTATCTTCTTTATCTTTCATACATCTGTTCTTCTTACTTAAATACATGTACCCAGATAATATGCTGTTTGCTAAATATTGAAAATGTTACCTGGGAAAACCCCAACCCTAACCCTAACCCAAACCCCAATCCTAACCCCAACCCCATTTTATCCCCAACCCTATTAAAACTAATAACATTTATATTAAAAAAAGAAATCAACTGGAGAGAAGGTCAGACAGAGTTTCTGTTTGTTGCTGCCATTTTCCAAAAGAATGACACCACCTCTGTAGCTTTATAGGGGTAAGGAGATATAATACAGGCAGTCCTCGACTTACGACGGCTGCTTAACAACCATTCTAGGTCAGGGTGGACTTTAAAAAGGTGATTTATCCCCCGGCGTCAAAAGTTATGACTCCTGCGCAAGCGCACACTCCCTGCAGTCATGTGATCACATTTAACCCGCTTTCACACTGATTGTGGCCTGCGGTCATGTGATCATAATTTATGACCTTTGGGTGTGCTGGATTTGTTTCATGATTCCTTCAGTCACCACGGTGACTCACCTTACAAACATCATAAAAATGGTTGTAAAATTGAATCGGGTTATTCGGGCCTCAACTTACAACCGCAAGCATTGATGACTGAAATTCTAGGCTCCGGGGATTGTAAATTGAGGACTGCCTGCTTCTAAGATTAGCGGAATTCCTTAATTCTTTAAGGAATTCCTTAAATATAATCCTTTGTTCCAGAATGCCTCAAACCGGGTACAGACGCCCACCTGAGGCTCCGGGTGTCCCCCAGGAACGTCGATCTTTCCCGGGGCTTCCCCCACACACAGGCTGCGTCGCAAGAAGACAAAGTTGTCGTCTGCCGTCTGCAGCAAGGCACCCACACCCAGGGGGTCGGCGAGATAGGCTTGGCTGTTCCCAAAGTCCTGCTCTCCCTGCTCCCGGAGCTGCCTGGCGGTCTTTGCCAAGTTGGTGCCCACGAAGTCCTTATAGCTGGTCAGCCCCAGGTGGAAAGTCAAAAGGGTCCCATCCAGCTTGACGGAGTGGAGGCGAAATTTGGCCCCGTTGAAAAGCCACGGGTTCTGCTGGCAACGCGCCGCCCAAACCCTGTCGATTCGGGCCTGATCTGCGGGCAGCGAGTTGCGGTCGTAGAGGGGGGAAAGTTCTACTCGGACATCAGACTCGGGGATACCTCCGGAAGCCGGGCACTGGAACAGTAAGGAGATATCTGGGTCCATCCTTTAGTCACCTGAAAAAGAGAAAGGGGAAACTTCCAGCATTCCCTCTGGTTTGGGGGGGGGTTCCCCAGTACGCGTCTACACAGCAATGTTTTTCAACCTTAGCAACTTTAAGACCTGTGGACTTCAACTCCCAGAATTCCCCAGCCAGCCACTTCAGCTCATCATTCTTCAGCTTCCTGCGACTATAGATTGGTGATGGAATTACTACTTAGAGTAGGGAGTCTTCAAACTTGGCCCTTTGATGACTTGTGGACTCCAACTCCCAGAATTCCTCAGCCAGGCATGAGGAATTCTGGGAGTTGAAGTCCGCAAGTCATCAAAGGGCCAAGTTTGAAGAGCCCTGACTTATAGTATCGGAGGTCCCCCCCCCATCCTGTTGCCAGCCTCTCTGTGGACAATCCCAAGGAACACTCAGAACTGAGAGATCAATAATGAAAATTCCATTTGGAAAAGCAGTAAATTCCAGGTTGTTTTCCCCTGTCTTTTTTTCGCAGGTCGTCCTCAACTTACGACCACAACTGAGCCCAATTTTTTGTTCCTAAGCGAGACAATGAATTCTGCCCCATTTTACAATCTTTAATAATAATAATAATAAAGTTGGAAGGGACCTTGGAGGTCATCTAGTCCAACCCCATGCTCAGGCAGGAAACCCTATACCATTATAGACAAATGGCTGTCCAGTCTCTTCTTAAAAACGTTCAGTGTTGGAGCATTCACCGCTTCTGGAGGCAGGTTGTTCCACTGGTTAATTGTTCTAACTGTCAGGAAGTTTCTCCTTAGTTCTAGGTTGCTTCCCTCCTTGATTCGTTTCCATCCGTTGCTTCTTGTCCTGCCCGTTATTATAAGTGAATCATCATAGCTGTTAAGTGAATAACTCGGTTGTTAAGTGAATCTGACTTCCCCATGGACTTTTGTTTGTCAGAAGGTCCCATGACCCTGGGACGCGGCCACCGTCATAAATATGAGTCAGTTGCCAATGTCTGAATTTTGAAACCGTGACTGTGGAGATGTTGGCAATGGTCCTAAATGTAAAAGACGGTCATACGCCACTTTTTTCAGTGCTGTTGTAATTTTGAACAGTCACTAAACATACTCTTGTAAGTCAAGGACTATCTGCATTCACTTTTATCAACGTTTTTTTTTTCCTAGATCAGCCTAGCAGCTGTTGGGCATGCCAATGTGCTCCCTCCTGTCCAAACAATTTAGCCTTCTTGTTTGAAACTCAGAGACTGTCTCTTTTGCCCATGAGGACAGCCAACCTGTCAAGCTATCCATGGTTAACTTGCAGTGGTCGTCACGGCTGGATAGAGAGCGGTGTTCAGATGCCCTGGCACTAGAAATTCCCCTGCCAGCGGGTGGGTGGGATTGACACAAAGCCAGAGCGATATTTTTCAGATTTTGCTGCCCTTCGTGCATTCCGGAGGGCCACGTGGACGGAGTTGATGGGAAGAAGGAAAACAGCAGGAGGTTAAGACAAGGGGGAATTTAGATCAGGGCTGCCAACTGTTCAAAAAAAATTTAAATCTTGATTTGCTTCTCTCTGATTGGGGTGGAGAGACATAAAAGAAGGCAGGGCTTCTATAACAGTCGCAGCTGTGCAGAAGCAAGGATTTGAAAATCCGGCAGCTTAATCGCAACAGAACAATCTTATTTTTACAAGTTAGAAAGAAAGGTTATGGCTGGAGTGTCTGCAGTTAAAGGAGGAGGCTGGAAAGAAGCTGGCAACCCTTATCTGGATCGTGAAAAAGCCTATTTCGGGAGGGTGGGGGGAATAGCAGGAACATTTGACAGGGAGGACAAAGAAATTTAAAAAAAATGAGGCTTCATGCTAATTCTTGATTCCCTCCACAATCTCCATTCGCCATGTCTGATATTGAGCTTTTTTGGACCCGGTTGCAGATGCTATAAATCCAAAAAAACACATCAGCCCTTCAGCTGAGATGGATGAGATTATAAGACTTCAATTTAATTACAGAGCAGAGATGGGCTCCTTCGCAACCCTGAATGCAGTCGCTGCAGTTCAGTGGAAATAAATTTCCTGCAGAAGGAAAAAAGCAGCAGCCTCACTGCAGCTTTGCTGAAGAATCCTTCCTTGGACAGCTCAGCATTTTTTCCCCACAATTTCCCCCCCACAGATTTAAAAAGGATTCAGATCTTTTTTTTTTTTTTTTTTAAATGCTCAGCCCAAAAAATAAAAACAGGCCAGCACCTGATATGCCTGTCTGGCAATAGCTCCATTCAGGAGAGATTTGCACACACACGCGCACGGGATGCGTATAATCTGATTTGTAATGGGCACTAATTAATGTTAATCTCAGTGGGAAGAATTGGGGGTGAGGACTTATATGAACTGGAGGAAGGGAAAGGAAAAAAGACCCTTGGGGACTGAAGCCCAAACCAGGGTGAAACAACCTGTATCATCTCGTTTCTCCTGCTTATTTTTGTTTTTTTAAAAAATAGAATTGAAATCAGCAGACTTTACGATCTCTGGATGATCAGTTAATTAGTTAATTAATTGAACTAATTAGTCAAAGCGAGTTAGTTTAAGCTAATTAGTTTCTAGGTCAAAGCTGTTGTTAATAGGATACTGCGATAAAGTTGGTTTGCTTGTCCTAAGAGTCAGGCAGCTTTGGAAGTGGCTAGGCTAGGTAATTGTGGTGGTGTTTTAGCTGGCATTGGCTTTAATACATAGGGCAGGTTCACACAATAAAATAAGATTGGGGACTTTGGCTTACTTTACTATCCATGCTTAACCCACCTACTATGCATAATGAATGATTAAGCATTAGGAAAATCTCAAGTTGTGGCGTACCCGTCTTGCAACAGCAATCAAAGATCTGTTTCTTCAGTTAATCGATCTTTATTCGACTATTTCCTGGATGATTCCACAAAGGATCAGCTCCAAAGGATGGCACGGCTGGGCGTTCACCAAGGTCCTACAACTGACAAAGAGAGACCTGGCTTTAAGAGTGCGACTTTTCATAGAAAATGTCAAAATCAGATGCTACGGAAGAAAGATTGTCAGACAGACAAACAAGCATAGATACCTGTGATCAGGGGCAACATGGAGAAGGGTTGCAATTTGAGGGGTTTGAGTTTGGTTGTTTTCTTGCAGACGTTTCACGACCCAACTAGGTTACATCATCAGTGCTACAAGGGAGTGGGGTGTGCTGCAGATGTCCCTTCTAGCACCGATGATGTTACCTAATTCGGATGATGAAACGTCTGCAAAAAAACAATCAAGCTCAGAGAATACCAAGGACCCCTCATTTCAACCCTGAGCTAAATATTCTCCTTTAGGGGTTGCAATTTAAAAAAAAAAACCCCTGAATTGGGTTTGCACAAGCAAAGGGGAAGTCCGGGAAAAACTTCCTGTTTTATCTCTTTAAACCAGTTACAAGCTCAGCTGGATAAAACAGGAGCAAGATTTAATTCTGCTTAAGAGATTGGCAGGCTTTTAAAGTCCATTCCTCCCGTTGCCTGTGCAAAGCCACAATGGGTCACTGGAGGACCCAAACATTCCAGAACTCCTGTGTTAGATAGATTAAAATGGAATCCTTAAAGGTTGATAGCATGGTTATTTTTGCCCAACCCGGATGCCAATAAAATAATTTTACTTGGTTAAACAAACAAACTCATTTCTCATTTTCAGGGGTTCAAAATTCTGCAAAAAAAATTGGTAACCCCTGATGTAAGCCTGGAGCATGAAGCATTAATTTCCCCTGCCATTTTTTATCTTTTCCCTCTCCTTCATACCATGGAAAATGTTGGCATTTCTATTTGGCAAGAACGTACTTCCCTTTTGATGCTGGTTTTCCTAAGCTGTCCTGACTGGCCCCTTTGTAGGAACCCCCCCCAATTCAAAAATAAAATAGACGGTCCATTCTCTCTTCTTCCCAATGATAGGGAGACGTCACTGTCGCACCTTTGACAAAAGTGTGTTTGTTGGCTGGGGGTCCCTGGCTGATTTTCATGGCAAGGTTGCTGGCAGCCTTCCCGCGTGTTTCACAGCTGAGCAAATGCAAGCCCTTTTGCCCGGCGCCTTCAAAAAAGCATCTGTATGCTCTTTCTCAAATCAAGACCCACAGGCCTGGCAAGAGATCCCACAGCTAGCTGTTCCCTTGCCTTTCAACCTTCGGAGCTGGCATCTTTCAATTTAAGTTTTTTTTTGTGGGGGGGAACCCTTTTGGATAAAGCAAAGATTCATTCAGTGGGGCTAGAGTCAGAGGTCAGGGACTTGGCTTCGGGCATCCTTGGCTGTTGGCAAAAAGGGTCTGGAGGAGGGGGACAAGTGTGCATTTGATAGACCCCCGGCTGCCAATTCTTGCTCGGCCCCCGATCTTCTGCTTCCACTACAGCCATGACCTCAGGACCATTTGGAGGGATAGAAAATCACTCAGATCAGAAAGAGAGCCAAGCGTGTGCACGTGTACACATCCGTTTGAATTTGCATTCACATGCACAAATATATACCTCTCCATAAACAAACATATTTTAAAAAAAAAAACTGACAATCTGAATATAGCGTATGTGTGTGTAAACTTGATCTTTCATCTAAAATGTGTATGTTTGCATGCATCTATAAAATCTCATCGTTTAGAATTTCTCTTTGTGTGCGTATTGTACACAAATGTGACACTGCTTAGTTTTTTGCCAATTATATGTGACTTCTGCATGGCTGTTACATCTAAATATATAAACTGTGTGTGTGAATGTGGTTGTATATAAAACTGGACTTGGTCTACCTTTCACATATACACACAATTTATATGCATGCATACATGTTTGTGCATAATAGGCATGTATAAAATTTGACACGGTTTAATGCAGCGGTTCTCAAAGTGACTAGGAGACCGTTTCAAGAGTTCTGTGTAGTCAAATAAATGAACATTTTTAAATGTCTGAGTTTTTAACTTCTAGTGTAGTAAAAACTGACAAATGTAACTTATATTTATATATAAATATAAACCCTTTGGGGGCCTTCCATCATTTTTAAGAATGTAATGTGGGCCTGAGACCACAATGTTTCAGGGCACTGCTGGTCTGTTTCACCTAAATATAACCTACTTTTAAAAATTTGACAGGCTTTAAGCGTTTCTCAACCTTCGTAACTTTCAGATTTGTGGCCTTCTGGCTGGGGAATTCTGGGAGTTGAAGTCCACCCATCTGAAAGCATGCTAGCTGAGGGATTCTGGGACTTGTAGTCCATACATCTTAAAGCATGCTGGCTGGAGAATTCTGGAACTTGTAGTCCATATCCCTTAAAGCATGCTGGATAATTCTGGGACTTGTAGGCCAAACCTCTTAAAAGCATGCTGGCTGGGGAATTCTGGGACTTGTAGTCCACATGTCTTAAAACATGTTGTCTGGGGAATTCTGGGATTTGCTAAAGTTGAGAAACACCAACCTAGCTTCTTATTTAACATACTGTATGTGTTTGTGTGCATAACACTTGACTCACTTCAACTTTTCACCAAACCATGAGGGAAAGATATACCTGTTTGGCAGATTTGTGATGTGTGCCGTTGTGCCCACAGTAAAAAAAAAAAAAAAGACAATAAAGGTTATCTTATCTACGGCCTAATCAGAATTTCAGAAAAAGATAATAAACGACCCCTCCAACCCAACGTGCTACAATTTCGCATCTCAAAATTGCCCCTCAGCATCTTCAGCAAGGGATTCTGGGAGTTGTAGGACCAGCCCCTTGGGAGGCACGAACGGGAGCCCTTCGAGAGTACCCGGATGTTGCTCCTTCCCTCCCTCCCTCCCTCCCTTACGGGGCTCGCGGCAGGGAGGACAAAATGGCGGCCGAAGTCCACGCACCCGTTGGTGAGTTTCTATGGTAACCGCCGTGTCTCCCGTCATTGCCCGTCCCTCTTTTTGTTCCCCTCCGCAGTCACCTTCCCACGTTTGCTCCGGCAGTTGGGAGCGGCCGCGGTTTGAATTTTTTTTTTTTTAAAGGACGAGCAGTCCTACGGATTTCAAAACGTCCAATGATCCCTTTCTCCGGTTTCCTCTTCGGATTGTTTTGGACTTTCCTTCCGCCGCACTTCCGGGTGGCTTCTGCCGTAGGGGGTCCTGCCTCTATTTCGTCCCCTCCGGAAATACCAGGCAGGCTTCTTAAAGTTCCGCTTCTCTGAAGGTTAACCCTATGCGTAAGGTGGGTTCTTATGCTCAGTTGCTTCAGCTGAGCGATGGGAGTTGTAGTCGTCCGGCTTACCGTCTATTATAATTATTGGCTCTGTTTTGATTTATGGCCGTCAAAGGCCACTCAGTTCATCCTCTGACTCATCCTTCTTTAATGCACGGCAAATTGCAAAGGAGACATTATGCCCTTGGTTTCAATTTGGGAATTTTGCTCTGAGCGTTTCTTCCTTTAGTTGGGTCTGTGTTTATTTCTTGCTACAGGCAGTCCTCGACTTAACAACCATTTGTTTAATGGCCGTTCCAAATTACAACAGCACTGAAAAAAGTGACCTATAACCGTTTTTCACACTTAACAACCGTCACAGCACAGTGATCAACATTCAGATGCTTGGCAACTGATTCACATTTATGACGGTTGCAGTGTTTCGGGGTCACATGATCCCCTTTTGCGATCTGACAAATGAAGTCAATGGGGAAACCAGGTTCACTTAACAACTTAATAATTGCAATGATTCACTGAACAGCTGTAGCAAGTGTGGGAAGTCATCCCCCCCTCCAGAGAAGGAAATATTAAAAGGGCAGAAAAATATATTTCCTCAAAGGATCTTAAACAGGCAGAAAAGCATGCCCAGTTTTCTTAATAGCCCCAAGTCTCCCTCCCCCAAGCAGAAACCAGCTCTATAAAAATGCAGATGTAAACCATTCAGGAAGGTTGAAGCTAGAAGATTAAGAAGACAAAGACACCTAAAATCTATATACCCCACCCAAACTCTAAGACAGGACTTAATAGGATTAACTCACAGATGCCAGGGTCAGAATACATGACACAGGAAATACAAAGCCTCAAACAGGAACAGGAAACAACTCCAAACAAAAAGCTCCAGAGAGTATAAAAACCCGCTCCCTACATGTGCTCTCTCTCTTTTCTTCCAGAGCCATCTTCCTGTCTGGCTCTCATCTTCAATAAACTGCAACTGTCTTTCTAAAGCAGTCGCCATGTTGTTTATCCCCGGCTTGGACTGAACCATGATGAAGAGTTTTCCTTCAACACAAGAAGGGGCATAAAATGGGACAACACTCACTTAACAACTGTCTCACTTAGCAACAGAAAATTGGGGCTCCATTGCAATCATAAATCGAGGACTACCTGTACTATGCTGACCCCCCCCCTTGAAATGGACATCACACATACTGTAAATATAAACTCTGAGCAGTCACTTACATTGTAATGGCTCCCTCTGTCTTTTGTCATTTGTCAGGATAAGAACACGGGAAAGGATTTCAAGAAATGGCCTTGGCTAATCTGCATTTCCTTTGTCGTTGTTGCCAGCGTTGCCAAAATTCTCAGCATCTGGCTTTTTCTTCCACAATCTATGGCTGGTGAGTCCGGTTCTTGCAATTAATTCAAGCACTTGAACTGATAAGACCCTGGGGAGGGGGGGGGAAGCACCATTTCCAACATACAAATTATATTAAAAGGTATAAGCTTTGGTAAGCCGCCTCTCACCTCATTAGAGGTAGTGGAGTGGCTCAATGGATGTGGGGTTTAAATTGAGGGGAGGTGGGGGGAAAGGGAGTGGAGAAGAGGTTGATTGTGCATATGCCTGTTACATGTGAGACCGATTACAAGTGGAGATTACAAAAAGAGGTTTACAGATCAGCACTTACACTTATTACAAAGACACATTATTTTTATGACTAGGTTTTTTATCTTATCACATATATACATATATATGATAAAAAAACCTAGTCATAAAAATAATGTGTACTTGTAATAACTGTGAGTGTTGATATGTAAATCTCTTCTATACAGGTAGTTCTTGACTTAACAACCATTCATTTAATAGCACTTATAGACTTATAGACCTTTTTATACAGCTTTCTCTGAGTGGTTGACAGAGTCAGCATCTTGCCCCCAACAATCTGAGTCCTCATTTTACCAGTTTGGGAAGGATGGAAGTCTAAGTCAACCTTGAGCTAGTTAGGATTGAATTCCTGGCAGTGAACAGAGTTAGCCTGCAACCACTGCGCCATTATGGCAAAGGAATAGGAATAGGAATAGAAATAAGAATGGAATGGAATGGAATGAAATAGAATATATGGGATAGAATAGAATAGAATAGAATAGAATAGAATAGAATAGAATAGAATAGAATAGAATAGAATAGAATAGAATAGAAATAAGGAATGGAATGGAATGGAATGGAATGGAATGGAATAGAATAGAATAGAATAGAATAGAATAGAATAGAATAGAATAGAATAGAATAGAATAGAATAGAATAGAATACTTTATTTGGCCAAGTGTGATTAGAAACACAAGAAATTTGTCTTTGATGCAGAAGTTCTCTGTACATGCAAAATAGTAAATATAATCATAATCATAATAACAATGAGAGGGGGTCGTGAAGAAGATAAGATAATAATAATACCACAGCTATATAACATGGGTAAAGGTCTCACCTTCCTAGGCTTTTGAACATCACAGTTGATTTTGGTTTAATAGAACCCTCTTGAGAATAAGTCCAAATTCACTCTCTCTAAAGTTTTATCTTCAGCAGAGTAACCATGTCGTCTTTCTAGGTCTTCAGTGAGAAATATTAGCCACTATGAAGTTCTGGGGATCAAACAAAACGCTACTTCAAAAGAGATCAAACAAGCCTTTTTTAAGAAATCAAAACAGGTAAGCTTCCATTTTGAGGTGGGGGTGGGGTGGGTAAGGAGGAGGACCCCTCCATTGGGAGGCTGGGATAAGATTTGTGACCAGCGGTTCATTTGAGGCAGTCCCCAAAACAGATTTTACACAATGTACAAAGTACATTTTATGTCTCTCCGGCTGCTTTCAAGTTGAACAGCTTTTTAAAAGGACTCTTTATATTACTTATGCATGATGGGTATGTGATAATGTTCTGCATAGCTTTATTGTTATGCATTGATTGTCTTGGTTGGTTTAAATTGGGGACAGCATTGATAGAAGAGCTGTAGTGCTGTGTATGTTGAAGAGCTGGGTTGGGGAAATGGGTTATTTTATTTATTTAGAATATAGTATCTACAGAGGTCATCCAATTGCTGATGTACAACTATAAATTTAAATAAAGCATCAGCAAGTATATAGGTTTAAAGCACGTGGACAATACAATATATTGAACTGAGTTCTTTATTTGCTATTGCTATTGCCCTTCCTTCCTTCCTTCCTTCCTTCCTTCCTTCCTTCCTTCCTTCCTTCCTTCCTTCCTTCCTTCCTTCCTTACCTTCCTTCCTTCCTTCCTTCCCTCTCTCTCTCTCTCCCTCCCTACCTACTCTCTCCCTAATTTTCCTTCCTTCCCTCTCCCTCCCTCCCTCCTCCCTAATTTTCCTTCCTTCCTTCCTTCCTTCCTTCCTTCCTTCCTTCCTTCCTTCCTTCCTTCCTTCCTTCCTTCCTTCCTTCCTAGTGATTAGAATGCAATATTGCAGGCTAACTCTGCCCACAGCTAGAAGTTCAATCTTGACCGGCTCAAGGTTGACTCAGCCTTCCATCCTTCCGAGGTCGGGAAAATGAGGACCCAGATTGTTGGGGGCCATAAGCTGACTCTGTCAGCCGCTTAGAGAGGGCTGTAAAGCACTGTGAAGCGGTATATAAGTCTAAGGGCGATTGCTATTTCCTTCTATCTGTGCTGAAAATGTCAGATGGAACTACAAAGCTTGCGATGGAGCCTCAAAACGATGGAGCCTCAAAAGCTCAGACTTGAGGGCAATGGCTAAAATCGGGGTGTGAGGTTCAAAAGCCAAACTTAGTTTAACCACGTAAAACCTAGTTAAGCTCTGTGGAAATCTGTTTGCAATGTTTGACTTTTTCCTGAAGAGGGCAGCCTTGAACCAAAAACATCCCCCTGTGGACTTTCCTAAGGAAGTTCTTAGGCTTGGTTTGAACATACAGCATAGAATGACAGAGCTGGGAGGGACCTCAGAGGTCTTCTAGTCCAGCCCTGTGCTCAGGGCAGGAGGCCTCATACCATCCTGGACGAACAGTTGTCCAGATTATTTTTGAAAACCTCCAGGGATGGAGCACCCACCAATCCAGGAGGCCAACTACGGAATTCCGTTGAATGATGGTTTTCACTGTCCAAAAATTTCTCATCTTATAATGCGGTTTACTATCTTAATAGTTTAATGTTTTATATACAGGTTGTTCCTTGACTTGCAACAGTTCCATTTAGTGACCACCTCCTCCTCCTCTTCTCCTCCTCCTCCTCTCATCCCCCTCCCCTCCTCTTTTCTTCTATTTCCTCTCCTCTTCTTCCTTCTCTTCTCCTTTTCTCTTCCTTCTCATCTTTTCTTCTCTCATCTTCTCCTCCTTCTCTTCTTCTCTTCTCCTTCTTTTCTCCTCGTCTCCCTCCTCCTGTTCTTCTCTTCTCCTTCTCTTTTTCTCTTCCTCCTCCCCCTCCTCTTTCTTTCTATTTCCTTTTCTTCTTCTCCTCCTCTCATCCATCTCTCTTTCTATTTCCTCTTCTTCTCCTCCTCCTCTCATCCACCTCTCTTTCTGGCTCGCCCTCCCCAATTTGATTTTTAACCACGGGGTATCAAGGAGAGGCACACAGTTCCTCTGAGCCCCCTCTCCTCGCCCCTATCCTGAATTATTTCTCTCTTGGGTCGGGCGCGATGTTGTCGGTGTTGGGGAAGGACACCCTCCATGTCGCACAATTGGCGGGGCTGTTCCGTGAGCTTCACACTGTCTCGAGGCAAAGCGCAGCTTGGCAAACAAGCTCACAGTGTCCGTGAGCGGCTGCGTGACACACAAAGCCCGGCTTGTCCATTTGCCCTTTTTTCTAAGCCTCCACAATGCACCGCATCACGGACCCACCACAGCTGCTGGGTTCACACAACACCCTTCGCTCAGTACCCTGAAATATGAACTCAGCAGACGCGCCGGGTTCACACAATGCTCTGTGCACAATAGACTGAATCATAAACTCACCACAGCTGCTGGGTTCATACAACCCATTACGTTAACTCCATTTCCATTTGTTTAGCTTCACATGTTCTGTGAACGCACCTCTATAGCCCGTTTACCTAAGCTGGTGTATTATTTCTTTGAATGACTCTAGGTGGAGAACATATCCAGCATGCCTTTCTCCTCTTTTCCTTATAACAACAACTTGGCAAGGTGGGTTGGGCTGATAGAGAAGAACCGGGCCAATGTCACCGAGCTGACTTTCGTGTCTATGGCACGACTAGAACTCACCATCTCCTGATGATTGGCCCAAAGTCACCCAGTCAGCTTTCGTGTCTATGGCAGGACTAGAACTCACCGTCTCCTGGTGACTGGCCCAATGTCACCCAGTCGGCTTTTGTGTCTATGGCAGGACTAGAACTCACCGTCTCCTGGTGACTGGCCCAATGTCACCCAGTCGGCTTTTGTGTCTATGGCAGGACTAGAACTCGCCGTCTCCTGGTGAGTGATTGGCCCAAAGTCACCCAGTTGGCTTTTGTGTCTAAGGCAGGACTAGAACTCACCGTCTCCCAGCCCAAAGTCACCCAGGTTTAGGCTTCTTCTTGTCCAAATGGCAGCTCCATCCGGACAGCGACCCCGCCAACCCGGAGCTGCACAGCCAGTTCGTGAAGCTGAATGAAGCCTACAACGTCTTGAGCAAAGAGAGAAGCCGCCGAGATTACGACGCTCAGCAAACCCTCCGGAAGGCTTGGCCGGGTCCCGAAGCCCAGCGACCTTCGGCCCGAGACCCCTTCGACCCCCTCCACGTCCACCGCCAGCAACGGAGCGGCCAGCAGGCCTGGGAAGGTCAAGGCCCCCGCAGACATTCGGCGGAAGACTTTTTCCACTCGGATCACTTCCGAGCTGCCGGAAGGTAAATAAAGGCAAGGAAGGAGTATACAGGGAGTCCTTGACTTACGACTGTCTTTTTCGTGACTGAATCTGAAGTTACAACGGCACGGGAAAAAAGAGGACTTACAACCGTCTGTCACACTTACGGCTGTAGCGGCATCCACCGGGGTGTGTGTGACGTGATCAAAATTCGGACGCTTTGGCAACCGGTTCGCACTTATGACGGTCAGAGTGTCCCGGGGTCACTCTGATCCCCCTTTTACGACCTCCTAGCCAGCTAAGTCAGTGGGGGGGAAGCCGGTTTCCCTTAACAATCGTGTTATCGACTTGCAGAACTGCACGTTGATTCGTTTAACAACCGGGGCGAGAACGGTCGTAAAACGAGGCAAGGCTCAACAAGCATCTCCCTTAGCAATAGAAATTTTAGGATGCCATTATGGTCGTAAGTTGAGGACTACCTGTATTGGGGTTAAAAAAAAAAGTATTCTCTTTTTGAAATATTTTCAGGGTGTCCGAGCTCCTGTGGTTCCCCTTCCTCCTCATCCACGCTGTTCTCTTTCCTCTCCCCCCCCGCCCCTCCCCAGAAATCCAGACCCCTCTGAGGATGATGCTTACTGGCAGGAATTCCACAAAACGCCCCCGGAGTGGTACTCAGACCAGGAGTTCAGGAGGAGACAGCAACGCAACCTGAGGACCGTAATCTACTGTTTGCTGATCATGTCCGGGAGCCTCCTGGTTCACTTTGTATCCTACAGGTATGATTCCTTGCAGGGCAGCTCACTGCCTGCTGCCAGGAGTTCGATCCTGACCTGCTCAAGGTTGACTTGGCCTTCCGTCCTTCCGAGGTCGGTCAAATGAGGACCCAGATTGTTGGGAACAACAGGCTGACTCTGTAAACAGCTTAGAGAGGACTGTAAAGCATTGTGGACTGGTATATAAGTCTAAGGGCTACCTTCCTCCCTTCCTTCCTCCACCCTCCCTCCCTCCCTTCCCATTCCCCTTCCTTCCTTCCTTCCTTCCTTCCTTCCTTCCTTCCTTCCTTCCTTCCTTCCTTCCTTCCTTCCTTCCTTCCTCTCTCCCTCCCTCCCTCCCTCCCTTCCCATTCCTATTCCTTCCTTCCTTCCTCTCTCTCTCCCTCTCTCTCCCTCCCTCCCCATTCCTATTCCTTCCTTCCTTCCTTACTTACTTACTTACTTAGTAGTTAGAATGCATTATTGCAGGTTAACTCTGCCGACTGCCAGCAGTTCGATCCTGACCGGCTCAAGGTTGACTCAGCCTTCCATCCTTCCGAGGTCGGTAAAATGAGGACCCAGATTGTTAGGGACGGGGGGGGGGGTCCAAGAAGCTCACCCTGTAAACCGCTTAGAGAGGGCTGTAGGCACTATGAAGCGGTATATAAGTCTTAAGTGCCAGTGCTCTTCCTTGCAGGCCGAAGGCCCCAAAACTAACAGCAGCAGCAGCAGCAGCCTATTGTGGGCTCCGATCCTTAGCTGAGGATTGAGTTCACCCAGTTGGACACCCCTGTCCTGAATTATTAAGTGGGACACGTGACATGCTGGCTGAGGAATTCTGGGAGTTGAAGTCCACAGGTCTGAAAGTTGCCAAGGTTGCTTGATCTAGGGCGAAATGGCTTTGAGGAGACAGCTCAGCGTGTTTTGAAGCCCCCCCCCGGAGACCTCACAGGCTCCGTCAGCGTTTGTTCCACCAGTGTCAACCCCCCCCCCTTTGCTGAATGTCTCAGCCTGGGCATGGCAGCTTGCCAACCTTCGCTACCCACCGTCTGGTTCTTTATTCTAATCCCTTGCCTCATTAGCCAGCTGTGACCAGGGAAAGATTAATCAGGAGCGGCCTTTAATCACATCTCAGGCAATTAAGCACTCCACTTGAGCCTGAAAAAGGGAGACGAATGCTTCAAAAGGAGCTGGGAAGAGACTGATGGATTCGAATCCCACGCGCAGGTGGGCAGCGAGAGAGGGGGGGTCCCGACGCACCCCTGCTGAACAAAGCCTTCCCAAGGAGCCTAATTCTCAACCCAACAGCCGCCTGTGTGTGCCATTCACACCGGCAACTCAGTGCTCCCTCGAGCCTGCCGTTTCCATCTGTCAGCGTCCAGCAAGGCTGCACCCTTCATTGTGCGGATGACCTTGGGAGACGGAAGAAGGAAGACTGGCAGCCCATCTGATAAGAGAACACTGAGTCCAGAGCAGGAATAGGGGCGGAGAAAGCATCTCCTCCTTCCCTTCATCTCTGGAGAGTAAATCACAGAATAACAGAGTTGGAAGGGACCTTGGAGGTCATCTAGTCCAACCCCCTGCTCAGGCAGGAAGCCCTATACCATTTCAGACAAATGGCTGTCCAGTCTCTTCTTGAAAACTTCCAGTGTTGCAGCATTCACCACTTCTGGAGGCAGGTCGTTCCACTGGTTAATTGTTCTCACTGTCAGGAAGTTTCTCCTTAGTTCCAGGTTGCTTCTCTCCTTGATTAGTTTCCATCTGTTGCTTCTTGTCCTGCCTTCAGACGCTTTGGAGGATAGCTTGACTCCCTCTTCTTTGGGGCAGCCCCTGAGATACTGGAACGCTACTATCCTGTCCCCCCCTCGTCCTTCTCTTCATTAAACTAGACCAGTGGTTCTCAACCTGTAGGTCGGGACCCCATTTGGGGTCGAACGACCATTTCACGGGGGTCGCCAAACAATGCACTCCGCCATTTTTTTCCCCCCTTTTCCTTAGCTGTGCTCCTCCCTTTTATTCTATTGGCTTTTGAAAGCCAATAGAATAGACTCTCTTGAATAGAGTCTAATTCTATTGGCTTTCCAAAGCCAATAGGAATTGTCCAGGCTGTCTCTGCCCTGCTGAGCCCACCAAAAGTCCCATTCTGCAAACGGTGCTGCACCCGTTGAGTAGTCCTCGACTTACGACCGGTCAGGGGTCGCGACATTAAAAAGGTTGAGAACCACTGGTCTAGACCTTCCCAATTCCAGCAACCGTTCCTTGTATATCAATGATTGTAAGTCAAGGAATCCCAGAGCTGGGAAGAAACAGGAGATTTTGGAAGAGAAGGCACAGCTGGGTTGAGTTGCCAGGAATTGGCTGAGTTGGTGTCTTCTTCATCCAGAGGGGAATTTCCACAGGGTGATGGGAGGTGGAGAGAAGACAGGGGATACCTCTCTCTTAAATTCCCCAGTGCTGGAATTCTCTCTCTCTCTCTCTCTCTCTCTCTCTCCCCGTGCCTCGTATGGAAACCTCCCCAACTGTCGCGTTGGCTTCTGAACGCCTTCAATTTTGTGCGCAGGCAAATCGCAAAACTTCACACCGGCTTAATGAACGAGAGAGACCACATGATCAGCCAGGCCCTAATTAAGGCAAAGGAACAAGGCAGGTATGTATATTTTTCCATTTTTTAAAATTTAAAATTACAAAATCCAAAGGGGGGGGGGAAATAACCGAGGCAAAACACAGCTAGGCGAGAACATTTAAAAAAAAAAAAAGTGAATTAAGAGGACGGAAAACAAAAACTCATATTATTCCCACCCACCCTCCACTCCCCACCCGAGTTGAAAACTAGCAACCTAGAACTAAGGAGAAACTTCCTGACAAGTTAGAACAATTAACCAGTGGAACAACCTGCCTCCAGAAGCAGTGAATGCTCTGACACTGGAGATTTTAAAGAAGAGACTGGACAGCCATTTTGTCTGAAATGGTATAGGGTTTCCCGCCTGAGCAGGGGTTTGGACTAGATGACCTCCAAGGTCCCTTCCAACTTTATTATTATTATTATGGATCATCGCATAGTCAGCCAGATGTTCAGACTGGATTTGGCATATTTGTCTACCTATCGAGTCCTTAACCCAGGACCTGGGATAGGCAGATGTGGATGTTTGATGGTATATTACAGATATCGTTGCAGGATGGAAGCAGTTCCTAGTAAGGCCGCCTTTTGCAATTGACTAATGGCGAATTTGTCAATGCCAATGGTGTTGTTGTTGTTATTATTATTAATATTGATGTAACATTGAAAGATGCAAACCCAGATTAGTCTTTGAACCAATCAGAAACAAGAGTTGAATCTTTATCTAGAGGGGAGGGGGTCTCATAGGCCCATCAGCTGTGATGGCAAAGCATTCTGGGAGTTGTAGGCCGGCCCCTCCAGAAGGCATCAGGCTGTCGAGGCCTCCACATACTGGTAGTCCTTGACCCCACGCTTGACCCCAGAAATTTTGGGCTGTAAGCGAGACGTTTGTTAAGTGTGCTCCATTTTACGACCTTCCCAGCCTCGGCTGTTAAGCGAATCACCGCAGTTGATAAGTGAGTAAGCTGGTCGTTAAGCGAGCCCCTGCTTCCCCATCGGCTTTGCTTCGTCAAAAGGTGGCAAAAGGCCATCCCGTGATCCCGGGACGCTGCAACCGTCATAAATAGGAGTCCGTTTTGATCACGTGACCCACGGGGGGGGGAATGCTGGAAAGGCAGTCACTCTGGAAATCAGTCCCTTTTTTCAGTGCCGTTGCGACTTGGAACGGTCGTTAAATGAATGGTTGTAAGTTGAGAGCTACTTGCTAAACCTGTGTGATTTGGGGGTGTCTTGTCTGCCGAGCGGGAACACTTGAGGGGTGTTATTGACCCTCCTTTCCCCCCCCCCCGCAGAGCCAGACACAAAGAGCGTCTGCAACAGAAGCGCACCCCAGTTCTCCAGGAAGACCCCACCAAACCCCAGGACTCCGTAAACGATCCGGTTCCTTCATCCTCAACGGCCAAGTAATCCGGTTGCAGCCAGCCCTCTTCCAGCCTGCCGGCCGAGACCCCCAGCATCACCCCTTTGGACCCCCCTTCCCCTGCTCCCCCAGTCCTGTCCATAGAAGCCCCTTGTTACTCTCTCTCTGTCTGTCTGATCCTCATTTTCCAAGGAAGTCCTGCGCCTGGTCTGGTCCAAAACAGGGAAGTGGGGGTTTTATTTGGGTGGGGGGACTGGGGGCAGAATCTCCACCCACAGGCCCACGTGGGTCCCCGGTATCCTGGTTCCTTCTGTCCTCCAGTTTCAAAAGATGTTGAGACTCTAGAACAGGGGTGTCAAACTGTCGGCCCGTGGGCTGGACGCGTCACGTGGAAGCCGCGCCCACCCCATTGCCAGCAATGGCAAAACCGGCCCGATACATTGCGTGATGTCACATGACGTGGGTTTGACATGCCTGCTCTAGCAAGAGTGCAGAGAAGAGCAACAAAGATGATCAGGGGACTGGAGGCTAAAACATACAAGGGACGGTTGCTGCAATTGGGTATGTCTAGTTTAATGAAGAGAAGGACAAGGGGGGACAGGATAGCAGTCTTCCAGTATCTCAGGGGCTGCCCCAAAGAAGAGGCAGTCAAGCTATTCTCCAAAGCGCCTGAAGGCAGGACGAGAAGCAACGGATGGAAACTAATCAAGGAGCGAAGCAACCTGGAGCTAAGGAGAAACTTCCTGACAGTGAGGACAATTAACCAGTGGAACAACCTGCCTCCAGAAGCGGTGACTGCTCCAACACTGGAAGTTTTTAAGAAGAGACTGGACAGCCATTTGTCTGAAATAGTACTATAAGGTTTCCTGCCTTGGAGGACTAGAAGACCTCCAAGGTCCCTTCCAGATTCTATTCTGTTCTGTTCTGTTCTATTTTATCAAATTTGTATGCCACCCATCTTGCCCATGGTGACTTTAAGGGGCTTACGGAGACAGAATAAAACGAAGTATTAAAACGTGAACGCGGTAAATAAGAATCTTAAAATTTAAAAATGCCATTAAAATAAAAGTTGCTCTGTTTTAATGCAACAGACCCATTTAATCAGTTGCTCAGACGGGGTCACTGCTGGATCTGAAAGAAATCCCCCCCCCCTTTTTTTTTTAGAGCTGCGTGTCAGCCAATAAGGAGAGTCTCAGTGGGATGGAAAAAGCACTTTCGACGTGCCTAAGGACACTGCGGCCGCCGCCCCCCCCCCCAATCCAGATGGTGAGATCTAGTCCCACCTTAGCCATGAGAGCTGGCTGGGTGATTTGGGGCCAATCACCAGGAGATGGGAAGTTCTAGTCCCACCTTAGGCAGGTAGGAAAGTCAGTTGGTTGATTTTGGTCCAATCAGCAGCAGGAGATGGGGGAATTTTAGTCCCACCTTAGGCCTGAAAGCCCACTGGGTGACTTTGGGCCAATCACCAGGAGACTGTGAGTTCTAGTTCCACCTCAGGCACCAAAGCCAGTTGAGTGACTGTACGATCCCCCCTCTCCCTCCCTCCTTGCCTCTCCCTCTCCCTGCTTCTCCCTTTCTCTTCCTCCCTCTCTCTGCCTCTCCCTCCCTCTCTTCCTCTCCCTCCCTCCCTCCCTCTCTCCCTCTCCCTCTCTCCTCCCTCTCCCTCCTTGCCTCTCTCTTCCCCTCCCTCTCCCTCCCTCTCTCTCACTTTCTCTCTCTCTCCCTCTCCCTCCCTCCCTGCCTCTCCATCCCTCCCCCCTCTTGCTCTCAAACCAGCCAACCTCGCAGGGTGGTTGTGGCGAGGAAGAGGGATTTTTTGTGGGATTCATTCCCTGCCTAGAGTTCTTTGCACAAAACCACAAAGGCAGGCCACAGCTAAATAAACAGACAGCAAATCCCCCCCCTCCCCACTCCACCCTCTTCCAAGCCAACCATGGGCCCAGCCTCTGGCTGCCCGCCCGCCTGCTCTCCTTCCCCACCTCGCTGGGCTGCCTCCCCTCCCCTCCCCAGCCTGGCACCCTGCGGTCACATGAACGCCACTCTTTGGCCACCCTGCCTTCTCTCCAATCTCCCGCTTTCTGGCGGCCGCCAGCATCCCAGCTGCCCGTCTGGGCAGGCGGAGGGCAGGCACAGCCGGCACACCTGCGGCCTGGCCTACGCCTGACACCTTGGGCTTTTCCTTTGCCTCTCGTGCCCTTGAAATCTTGGCTTCCTTTTTTTATTTGGAGCAGGGAGAACAGCAGGCTGCTGCTCTCCCAGAGGGCCTGGCAGCAGCTGGCAGCACCTTTGCCCAAGCAAAGCCAGCTTGCTCCCTCCCACGGCCAGGGGCACCGTGCGAAGCCCCCCCCACCCTGCCTGCTGGACCTGACCCACCATGAACGCTCCCTGTGGGCTCCTCTGTCTTCTCTTAGTGGCAGCTTGGCAGCTGCCCGCCGACTCGCCAACGGTAGGTGGCGGTGTGAAAGGCCAGGGCTGGTGGTGGCGGTGGGGTGGGCATTGGGAGGCTGGGCGAGGGGGCAGCAAGGGGCTATCCTAGGGGAGAAGAGCTGAAGGTTTGCCCCCGTCGAGGGCAGCAGCGTGGCTTCCCCGTCGAACTTTTTCCAAATGGTGTGTCCGGATCCAGAGTGGTGTGGGCGGAGATGCCAAGCCCTGGCACAGCTGCCCACTGCTGGATCAGCCCCTTGGGGTTCGTGCAAGGCTCTGTCGGGGGTGCAGTGACCAAGATTCCTTCGGTTTATAGAGATGCCCAGTTAGGATGTACCGAGTAGCTTTGCCCAACATCAAATATCTCGGTGCTGGCTTGTTTTCTTGCAGATGTTTCATGACCCAACTAGGTAACATCATCAGTGCTTGAAGGGGGTGGGATTTGTGGATGAAGAGGAGGAGGAGGCGGAGAAGGAGGAGGAGGAAACTGTGGGGTCCTTAGTGTTCTCTGAGTTTGGTTGTTTTCTTGCAGTCGTTTCATGACCCAACTAGGTAACATCATCAGTGCTAGAAGGGAGTGGGGTTTGCAGAGAGGAGGAGGAGGAGGATGATTGAGGGGTCCTTGGTGCTCTCTGACCTTAGTTGTTTTCTTGAAGACATTTCATGACCCAAGTAGATAACATCATCAGTGCTTCAGAGTGCGGGGTGTGCTTTGAAAGCATCAAAAGGCAGAATCGGGCAGGGGGCAAGGGACACCGTAAGCCAGCATCCCCCCAAACCTGCTCTGGCTGTGGGATGACCACCCAGCTGGTCCAAAACACTCATAAATCTCCATTTTTGATCTATGCAAGCAGATCCTAAATATTTTTTCCCCATTTTTCCATTGACAGACAGGGCCTCCCCCAAAGAAGAAGGGGGTTGGACTTGAGAAGGGGCTGCCCGCAATGGAAGGTAAGGATGGGATTGGGGGGGAGGCACCCCCCCCACCATTAAACCTGTCATCCCCAGTCTTTAAATGGGTTGGATGACACTTCCCGTCATCCTCATCCCCACCACCTCTTAAAGACGCTGAACGTTGTGTGGAGTGGGAGCAAGTGAGTGTCCCACAATTTTTGCCTGCTTTTAACATGGGATGGGTAAAATAAATGGGGTGGGGCTTTATGGGGCTCTGGGTTATGGATTTTTAATGTTGTAAGCTGTCCTGAGTCACTCAGATAGATAGATAGATAGATAGATAGATAGATAGATAGATAGATAGATAGATAGATAGATAGATAGATAGATAATAAATAGATAGATAGATAATAAATAGATAGATAATGTAAGATAGATAGATGATGTGGGTAGGTAGGTAGGTAGGTAGATAGATAGATAGATAGATAGATAGATAGATAGATAGATAGATAGATAGATAGATAATGTAAGATAGATGATGTGGGTGGGTAAGTAGGTAGATAGATAGATAGATAGATAGATAGATAGATAGATAGATAGATAGATAGATAGATAGCAGGCAGGCAGGCAGGCAGGCAGGCAGGCAGGCAGGCAGGCAGGCAGGCAGGCAGAGAGACAGATGATTGAAAGTATAGATAGATAGAGATATAGATAGAGATGATTGAAATGATAGATAGATAGATAGATAGATAGATAGATAGATAGATAGATAGATAGATAGATAGATAGGCCCTTTGAGGACAGGTGAGCCAGCTAAAAGCCTGGGGGTCTCCCCGACAGTGATCCGCTTCCTGGAGGTCTACAACCGCAGCGTCTGCCAGCCCAAGGAGACGATGGTCTCGGTCACGGCAGAGCATCCGTCGCTGGGCAGCCACATCATGATCCCATCCTGCGTGGTCCTGAGCCGCTGTACCGGCTGCTGTTCCGATGACTCCTTGAATTGCGTGCCCAGACGTTCCCGGGAAGTGATTTTGGAGGTAAGAGGGGGGCAGAGGTGGGGGGGGACGTTTGGGAAGGAGGGGGGAGAAGAAAGCCAGCCAGCATGTATTTAGCACTGAGTCCTGGACTTAAAGAGTGAAGATCAGCTTCCTGTTTTCTAGGTAATGGCTAGCCTCTTTGCAAGCAGATATATAACCCAGCTGACTTTTGAAGAGCACCTGGAATGCATGTGCAGGTATCCTAAAAACATTTGTTTATAATTTACAATTGTAATAATTATAATATGTAATTTATTTATAATTTTATAATTATGCATGCAAGACAAACTCCTGTGTCCAGTCACAGCTGGCCAATAAAGAATTCTATTCTATTCTATTTTCCATTCTATTCTATTTTCTATCCTATATTCTATTCTATTTTGTTCTGTTCTATTCTATTCTATTCTATTCTATTCTATTCTATTCTATTCTATTCTATTCTATTCTATTCTAATTTCCTTATATTCTATTCTATTCTATTCTATTCTATTCTATTCTATTCTATTCTATTCTATTCTACACGAAGGCGCATTCTTTTGTAAAAGGAACGTTTAGAAGCCCCATTTAAGTTTGCATTCTGTAAGAGGGACATCCTCCAGAAGCAAAGCGTTCATCTCTCCATTTTTGTTTCAGCCTAATAACATTATGAAAAATACAGATAGTCCTCGACTCACAACAATTCATTTAGTGACTCTTCAAAGTGATGGCCCTGAAAAAAGCCACTTAGGACCCTTTTTCATCCTTAACAACTGTTGTAGCATCCCCACGGTCACGAGATCAAAATGCAGACCCTCGGCAACCGGTTCATATTTATGATGGTCGCCGTGTCTCCCGGGGTCCTGTGATCCCTTTTTGCGACCTTTTGCCGAGCAAAGTCCGTGGGGAAGGAAGCCCGATTCGCTTCACGACTGTGTGACTGACTTAACAGCCGCAGGATTCACTTCCCAGCTGCGGCAACAGAGGTCGTAAAACGGGGCAAAATACACTTAACAAACGTCTCGCTTAGCGTCATCAGTTTTGGGCTGAATGGAAGTCGTAAGTCAGGGACTACCTGACTTGATTAAAACATGATTAATACATGATTTTGGGTAGGAAGTTTTCAATTTTGTGCGCCATTTTTCAGTCAACTGTGCTGTGCCGGGAAAATAAAATGGGGAAAAAAGGATTATTCTGAGTTTTTACAGCACGAAGGGGCAGAAGGTTGCTTGAATTCTGTCCCTGTTATACGGTGCCTTAATAAAAGAAACCGCTCAAAAGAGTTTTGTCCACTGGTGACAGCAAGGAACCTTTCTGATGTAAGTAGGCCAGGCAATCCGTGAAACGTGTCAGAGACCTGCTTTCAAACTCTTTACAACTTTGGATTTACATGATAAAAGAAGCAATGGCTGGAGGCATTAAAAGGGATGGATTAACTTCAGGATGCGTGCTTGGAAATTCAGCAAAAATTCAGCTGTCGGGCCCGGGAATGCTGGCCCCCAGTGGATATTATTATTCTGTTCAGACGATAAGATTTAGTCACCTCGTGGTGTCTCCTTCCTGTTACACATATCCTGGTTTCCCCGTCGGCTTGGATGTCTGAATTCTGCCCAGCAAAACTTTGGAGTTTATTTTAAAATGGTCCGTTGCAAGTCTTGGGTGGAGACTGCAGATCGAATTTCTTTCTGAGATTTCTTCACGAGGAAGCGGTGCTGAAATGTTTTAAATAAATAAGGATGGTAAATGTTGATGCATGGGCTGCTAAATCTTGGTATGTTCCCTTCAGCAGTCGTCACTAAATCTGTCATTTTTCTCTTTTGGTTTTCAGACCGAGGACCGTGTTTTTCAGATCTAATTCAATTAGGTAAAAGATTCCTTCCTTCCTTCCTTCCTTCCTTCCTTCCTCCCTCCTTCCTTCTTTTCCTTCTCTCTTCTCCCTTCCTTTCTCCAATTTTCCTTCCTTCTTTCCTTCCATTCTTCCTTCCTTCCTTCCTCTTCTCCCTTCTTTTCTCCAATTTTCCTTCCTTCCTTCCTTCCTTCCTTCCTTCCTTCCTTCCTTCCTTCTTTTCTCTCTTCTCCCTTCCTTTCTCCAATTTTCCTTCCTTCCTTCCTTCCTTCCTTCCTTCCTTCCTTCCTTCCTTCCCTTCTCCCTTCCTTTCTCCAATTTTCCTTCCATCCTTCCTTCCTTCCTTCCTTCCTTCCTTCCTTCCTTCCTTCCTTCCTTCCTTCCTTTTCTCTCTTCTCCCTTCCTTTCTCCAATTTTCCTTCCTTCCTCTTTCCCTCCCCTTCCGACAGATCCCATAAACCTGATTTACACACATATAGAATTATTCCTGGTGGGGTAGACCCTGGAGGTGGTTCCGGAGCTATCAGATTTAGCCAGTTTCTTGGCAGAAACGCACAATCCTTCTTGGCTTAAAATGACAGCCAGTTGCAATCCCTTTTATACCTATATAAATCTGAGAGGCTAAATCTATGATTTCCTTCTCCCTCTAGTAGTCGGTCCTGTGCACCTTGTCGGGATAGGAAAAAACAGCCAGATCCACACACTTGCAAATGTGTGTGTCGCCACCGATCCGGGCATTGTGAGAGGCGCGGGCTGAAATTCAGTGAGAAGACATGCAGGTAAAACTATCTTCTCTTTTATATCTCTTGCCCTCTCTCTGTGGTGGCTTTCTCTCACTCTGTAATGGCTTGCTGATTATTTTCCTTTACTCACAACGGGCTTCGTTTAGAAAGTCTGTCGTGAGTGAAAAGAAACAGCAAGACATTACTGAGTGAAAGAAAGCCACCACAGACAGAGGGCAAGAGATTAGTTAATGTATAGGGACTTCTTTTAGAAACATTAATGTCATAAAGGATTCTGGGATACCTAGCATGGCACCTGGTTCACACAAGGCGCACTTTCTGCCAAAGGGATCCCAATAGATAAAGACAAATAGAAAAATAAATAAATAACAAATTCGAAACCAGTTTAAGGATGCTGGACAAACTCACCCCCAGACCCCCTTTTTTTCCCCCCGGTAGCACCAAAAAGGAAGTTTTATTTTCAGGATTTGAGCAGCCAGAGAGAAAGAAAAAAAAAAAACTTCCTTTTTTTTTTCCTTCAGGAAAAACTTTCCCTAGAACTTTTAACCAGAAATACAGCCGAACAGGAAGATGGCAAAAAAAAGTTTTCATTGCAAACTGTGGTTTCTTGGGGTGCTGTTTGGTTTGCATGTTTGGGGAAGGGGGGGGGAGATCTCAGCCAGCCCACCCCCCACTGAAGCCCCTTTGCTTCCTGCAGCCCCTTGAGCCAAAATAGGAGTCAGTCTGTCAATCCAAACAGGCAAAATATCCTTTTTTTTTTTTGTCCTTCCAGATGTGTGAAGCGCCGAAGGAGAACCTCGTGGAAAAAAATTAAAAGCCGCATTTCGGGTGGGATGGAGGCCAGAACCGAGCCTAACAGAGCATTGACTATCCTCGGCTAGCAAAGACTGTTCTCTGCTGGGTGTGAACTTTTCCATGCTCAGAGGCAACCCATTTGTTTGGCTGAGGGGGGCGGGGGAGAGGCAGGGGAAGAAAAACAGGCAAGGAACGTCCTCGAGTTACGACCCCAGCTGCACCAGATTTTCTGCTGCTTAAGCAAGGGGGTTTGCTAAGCGAGTTGCACATGAGGACCTTTTCGCCATTAAGCGAATCCCTGCAGTCATTAAGTGGATCACACGGTCGCTAAACGAATCCAGCTTCCCCCGTTGACCTGGCTTGTTGGACTGCCGGCAGGGAAGGTTGCAAATGGTGATTAGGGGAACCCAGGACGCTGCAACCTTTGTAAACACATGCCAGTTTGTATTTGGTCACGTGACCATGGGGGGGGAATGATGTGACAGTCATAATGCAAGGACCGGTGACCCATAAGTCACTTTTTTTTCAGGGTCGTTGTAACGTTGAATGCTTGCTAAATGAATGGTTGTCAAGTCGAAGACTTCCTGTGTATAAACCCATCCCATTGTAGCTTCTTGGGACAAGCCATGGCTTGCTGCCAGACACCTATTCACTTGGTTTCATTACATATTCAGAGGCAGTCTATCTGTCAGCCCAAGGAGTTGGGGGACAATTTCAAATTTGGAGGGAATTACTGGTATTATGTGCTAGATTGGATTCTTTCCCAGACCAGGAAGCCCAAGGACACAGCCAAGCCTCCCCCGTGGCTTTTCCAGGAAAACCGCCCCCCCCACTGTTTTAACCTTTGATAAGTCAATATTTAGAAAGGCCTGACCTTTGTGGGGCAGGGGGAAAAGAAGGGATGGTTCTGTCAACTCTTTTTCTCTCTACAAATCCCTTTTGAAGCTAGGCATAAATTTACCAGAGGGCCAGGTTTGCCTCATTCATACTGCGCCCCTATTAAGCTGGGGAACTCCCTGCCACCGGATGTGTTTTCTGCTTCAGGTGTCTTCAAAGAGACATTTGAGATAGAGCCTCTGTTTTTTTTCCAGTGGTAAAATCTGGAGGCTAAAATATATAAAGTATGGTGGCAGGAATTGGGTGTGCCTAGTCTAATGAAAAGAAGGATTAAGGGTGACATGATAGCAGTGCTCCAATATGTAAGGGGCTGTCATAAAGAAGAGGGAGTCAAGCTATTCTCCAGAAGGCAGGACAAGAAGCAAAGGATGGAAACTAATCAAGGAGAGAAGCAGCCTGGAACTAAGGAGGAATTTCCTGACAATCAAAATCATTAACCAGTGGAACAGCTCGCCACCATAAGTTGTGAATGCTCTAACACTGGAAGTTTTTAAGAAGAGACTGGACAGCCATTTTGTCTGAAATGGTCTAGGGTTTCCTGCCTGAGCAGGGGGTTGGACTAGATGACCTCCAAGGCCCCTTCCAACTCTATTATTATTATTACTCGCACCATATAAACTGCACAGGGCCAGCTCTTTATTTTTGGCTGTATTTTTTTTATTGATTACATCTTTATTATGGCTTTGAGAGATCTGATTTTTAATTTGCGAGCAACATTATCTTTAATAACATTATTATTAAATATATTTCTTACAGAAATATTCGTAGGAAATCACAGCTGCTCCTTTCCCAACCAGCAAATATTCCTCTACCGTATTCGAATGAAAGGAGGGAGGGATTCCATCAGCCCCGCCCACTCAAGGCGCCTCGGCCACGCCCACTCGAGCTCTGTGCTCCCGCCTCTCTCCCTGGGGAGGACGTGACGTCACTCCCTCCTCACGTGAACGGGCCCAGCTATCCACCTTTTAACTAAGCTTTATATACATATATATAAATGTACATATTTCCTGGCTCGTCCTGATTTTAACTTCTCAGCCTCCGGCTCTCCTTGGAGAGAATTAAATCCATACACGGCGTGAAGATCACGTGAGGCGGGCGCCCGCCTGAGGGGAAAAAAACCAATATGGCGGCGCCCGCGTCGGCTTCTTCCGCTGAGGAAGCGCCGGGGCGGCGGAGGGCGCATGCGCAGAGGGGTGGGTGGTATCCGTTGAGGCCAGGAGAGGTGAGAGGGGGGGGAAATGGGGGGTCCTGAGGAAAGGGGGGGACCCGGGCGCGGGGCGCCGAGGAGCCTGGAGCCGGGCGGAGGGCAGCGGCCCGGGGGAGGCTCCGAGCGGGGGCAGCCTGCGGGGGGCGGGAGAGGAGAAGTGGGGGACCCCCCGCGGGAAGGCCCGGGGAGGCGCCTGGAGCCCAGGCGGTCGGAGCTGAGGGACGTGGGGACCCAGGTGTCTTGGGCCCCCGGGGAGGGCCCCTCCAGGGCGGCCGGGGAGGCCCCCCAGGCCAAGGCAGGGGGCGCCAGGGGGTCCCTTGGAGAGTGGGGGGCCCTCCCAGCCAGGGAGGGGCCCGGGGACCCTTGGGGGCCCGCCTCGGGGGCCCCCGCCAGCCAGAGCAAGGCGGTGCAGGACAAGCGGGCCTCCTGGCCGGGGGGCCTTTGCGAAGGCTGCGGGGCCCCCAAGGACAGGGGGGAGCCCAGGAAAGGGGGGACCCCCCGCCTGGCCAGCCACAGGGCTTGGGACTTGGGGCTCAGGGCCCCCCGGGAGCGCCTGGAGGACAGCATGGGGCTGCTGGCCCTGGGGGTCAGCCGCAGCCTCTCGGGGGGGCTCCCTGGCCACGCCGGGGCCAAGCGGCACTCGGGGGGCTGGCCCCGGGACCCCGCCCAGGCTTCGGGGGACGTCTGGGTCCCCCGCAAGCCGGTCAGGCCCCCCGAGAGGATGGGGCTGCCTTGGCTGAAGGAGGGGCCCCTGTCCCGGAAGAGCGGAGCGGCGGAGCTCAACCAGGTCTGGATCCCCCGGGAGAAGCCGGCCCCTGCCGGCGGGGCGTCCGGGGACGTCTGGGTGCACAAAGTGAGGAACCCCTCGGGCACCGGCATCATGTGGGTTTGGGCCAAGGTGACCAACTGCAGTGAGGAGGAAGCGGCGGTGAACGAAGCCAGGGTTTGGACCTTCCAGAAGGAGGGCCCCAGGAAGGGTGGGCAAGGCGAGGGAGGGTACGGGGTCTCTTAAGAAGCATGTCAGGAAGGTGACCGGGGGGGGGGACCGGGGTGGGGTGGGCTGGGGTGGGGTGGGAGATACAGGTAGTCCTTAACTTCACGGCCACAGCTGAGCCCAAAGTTTCTTTTGCTAAGTGAGACATTTGTTCCATGAGTTTTGCTCCATTTTACAACCTGCCTTGCTACCGTTGTAAAGTGAATCACTGCAGGTGTTGAGTTAGTAACACAGTTGTTAAGTGAATCTGACTTCCGCATTGACTTTGCTTGTCAAAACGATGCTAAAGGGGGTTTACGTGACCCCCGGGATGTAAATATGTCGTAAGTAGGAGTCAATGGCCAAGGATCTGAATTTTGGTCACATGACCAGAGGGAATGCTGCAACGGTCGTAAGTGTGACGAACAGCCGGTCATGAGTTTATTTTTTTCCCAGTGCCGAACGGTCACTAAATGAACTATTGTAAGTTGAGGACTACCTGTAGTGCGGGCCGGGGAGGACACAGTAGGCTCCTTTGGAGGAAAGGGAGCATTGTTTTTCAATCTTGACAGTGTTTAAGAGGCTGGGACTTCGACTCCCAGAATTCCCCAGCCCTCCGTGCTGAGGAACTCTGGGAATTGAAGTCCATCTGTCTTAAAGTGGCCAAGTTTGAGAAACCCAGGGGGGGTCTGGGAGCTGAAGTCCCCTCTTAAAGCAGCCAAGGTTGGGAAAAACCTGGGTTAGAGATAAGCAGGGGGAGATGCTTTCGAGAAGGGAGGGGGGGGGGAGTCAGAGCAAAAAGACAACTCAGCCAACTCCTGGGGTGGCGATTCCTTGAAAGACTCTGGACAGTGGTTGTGGCGACTGCTACCAGGGGAGGGAGCAGAGCCTGACTAGCCACTTGGGTAAGTCCGGAGGCTCTGGAAAAGCGGGGGGAGGGGGGGCTGCTTGCTGGTGTGCATGCCAAGTTAGAAGCCGGGGTGAGCATGTAATTCTAAACGCATCTCGAGTGCATGAACGACCCTGGGGCGCTAATGGGTGAGGTGGTTAAGAGCTTCAACGGTCAGTATGAAACTCATATCTAAGATTCTTTCCCCCCCCCCTTGCAAGAAGTCCCCTGTTCCCAGTATGGATTTTATCGATGGGTTGACTTCATCCCCTCCCATCCTACAAAGACGTCGCTCGCTGCATGCTGCTGAGCCATCCCATCCGCATTCCCGCTGAGATTTCTGAGCGTGCCGCTTCCGCTAATCAGCGTTGTTGGTCTCCGCAGGGGCGTGAGCGATGCAGGCAAACCTGGGGGCGGTGCTGTTCACCTTGGCGCTCTGGGCCATCTGCTCACCGGTGCTGAGCACGGAAGGGAAACGGAAGCTGCAGATTGGAGTCAAGAAGCGGGTGGACAACTGCCCCGTCAAGTCCCGAAAAGGCGACGTGCTCCACATGCATTACACAGTGAGTGTGAGAAAGCAGAGTGAATAGCCAGCGCTGTCCAAACTTGGGAAAGGGAGGCAGACGGAGACAAAGCTGTGTTCTAGGGCGTACGGCAGTGTTTCTCAACCTTGACCATTTTAAGGCATGGGGACTTCAACTCCCAGAATTCCACAGCCAGCATTGCTGAAGAATTCAGCAACCTGGTTGAAGAATTCTGGGAGTTGAAGTCCACAAGTCATCAAAGGGCCAAGTTGGAAGACCCCTGTCCTAGGCCATTTGAAGATGGGTGGACAGGTGGCTGGGAAATTCTGGGAGTTGAAGTCCACCCCCTCTTTAAGTGGCTGTTGGCAAAGACAAAATAAAGACTCTTTTGGAGCCAGTTGCATTTGAGTGGTGGTCTTGCCTCCGAGGCCCCAAGGCCCCAGGAAAGAATAAAGTGATAAATGATAAATTCTGGGAGTTGAAGTCCACAAGTCATCAAAGGGCCAAGTTTGAAGAGCCCTGGTTTAGTGTTTTGCAAACTTGGCAACTTTAGCAGATGTGGGCCACCTTAACCGGCACGCTGAGTGAGGAATTCTGGGTGTTGGCTTTGAAGAGTTTGCTAGGAATTTCGCTAAGAGGATGAAGCGAGTTGAAAATTCGCTTTTCCTGTGGGCCTGATTCTGAGTCACCCTCCCGGAGGATGCACACACCTCAGCGGTCTTTCAGCTACACACCCTTGCTGACTCACACTAAACCCCGTTCCAGGGCTCGGTGACAGCAACTTTTTAGGCCGAGTGTGGATAGCTGACCACGAAAAAAAACTGTGTAATTGGTGGACTCCCTTGCCAAGGAGAAAGAACGACATGGCCAAAATCTGGTTTCTCGTTCTCAGGTTCCCCCATGACCTCGGGCACTATAAACCCTTCGGCTTCTGGACACAGGAACTTGGGAATGTCTCTGGCTCCTTTTAGTAGAAAGGACGGCTGATTTGCCCCCCCCCCCGCGGTAGTTTTTCGCTTCTTGGACTTTCTGTTCTTTTTCTTCTGAAGAATTGAACTGAGCAGAATAGGACAAGAAAATCCTGCTAGGATAATGTTACCTAGACTGGTAACACAACGTTAAAAAAAAAAAATAAGAAGCAAGCTTGGAGGGCAAATCTAAAACTCGGCTGACAAGTATTTTTCTGTGATTTTAAAGACAAAGAAAACCCAGTTGCCTTTGGAAAAACACCTTGGATGACTGAGAATCTCCCATAGACAGCTGGTTCGGGAGCAGGAAAAACCGGAATGGCAGCGTAGCCGCCGCGTGGGATGAAGAGGCTATTTTGCTCCTTGCTAAGAGCGGCACAGTCGCTCCAACAAGAGAGCTTTGCTTATTTATTGATTGTATCAATAAATAAGCTATAACCACCTTGCCCTGTTTCCCAAAGGCTTGGGGCACGGTAGGAAATTCATCTTCTATCACAGTGGTTCTCAACCTGTGGGTCGGGACCCCATTTGGGGTCGAACGACCATTTCACGGGGGTCGCCAAACAACGCTGTCCGCCATTTTTTTCCCCCTTTTTCTTAGCTGTGCTACTCCCTTTTATTCTATTGGCTTTTGAAAGCCAATGGAATAGACTCCCTTGAATAGAGTCTAATTCTATTGGCTTTCCAAAGCCAATAGGAATTGTCCAGGCTGTCTCTGCCCTGCTGAGCCCGCCAAAAGCCCCATTCTGCAAACGGTGCTGCACCAGTTGAGTAGTCCTCGACTTACGACCGGTTGAGTAGTCCTCGACTTACGACCGGTTGGGGGTCGCGGCATTAAAAAGGTTGAGAACCACCGTTGTATCAGGAAAAACGTTCTTAGGTTTCCCTTCTGCACCATGGGTAATGGTTACTACAGGTGTCCCCAAGACAGGACTTCCTTGTTCTTTCTTTGAAGACGTTTCACTTCTCATCCAAGAAGCTTTTTCAGCACCTTAAAAAAAAAACCAAAAAAAACAAACAAAGGAAGTCCAGTTGCCCCCTAAAAAAGCACCCTGGGGACAACCGTGTCCTGGATGATGGAGAATCTCCATAGACCCTTCCTGTAGATCGGGGGTCTTCCCGTCATTTAATTTTCATCTCTGTGCCTTCCCAGGGAAAGCTGGAAGACGGGACGGAGTTTGACAGCAGCTTAACTCGTGATCAGCCCTTTATCTTCTCCCTGGGCACCGGACAAGTCATCAAAGGCTGGGATCAAGGCCTGCTGGGGTAAAAGCCAGCTTCTGAGGAACAGGGGTCCGAATGGATTTGGGGTGCCCTTGATGAAGGGAGGGAGGGAGGGGGAAAGAGAGAGAGAGAAAGAGAAAGAAAAAGGATGGAAGGAAGGAAAAAGAAAGAAAAGAATAATATGAGGTCCTTGGTGCTCTCTAAATTTGGTTGTTTTCTTGAAGATATTTCATAACCCAACTAGGTAACTTCATCAGTGCTAGAAGGGAATGGGGTCTGAGGAGGAGGAAACAGGAAGGAAGGAAGAAAACAGAAAGAAAGAGAAAGAAAGAAAGAAAGAGAGAGAGAGAAAAAGAAAGAAAGAAAGAAAGAAAGAAAGAAAGAAAGAAAGAAAGAAAGAAAGAAAGAAAGAAAGAAAGAAAGAGAAAGAAAGAAGGGTCTTCAAAACAGTTCATAGTGGGGTTGGAATGGTCAAGATGGAAAGCCAGAGTTTAAAAAAGGGCAGAATAAAATTCTGGCCCTCCAGATTGGTCATGCCAACGGCTTCTTTGTCGTTTCTTTTGCTGTTTCAGGATGTGTGAAGGCGAGAAAAGGAAGTTAGTCATCCCCTCAGAGCTAGGTAAGGAACGAGAGCAAAACCGGTACAGGAATCGCACTGCTGGGTGGGCGCTCTGCTCCTAAAGACGGGGGGCAGCTACGCTCCGGCATGGCTTCGTTGCCTCTTGGCGTATTTAACGCTTAATTTTTCTGGAGCTTGAGTAGAGTTGTGTCCTCATGTCCTTTGACATCCGGCTGATTTGGCTTCTGTTGTCTCTTTCGCAGGTTATGGAGATCGGGGAGCACCGCCCAAAATCCCAGGTATTTTATTTCTTCCTTTTATTTATGTCCATGCATCCCACCTTCCTTATTTTTTTACCAGCGACCCAAGGTAGCAAACATATCCAATACGTCTTCCTCCTATTTTCCCCCACAACGACCCTGTGAGGCGGGTCGGGCTGAGAGAAAGCGACTGTGCCAAAGTCACACGGCTGGCTTTTATGCCTAAAGTGGGACTAGAACTCACTGCCACCTGGTTTCTATTCTGGCATCTTAACCACTACAGGTCAAAAGTCACCCAGCCAGTTTTCATCGCTAAAAGGGGACTAGAACTCACCGTCTCCTGGTGATTGGCCCAAAATCATCCAGCCAGCTTTCATGCCTAAGGTGGGTCTAGAACTCACTGTCTCCTGGTGATTGGTCCAAAATCAGGCAGCTGACTTTCATGCCTAAGGCGGGACTAGAACTCACCATCTCCTGGTGATTGGTCCAAAGTCACCCATTCAGCTTTCACGCCTAAGGCGGGACTAGAACTCACTGTCTCCTGGTGATTGGCCCAAAGTCAGCCAGCCATAGACCAGGACATTGTATTCTGTTAACCCAGCAATGAAGAATTTACATCTTCTACATC